ACCAAGCACAGGAGGCGTACGACCGCCTCTCCAAGAACCTCTCCTTCGACTCGCACGGCGTCACCGAGACCGTCGACCTCCCGCACGCCGTGCCCGCCTCGCAGTCGTCCGCCAGCGTCAAGGCTGAGCCTGTCCTGCCGGCACAGCCTGCTGTGAGCGCCAAGATCGCCGTCCCCGAGCCAGCTCCTGCTGCCAACGGCTCGAGCCTCAAGCTCGGCAACGGCTCCGCTCCTGCCGTCAAGGACGAGAAGGATGCCAGCGTCAAGCTCGCTCCCGGCGGCAAGGTCAAGCTCACCAACTACCCTTCCATCGCCAACGCTCCCCTCCCCGCAGAGGGCAACGGCACCTTCTCCAACCTCCACCTCGCCCTCCTCATCTTCTTCACCCCGGCCGTCGTGCTGCGTCTGATCCCGTTCGTCAACCCCAAGTGGTTCGGATGGTTCAGCTACCTGCTGCTCTGCGCCCTCTTTGGCGCGCCTGTCGCCATCGCCTACTGGACCGTCATGTCCACCTACGGCCCGCGCATCAACGAAAAGGTGCAGCTGCCCGGCAAGCCGCTCGAGTACTACATGGACATCAAGGACGCCGCTTTACGCAAAAAGTACCATTCGGACAAGAAGATCCCCTACCAGACCTTCCACGACGCCTACTTTGCCGGCAAGATCGAGCCCAAGCTGCCGCTCAACGAGCTGCTCGAGTACCGCTGGGACTGGTGCTCGATGCAGTTCACATGGCCGCTGTTTGAGTACGTGCTGTTCAACCTCATCCCCGACGTGCTCATGCACACCGCCAAGCAGGACCAGACGCAGATCCAGGACAACTACGACCGCGGCGACGACTTTTACGCATGGTTCCTCGGCCCGCAGATGATCTACACCTCGGGCATCATCTCGGACGCCAACAAGGCCGAGACGCTCGAGGAGCTGCAGGACAACAAGCTCAACCTCGTCTGCTCCAAGCTCGACCTGCAGAAGGAGGACCGCGTGCTCGACATCGGATGCGGCTGGGGCACCTTCGCCACCTTTGCCGCCGTCAACTACGGCTGCGACGTCACCGGTGTGACGCTCGCCAAGACGCAGACGCGCTTCGGCAACGACCGACTCCAGAAGAACGGCATCGACCCCAGCCAGGCGCGCATCCTCAACCTCGACTACCGCGACATCCCCGTGCAGCCGGGCCACTACACCAAGATCATCTCGCTCGAGATGGCCGAGCACGTCGGCATCCGCCACTACGACAAGTTCCTCTCGGACGTGTACAACCTGCTCGACGACGACGGTGTGTTTGTCTTCCAGGTGGCCGGCCTGCGACCCACGTGGCAGTTCCACGACCTCAACTGGGGCCTCTTCATGAACAAGTACGTCTTCCCCGGCGCCGACGCCTCGTGCTCGCTCGGCTGGGTGGTGTCGCACCTCGAGAAGGCCGGCTTCGAGATCCGCTCGGTCGACGTCGCCGGCGTGCACTACTCGGCGACCATCCTGCGATGGGCGCAGAACTGGGAGTCGAACAAGGACAAGGTGGTGGCCAAGTACGGCGACCACATGTACCGCATGTGGAGCTTCTTCCTCTGGTCGAGCGTCATCGTGGCTCGCGAGGGCGGCAGCTCCGTGTTCCAGTTTGTGCTCCACAAGAACCTCAACGCCTACCACCGCATCAACGGCGTCAAGTCCCACGGCGGCCTCCTGCCCCGTCCCAGCGTCACCAAGTTCAAGTCGGTGTACAACTGAGCGCCTCCCGCCACCTTGCTCTCCTCCATCTTCCTTCGAACCTGGAACCGAACAGTCTTCCTCGGCCCCTTCCTCCCCTTTCCCCTTTTCCCCGGCCCCTGCGTTTCCGTGCCACAGTGCTGCACAGTCCTTTGGCACGACAGGCAGTAGGCTCCCGTTGTACTGTATAGCAGATCATCATGTACAGCAGAAATGAACGGCGCTCGACCCAAAAAGTGAAGCCAAGCCCATATCATAGCCGAGCATCGCATTTCCGTCCGTTCCATGGCAAGGCTTAACAGAGGCCTGTTTGGCGCGCGATTTCTGGATGCTTCGGGGCGCGGCATTTCGAGATATTTCGGGCTGTGCGGGCTGAGCACGTTGAGCAGCGGCTGCGCCGGAAAAGTGGAGAAAGCAGCGCCACGCAGCCGGCTCAGCCGCACCACGGCAAGCCTCGACACATCCACCGTCTGCGGCGCCACCCTTCCTACTCTCCACATCATCCTCATCACGTCTGCTATCGAGAATGTCGACCAACTATACCGCGCCACCTTCGTATGCGCCCAAGGGCTACCAGGCTGTTCCGCAGCACGATGCGCCGTCGTATGGTGCGGCGGCGGATGCCGGTGCCGGTGCCGCCCCGCGCGATGTGGACCAGGAAGGCGATCCGGACGACTTCAAATTCGGCGTGACGGTGGAGCAGTCTTCGCCCGAAATCCGCGCCATGTTTCTGCGCAAGGTGTACAGCGTGCTGTTCTTCCAGATCCTCGGCACGACGGCGATCGCGGCGATCATGACGACGCAGGGGATTGCGTCGTGGGTGCAGCAGAACCAGTGGGCATTCATCGTGCCCATGATCGGAAGCTTGGTGACGATGGGATTCCTGTACTGGAAACGCCACTCGCACCCCACCAACATCCTGCTGCTGTCGCTGTTTACCGTGCTCGAGTCGATCTCGCTCGGAACCGTGATCACCTACGTGGACCAAAAGATCGTTCTGCAGGCAATGGTGATTACGGCCTTCACGTTCTTTGGGCTTACCCTGTTTACGCTCCAGAGCAAGTGGGACTTTGGCAGCCTCGGCGGGTGGCTGTTTGGTGGTCTCATGGTGCTGGTGGGCGTCGGATTCGTCGGCATCTTTATGCCGTACAACCAGACGTTTGACCTCATCATGGCCGGTGCAGGCTGCGTGATCTTCAGCCTGTACATTGTCTACGACACCTGGCTCATCCAGCGCCGTCTGAGCGCAGAGGAATGGGTGCTCGCCAACATCAGCCTCTACCTCGACATTGTCAACCTCTTCATCAACATCCTCCGCATCCTCAACAACCAGTCGCGCGATTAAACCCACGCACCTCCATGCGCGATCATCCACCCCGTCTCGTTGTCGTTTCTGTTCCAATACCCTCCCTCTGTTTTGCGTATCGCTGCTTAACCCATGTCAATAGCGACCCTGTTGTGCCACTTCGGACCGCATCCCGGCCGCTTGTAGTTCGTGAGAGGCTGAGAATTGGAAGTGTGGAATGATGTACAAAAGCGGATTGCTTTACTGGATTAGGAGCGCTTGGAGTTCCTGTCTGTTTGAAACTGCAGCTCTGCAGGCGGCGGTCGGTAGATGCCCTTATAATGCACGCCTTCTGGGATGAGTCCGGCCTATAATCCCACAGCAACCATGTCTATGTCAGTATTCGGACTTCCACTCTTGTACTTGTGTTTCGGGAAGCAAACTTACTCTGTCTAGCAATCTCGCGACGGGTTTGGATGGTTGTGCGCCCAGCTGAAGCCAGTGCTTGATGCGGTTTTCGTTCCACTCGAGGCGTTTCTGCAACGCTGGCTCTGTCTGCTGTTGCGAGATGCCGGTGGTCATGACTCCACCATGACCCGGTGCAGGGCCAAGAGAAGGGTTGGGAAGCCTCGCAGCAGTAACGGGGCGGGGGATGGGATCGTATTCGCCCAGCTTTTCGATGGGTCGTGCATCGCGCGGCTTCGAATCGTTGATCGCCACCAGATGGTAGAAGGGGTTGTTGCGCGTGCCTTTGCGGCTCAACCTCAGTCGCACCACCATTGTCGTAGATCGAACCGCAGTGGGAAAGATGGAGTGTGCAGCGATTCGTACGGAGCTTGCTAGTATCGAACAAGGAGTTGAACGAGGAGGCGCGGTGCGGTGATTGAGAAGAAGGTGCGTGGATAGAGCGGGTGATGGTCACGAGCAAGGTGAAAGCGAGCCGGGCGTTTTTTGCGGCAGGAAGACTCGACCGAGCCCACTCACCGCCCGAGAACCGAAAAAATTCAGCTGCGCCCGACATCATTTCCCAATCTAACAAATTCAGATTTTTTTGTTGCTCTTTGCCATTGCTCGCCTCGCAGACACACACTGCGCTCTCGATGCGCATCCTTGAGACGCTGTTCTGTGATGCAGAATACAGATGGATGCCTCGACAGTCAAAGTGCATCTCTGACTGTCTGAAGCGGGTATATTGGACGAGGAAGGAACCTTGACGCTTAAAAGGTCCAAGGTTCGAGTTGAGGGAGGTCTATGACTTCATGAGCATATCTAGCGCCAGGGCAGCCTGGTCTACCTGGGCCTTTGTTCTGCGCTGGTCGGCCTTGGAGCCAGTGTGGTAGGAAAATGCATCGTCGGTCTTGTTGTCGCTCGGTGTGGCGAGGAGCTGGTTGGTGTGGCGATCGAGGTGCTCGCGTGCCGTGGCGTCTTTGAACTTGGAGGCTTTGGGTTTGCGCTGCGTCTTCTTGAGGCTGCTTGCCACGAGCGATGGCGTCTTCTTCTTTGCCGATCCAGAAGCGGATTTGGACTTGGATGGGGTTGATGTGGATTTGGACACCATATTGTCCAGATCCTAGCCAGCTTCGAACGGCAATAAGAGGGATGATGGTGTTGCAGCGGCTACTTTTTTTTTTCTAACCCGAACAGAAGTGGCCGCGCTCTAAATTGACCGCGCCCCAAAAGCTTGTGGAGGCTGAGCAGGCATCAAGGGTCTCACGACATCCAAACCCCCTCTTCCCTACCTCCATCTCTCTCCCCCAACCTCTTTGTCACAATGGCTTTCAACAACACCGAGGCTCCCGTCAACACCTGCATGCCCGCCACGTGTAAGCACCCATCCCCACAGCCTTCAATCGTCCTTGCTCGAGGGGTCTTTACTGACGCTGCTTATCGCGACACACAGGCGACAAGTGCGGCAAGACCACCTGGCGCGGCTGCGGCGCGCACATCGAGTCCGTCAAGGCCACCGTGCCCAAGGACCAGTGGTGCGAATGCCCCCGCTCCTAAGCTACCCACACCAACCATCCCAAGCAAACCTCAATCGAATTGCATCTCTTGACTCCCCCTCACCGTCCGCACCGTTTTGAAGAACGCAGGCATGATTCGTACAATGATTTGCATTTGCGATGAAGTACAGTGAGCGAACGGAGCGGTGGTTGGCAATCTAGCGTGTTAATTGACAGGCTGGTCCTGACTCGCGCCATCGTCCGGCATGATCTTTTGCTTGGGCTGATCGCTAGTGATGGCCTCCTTGCGCTCGAGCTCCTCCATCTCTTTCGCCTTGGCCGACCACGGTCCCTCTCCAAACGCATGGTTGAGTGCCGACCAGACGTTGTTGACGTAGTGCACCTCGAGGTCATCCAGCACGGCCTTGGGCACGTCCGCCTCTACGTTGGGCTGGTTCTGCGCCGGCAGAATCACCTTTGTGATGCCCGCCCTATGCGCGGCCAGCAGCTTCTCCTTGAGCCCACCCACCGGCAGCACCATACCGCGCAACGACACTTCTCCCGTCATGGCCAGCGTCGGCGCTACCGATCGATTCGTCAGCAGCGACGTCAGCGACACCGTAAACGCCACACCCGCTGACGGCCCTTCCTTGCCAATCGCGCCCTCGGGCATGTGCAGATGCACATCCTTGTTCTCGAGCAAGCTGTCGTTGGCATCCTTGACGATGCCCAGATCGAATGCATTCGTCTTCATCCACGACAGCGCGATCGACGCCGACTCCTTGATCACATCGCCCAGCTTGCCCGTCAGCTGCAGGCTGCCCTTGCCCGGCATGATGGTCGTCTCGATCGGCATGAGCGATCCCGAACCGTTGCCCAGGTAGCCCAGACCCGTCGACACACCGGCAGGCATGGCGCTCGTGTACAAACGATCCTTGTGGTACACGGGTGGTCCGAGGTACTTGCGCAGGCTGTCGATCGTGATCTCCACCTTGACGTCCTTGGGCACCGCCATGGGCTGGCGCTTCTCGGTCGTCACCTTGGCTGGGGGCTCGGGCGCCGCATCCTTGCCAGGCACCTTGCCGTCCTGCAGCGGCTTGCTGTCCGGAGCCTCGCTCGTCGACGCCGATGGCTCGGGGAAGGCAGAGGGAGCAGCAGCACTGTCCGCCGCTTGCCCGTCTACGTTGGGCGGGGTGACGGACTGGGTTGCCGACGCCGACGCCGCCTCGGTCTTGGCGCTCGCCAGCTCGCCCTCCTTGGGCTCCGGGAACACCGACTCGCCGTGCTCCTTGACAATGTCGAATGCGATCTTGCGGTACACCTTTTCGAGGAGCTTGCGCAGGCCACGCACTCCGCTCTCGCGCGCGTGGTGCTTGATGAGGAAGTCGATCGTCTCGTCTGGCAGCACAATGTTGGCATCCTGCAGACCCGACGCCTCCTTGGCTTGCGGGCCGAGGTAGCCGCGAGCGATGTGGCGCTTCTCGTCCGCCGTGTAGGACGACACCTCCATGACCTCCATACGGTCGAGCAGCGGCTGCGGGATGGTGTCGAGCGTGTTGGCCGTGCAGACGAAGAGCACACGCGAGAGGTCGACGGGCACGTCCATGTAGTGATCCAGGAACGAGCCGTTCTGCTCTGGGTCGAGCATCTCGAGCAAAGCCGACGAAGGATCGCCGTTGTGGCCGCGACCGATCTTGTCGACCTCGTCGATGAGGATGAGCGGGTTCTCGGTGCCCACCTTCTTGAGGGCCTGAATGGCCTTGCCGGGCATGGCGCCAACGTAGGTCCTGCGATGACCCTTGATCTCGGCGACGTCGCTGAGGCCACCCACGCTGAATCGGAAGAACTGGCGCTCGACGGCGCGAGCGATCGACTTGCCGATCGAAGTCTTACCCACACCGGGAGGGCCGACGAGACAGATGATCTTGCCCTCGACAGTGCCCTTGAGCTTGCCTACGGCGAGGAACTCGAGGATGCGGTCCTTGACGTCCTTGAGGCCGTAGTGGTCCTCGTCGAGCACGGAAGTCGCGTTGGAGATGGAATAGTTCTCGGGCGAGTGGACGCCCCAGGGGATGCTGGTGAGCCAGTCGAGATAGCCGCGCGTCACGTTGAACTCGCTGGCGGCGGGCTCGAGCGTCTGGAGTTTGTTGAGCTCCTCGTCAAACACCTTGCGAACGGCTTCGGGCATGCGCAGTTCTGCGGCCTTTTCGCGGAACTTTTCGATCATCTTGTCCTTGCCGTCGCTCTCGATGCCGAGCTCCTTCTTGATGCCCTTGAGCTGCTCCATGAGGTAGTACTCGCGCTGCCTCTTTTGGATCTTGGACTCGACGTCCTTGCTGATCTTGCTCTGGAGCTGTGCGTTCATGAGCTCCTTCTTGAGGACGACGAGCGCCTTTTGGAGACGCTCGCGCACGTCGAGCGCCTCGAGCACCGCCTGGAGCTCGCTCACCTCGCCCGTGGAGACGGCGGCGGCAAAGTCGGCGAGCTTTTCGGGCTCCTCGAATACGTTGCCTGCGCCCTGGGAGATGGAGAAGTTGGCGATCTGGTCGCGGAAGAGCGGGTTGAGAGTAGCGATATCCTTGAATACGCTGATGAGCTCGGACATGACGGCGCGGATGTACTGGTCGTTGCGCTTGTCGTACGGCGCGGCTGCGAGGTTGGTGACGTTGACGAGCGATACGGCGTAGTCCTGCAGGAAGGAGGTCTGGAAGGGAGTCGAGTGGGAGGGCATGTCCTGAGTGTCAGCAGCATCGCCTTCGGGTTGCGACTCGCCATCCAAGGGCTTGGGAGGAGCTGGTGGGGCGTTCTGCTGGAGGTGGGCTGCCGATGCGTCGTTGACTTCAGGGAGGACGCCGTCATCGCGTGCCTCCTGTTGGATGTCGTGCACCTTTGCGATGAAGGCAGCCTTTACGGCTTCGTTGGCGGCTTCGTCGCTGACAGGGTTGGCTGGACCGGCTCCCTCGGTGCCTGGTGGGGGCGAAGGGATGGTCTGACCGGTGGGAGTGATGAGTTCGTCGATGCGGATGCGGCGGTGCGGGTAGAGGACGGCAGTGATGCCCTCCTCCTCCTCGGCGTTCTCGCCATCCTTGCCCTTCTTTGCTCCGCCGGACTGGCCGCCGCCCTGAACGGGGAAGACGCTGGTGACCTGAGCAAAGACACCGACCTTGTGCACCTTGCTGAGGTCGGTGATGACGTCTGCATCTTCCGCCTCGTCCTTGAGGAGGAAGGCGCCGATGTAAGGCTGGCCGCGCTTGAGCGACTCCTTGATAGCGGCGCAGACGGCCTGGTTCTTGATGACGACGGCCTTGTAGAAGCCGGGGAAGAGGGGACGACGGGTGATGGGAAGGGCGAGGACCTGCGGGTAGACGGAGGGCACGGTGGAGCGGGCGAGAGAGTTGGAGCCGGAACCGTTTCCAGAGCCAGAGCTCGATCCGCCTGCAGCCGAGCCGGAGCCAGAAGCAGAGCCGGAAGCGGCAGCACCGCCTGTAGCTGAGCGAGCGCCGGGGGACGAGCCAGAGGATTCTGCCTTCGCGCCGGTCTGCTCTGCTTCTTTGTTGTGCTGCTCGTCCTCGTCGATCTCGTTTTCCTCGTTCTGGTGTTCCTCGCCGTCCTCGAGCATCTTTTCAAGTCTCCTGGACCGTGGCAAGCTGGGGGCGGGAGAGGTGAAGAGGGACCTTGCTGGCACGGTGCGCAAGGCGGCAGAAGCTGTTGCGACGATGCTCTTGCCGATTCGCGGTGCTGCGAGATGAAGAGCCGAGGGGCCCGGAGCGGCTCTGGCGAGATTGGAGGAGAGAGAGACGATGCGTCGGGAGTTCATGGTGGCGGCATTGACTGCGGATGTGCGCCAGCGTGAGGCGCTCCCGGCCGCATACCTCTGCGAAGGGATCATGAGGAAGGGCGTAGTTGCGCTCTAGGCAGCAGGGGATCCTCGAGGCTGGGAGGGAAGGATGCTTGGAGGATGCACCGGATGGTTGCGGACGCGATCGATGCGTGCGTGGATCCTTTGTGGTTGTGGTCGGACGTAAACGTGGATTGTTGAATTGGTGAAAGATGAGGAGAGTGGCAGGTTGGGTTGGTGCACGACAGGTTGAGGCGGCGGCGCAAAGTGGAGCAGCCGGGCGCCAATCCGAGAGCCGGCGAAGACCCGACGAATTCGCTTACCTACGAGATAGGCAGAGCAGCTGTGCCTCTTTGCTCAGCCGACTGTGTTGAAAAAAGCGCGTGCGTGTCGTCTGGGTCGGCACTCAGTCAGTCAATCTCCGAAAGCACCGTTCTATTCGCCAGCTCGCCACCTTGAAGCCCTTTGTGCGAGTCACGCCTTCTTCCTCCATGGGTCCAAGCGCCCGCCTCGCTGTCAAAGCTCGATTCGGCATCGCATCCTAGCCCAGCTCAGCTTCAGCTTCAGGCGTCCGTCAGCTGACCGCCAGTCGACTGCATCCACCTTGCTGGGCCTGAGCTCCAGCTGCTCAGGAACAGAGAGTCACCGCCAGATGCACTCTCGCCAGAATGTGGAGGCAAAAAGGTCGCCGAAGCGCCGCGAACTTAGCCGATCACGCTCCGAAAAATGAATCAAGCTGTCAGACTGCAGCAATAAACAATTTTGATTTTCGAATTTCGTTCGCATGCAGCGGGCATCCGTACGTGCGGTGCCTAGCAGATGAGGCGGGGCAGGGCGCAGCAGGGTGGCGGCGGGGCCTTCGCAGGGTCTCTGCTCAGCGCAGAGAGAGGGTGGCGCGTTGGACGCGCGCTGCACACTGCCGCTCCCAATATCACCTTCCGCGCACTGACATCCTCCTTCCCTTCTCTCCATCGGCTCCTTCGCCTCTCGTCCAGCAGCTTTGTGCATCTTGTTCGATCCTTTCTTTCGTTCGCACCAAGCGTCGCTCCTTTGGCTCGTTACCGCTCCATCGCTTTCTTTTGACCAACCACATTTGCTTCCAACCCCGACACTCGCTCGTTCGCGCTCGTCGTACACATCTCCGCCCCTCCTCTTTCTTTAACCCAACACACGCACATTCGCAACCATGGGTATCCCCAAGTTCTTCCGCTTCATGTCGGAGCGCTACCCGCTCATCAGTCAGCTCATCGAGGAGAACAAAATCCCCGAGTTCGACAACCTTTACCTCGACATGAACGGCATCATCCACAACTGCTCCCACCCCAACGACAACGATGCCTCCTTCCGCATCACAGAGACACAAATCTTTTTAGCAGTATTCGCCTATATAGAGCATCTCTTCCACAAGATCAAGCCCAAAAAGGTCTTCTTCCTCGCCGTCGACGGCGTCGCCCCACGCGCAAAGATGAACCAGCAGCGTTCCCGTCGTTTCCGTACCGCAAAGGAGGCAAAGGAGATCAAGGAAAAAGCCGAACGTCGCGGCGAGATCCTCCCCGACGAGGAAGCCTTCGACTCCAACTGCATCACCCCAGGCACCCCCTTCATGGCAAAGCTCTCCCAGCAGCTCGAGTACTTCATCGCAAAGAAGATCACCGAGGACGCAGACTGGCGCAACGTACAGGTCATCCTCTCCGGCCATGACGTGCCCGGTGAGGGCGAGCACAAGATCATGGAGTACATCCGCCTGTGCAAGGCCCAGCCCGGCTACAACCCCAACGTCCGCCACTGCCTCTACGGCCTCGACGCCGACCTCATCATGCTCGGCCTCCTCAGCCACGACCCCCACTTCTGCCTCCTCCGTGAAGAGGTCCAGTTCGGCCCCCGTCGCAAGTCCAAGGGCAGCCTCGAGTCCCAGAACTTCTTCCTCCTCCACCTCTCCCTCTTCCGCGAGTACCTCGACCTCGAGTTCCAAGACCTCCGCTCCTCCCTCCCCTTCCCTTACGAATTCGAACGCATCATCGACGATTTCATCCTCCTCAACATCTTTGTCGGAAACGACTTCTTGCCCCACCTCCCCGGCCTCCACATCAACGAAGGCGCAATGGATCTCCTCTTCAGCATCTACAAGCAGATCCTCCCCGTCGCAGGCGGCTACCTCAACGAGAGCGGCCATCTCCGCACCGACCGCCTCGAGCTCGTCCTCGCGGAGCTCTGCAACTTTGAGATGGAGCAGTTCGAACGCGATTACGGCGACACCGCCAACCACAAGGCAAAGGTCTCCAAGAAGAAGAAGGCCATCACCCAGGCAAAGGCAAAGGGCGGCCTCGTCCTCACAAAGCCCCAGCGCCAACTCTTTGACAACGTACATGCCTTTGTCATGGCTCGTCGCCACGACCCCGCCGGCGCTCCCACCGAGCTCATGGTCCCCGCCGACCTGCCCAACAAGGACAAGCGCTTCCTCGAAGACCTCGCTTCCAGCCTCAAGCTCCGCGCTTCCTTCAACAAGGTCGACCCCGCCTCCAACAAGCCTGCCATCACCCTCTCCTTCCCCGCCATCGCCATCGACGACGACGACAGCGACAACGGCCCCTCGGACGAGGACGCCGACTCGGACCAATCCTCCGACGACGACGACTCCACCTCCTCCGCGGCCGAGGCCGCCGCCGCACCCTCCAAGCACAAGGGCGCAAAGTCAGAGGCAGACGCCGCCGTCGACCGCGTCCTCGGCCGTTACCTCAAGGCAAAGGTAGACACCGCCAGCGACGACGACGTCGACCCCGAAGAGGACTACAGGAAGCGCCTCGACGCTCAGATGACCGAGTGGAAAAAGGACTACTACAAGAGCAAGCTCGAGTTCGACTACTCCAATGACGACGCCATGTCCAAGCTCGCTTTCCGATACATCGAGGGTCTCCAGTGGGTCCTCCACTACTACTACGACGGCGTCGCCTCCTGGGGCTGGTTCTACGACTACCACTACGCTCCCAAGATCTCCGACCTCAAGAACGTCGGCCAGATGAAGTTCGAATTCGACCTCGGCAAGCCCTTCCGACCCTTCGACCAGCTCATGGGCGTCCTTCCCGCTCTCAGTAGCCAGCACATCCCCGCCGCCTTCCGCGACCTCATGACCGACCCCACCTCGCCCATCATCGACTTTTACCCGTCCAACTTTGAAGCCGACTTGAACGGCAAGAAGCAGGACTGGGAGGCCGTCGTAAAGATCCCCTTCATCGACGAGAAGAGACTCCTCGAGGCGCTCGACAAGCGTGAGGTCTACCTCGGCATCGAGGAGCGCAAGCGCAACGGCTTCGGCCACAGCCGCGAGTTCACCTACAACGAGGACGGTGAGCTCTTCTTCCCCTCCAGCCTTCCCGGCACCTTCCCCGATCTGGTGCACTGCCGCGCCGTCGTCAAGAACTTCAACCTGCCCACCCTCGACGGCCTCCACCTCGTCAAGGGCCTTACCAAGGGCGTCGAGCTGGGTGTCCGTGCGCTTGCCGGATTCCCCAGTCTCAAGACACTTCCCCACTACGGCCGTCTGGGTCACCACGGTGTCAACATCTTCCAGTCGGACTCCAAGGGCGTCAGCATGGTCGTCACCATCGAGAATGCGTACGAAGACGCAAAGACCGAGGCCATCGCCAATGCCATGATCGGCAAGCGCGCCTTCTTGAACTGGCCTTTCCTCACCGAAGGTCTCGTCGTCGGTGTATCCGACTCTCTCTTCCGATACGAGATGGGCATCGTCGGCGGTCAGCAAAAGGTGATTGCCACCCCTCACCAGTCCGCCACGCTCAGCGACTTCCAGCGAAAGGCCGAACGCGCCGAGTATCAATACAGCAAGCGCATGGGTGTTCTTATCGGCGACGTCGACGTGCTCGTCCACATCCGCCCGCTCAAGGGCCTCAAGCGTCTCGATGACGGCGCCTTCATCAAGGACTACGAGGAGACCTCCAAGAAGGAGATCGACCAGGCCGTTCAGGTCACCGTGACCAATGTCGTGCACGACGACGCTCGATTCCTCGAGTCGCCCGCCAAGCCCATCCGTGAGGAGTACCCCGACAAGACCAAGGTCTTCTTCCTGGGCGCCAACGCCTACGGTACTCCTGCGCACGTTGTCGGCAGCACCGACGCCTCGCTCGCCATCGAGGTGGCCTTCTTCCCCAACCAGGCCAAGGAGAATGCGCATCTGCGCAACCTCGTCGCCTCGCGCGCCCGCGTGCAGTACATGCCGTCGTACCACGTGGCCAAGAAGTGCGGCATCACCTCGCTCGCGCTCGCCAAGCTCACGTCGAGCATGATGCTGGCATGGAAAGACCAGAAGGTCAACGTCGGCCTCAGCCTCAAATTCGAGGGCAAGGGCGAAAAGGTGCTCGGCTACTCGCGCAAGTCGGCCAACGGCTGGGAGTTTTCGGACAAGACGCTCGAGCTGGTCAAGGAGTACGTGCAGACGTTCCCCGAGATTGCGACGATGCTCAGCCACAGGTCGGGCGTCGATGTGACGCGTGCGACGCAGATCTGGGACGAGTCGCAGGTGGACGAAAAGATGGCCGAACTCAAGGCTTGGATCAAAGCCAAGGGCGTGCGCGATCTCGAGACCGTGCCGCTGTATGCCGAGCAGCTATCCAAGGACACGGTGCAGCAGATCGAAGCGTTCACGTCTCGACTCGTCGACACGCGTACTGCGATCGGCGCCGCGAGCCAGGTGAAGCGCGTCTTCATCAAGGGCATCCCGCGCACGGCGCTGCTCAAACCCAACCACGCGCCCTTCCGTCTACAGGCGCAGAGGTTCGAGTTGGGCGACCGTGTGATCATGGTGCAGGACTCGGGCAACGTGCCGCTCTCGGCGCGCGGTGTCGTTGTGAGCATCAACAGCAACTCGCTCGAGGTCGTTTTCGACGTGCCCTTCCTCAGTGGCACCACGCTTGGCGACAGGTGCGCACCGTACAAGGGCGCCACTATTTCGTTTGTGAGCGTGCTCAACCTCACGCAGCCGCAGTTTGTGTGTGCCGGTACGAGCGGTGATGGCGACACGAGTGCGTCGGTAGGCAGCGCGCTCGAGCGTACTCTTGGCCCCATTGGTGGCACGGGCTCTGCGCAGAGCAACGGCAGAGGCAACGGTGCGCACGGCTATGGCGCTGGTTCAGGCGCTTACCGTCCCCCGAATGCCTTTACGCCCAGCGAGGCGCAGAACGGCAAGGGCAGGGAAGGCAGCACGCAGATTCTGCAGAGGCCTCAGCAGCGACACGCGCCCGTGCAGCAGGACGTCGCCTTCTCGGGCGTGGCCAGCGGAAAGCAGAGGCCGACCAAGGCGGCCGCAGCGTCCGGCAGCCAGGTCAACGAGATTAACCCGATCATGGCGGCGCTCGGCATTCGACCTCCCGCTGCGAATGGCCACGGTCAGGGTGGTGCATCCAGAGGCGCGCCGCGTGGTGGCGCTCGACCGCCCGCGGGTGCAGCTCGCCCCCTACCGGCCACCAACGGGCCCCAGGTGGCTGCGCAGGCCAGTGCCAATGCTGGCCGCGGTCGCGGTGGACGCGGTGGAGCCGGTGCCAACGGACGCGGCCGTGGTGGTGCGCCCCGAGGCGGCCGTGGCGGTCGTGGCGGCGCTGCGGCTGCGCCCTAGATTGGGTGATGCCACTCGAGTCTCGTCACTCGAAGACCAAGTCACCGGCCGTCTTTTCCGTGATCTCTCGCCCTGATACATCTGTAGCTCTTGCATATATTGTTTCCGGTCTTCGATGCATCATTGCGAACGTTGCCGAGCTGTCACATTGTTCCCACGCCGAGGTCTTGTGTGTTCGGTATGTCCGAGCGAATCGGATGTGAGTGCAGACGTCAAATCTAACGGTTGAGCCGTGGATTTTTGAACCGCAATTCAGGCCAAGCTTTTTTTTTCGGGCCGCAGAACATGTTTAGACTGCGCGTTTAGGCGATCAGAGTCAAAGGAGGAGTGGAGGCGCAGGTGCTTATGACTTCATCCTGCACGCCTGGGCCGGGTGCGGTTAAGCATTTTTTTTTTGTTTGGCAGCGGTTCGGACTTTAGCTTCGTTCCGATGAGGTTACCGGATCGTCGGGTTCCACGCGGCGAATCATGATCAGTACAGATGCAATGCAATGAGCATGAGGGCCGCAAGCAGGTGGATTGGTTTGACCGAAGGCTTGACGGGGAATGGCCGATGCATGCGAAGAAGCAAAGGCATAAAATAGCATGATTGAGGAAGAAACGTTGTTTGTCTTGTAACCAGCATCTGTCCACCATGTCGACTCCTCGCACTACGCAAGCATACCGTCTATCGTCATTCGACAAGAGCCTCGAAGGTCTTGTGCTCGACGACAAGGTTGCGCTGCCCGATGTAGGGCAGCTAGCACCCACTTCGGTGCTCGTCGAGGTTCATGCCGTATCGCTCAACGCACGCGACTACCAGATTGCATCGGCGACGTATCCTGCACCCACGACTCCTCCTGCGGGTCTGATTCCTGTTTCGGACGGAGCCGGAAAAGTGCTTGCGGTTGGATCGGCCGTTTCCACCGTCAAGACCGGCGATCGTGTAGTCACGCACCTCAGCTCCGACTGGCGTCACGGCGAGATCGGCAACGAGATGCAGGCCAGTGCACTCGGCGGTGGCCGCGATGGTGTTCTGGCCAAGCACGTGGTACTGGACCAGTACAACCTGCTACGCATCCCGGCGCACATGGACTACCGTCAAGCAGCCTCGCTTCCCGTCGCTGGGCTCACCGCATACCACTGCCTGCTCGGATTCCCCAAGACCGTCCAGCAAGGTCAGACTGTGCTGATCGAGGGAACGGGTGGCGTGAGTATTGCGGCACTCCAGATCGCGCTCGCTGCAGGCGCCCGTCCGATCGTCATCTCGAGCTCGGACGACAAGCTCAAGCTCTGCCAGAGCCTCGGTGTGCACAAGGACGACTGCATCAACTACTCGAACGACAAGAACTGGTGGCAGACGGTGCGCGCCCGCACCCCGCGTGGCGAGGGCGTGGACCACACCGTCGAAATCGCAGGTGGCAGCACGCTCAACCGAGCCCTGATGGCCACCAAGGCGTACGGAAGCGTCTGGGTCGTGGTAAGTTGCGGCCAGCACAGGGTGAGAATTGGACATCCATTGACTTTGCGCACTCGTTGACTTCTGCAGGGCTACATGGACGACTACAAATCCACCAAGGACTCTGACGACGGTCTTCCCGACACGGCCAAGGCGATTCTCTACTCGCAGGCCCAGGTGCAGGGCGTCATGTGTGGCAGGTGAGCTCCGATCCCGCATCGTGACGAGATTGAATGAGCTTCAACGGAACTGACTCCTCCTGTTTGCAACAGCTACAAGCTCTTCCAGCAGTACCTCGAGGCGCACGCCACCGCACAGCGCAACGTCGACAACAAGCTCGCTGCGATCAACGTGCTCCAGCCGCTCGTCATCCCGGAACAGGTGTTCAGCTTCGCCGACGCCAAGAAGGCCTTTGAGCTCCAGGGATCCGGCCGCTTCGTCGGTAAGGTCATCATCGACGTCGCCGACGCCAACTAGACATCACTTTCGGCTTCGTAATCGCAACTGAGAACACGTTGCGAGCCTGACGCAGTGTGCAAGTCGATTGTCATTTCTGTGCAAGGTGCAGAGAAGCGGTGTAGATTAAGAGACGGGCAAAAATGTACAAAGGCAGAAGGGTACGTCGTAGTGGCGGTCCATCCCGCTGGGCGCCGTACCTCGAGAAGAGAAGAGGGGATCATGGGATATCATATCGGTTTGAATTGGCAGACTCGAGGCATTGAGGAAGCAAAGATACGTGTGCGAGGAGCGCACCTATCCTACGCGCGTCTTGTTCTCGCGCTCTGCCTGCTTGATCCTCTCTTCGAGCGTCTTGGACTTGTGCAGCTGCGAGGCGGTGAGACGGTCGCGCTCGCCCGTGTTGCGGTCCGAGTAGCGCATGCCGTCGGCGACGGAGCCCTGGTAGGACGAGGTGGTGCGGTGCAGCTCCGTGTTGTTCTTGCCCGGGTTCGTGTCGGTGCGCTTCATCTTCTTGCCGTCAGACGGACTGGACATGCAGGAACCCTGCGGTGCGAGCAAGTCGTCGGTGGGCGCAGAGTCGCGGAGACAAAAGAACGATCCATCATGGTCAGTCAACTTGCACCACCAATCCGAGATGCGAGCAGAAGCGCAAGCGAGCATCTGTAGGCGTTGCTGTTGCGACTGCCCAGCGCGCGTATCGGGCTGCGAGAAAAGGGTCGACAACTTACCATCTTGACTAGTGTGGATGCTTATCGAGCAACGAGAGAGATATGGAGTGAGTGGTTGTGTTGTGGCGACCTTGGCGAGCGAAGTCGAGGTAGCGAGTTGGGACGATTGAGGATCGGAAGCGATTGTGGATTGGCTGTGGATGGTGGAGAGAGGCCAAACTCGAGCTGAGCAGAGGTAGCAGCCCCGTATCTGGCGTCGATATGTTGCAGCGCGGCCGGATGCAGGCCTGGCAGCAGGCGCTTAGCTGCAGCCTCCCCCAAGGTCTAGACATCCGCAACACGCTCCTGGTCCAACTCCACACGGCTGGCTCGCAGTGCGAAAAAAGATTGGGCTGGCTCGGCTCAGTGCAGCCTCTGGGATGGACTAGGCGGGATGGGAATGCAAAGGGGCGGCACGACGGCACACGCGCCCCGGCGCTCGTAAGCACGCACAATGACAGAGGTGTTTTGAATTGGCCCCTGCACCCGCCTCGCAATTCCGTATTCGCCAATTCAAGCTGAATACCACCGCGACCCTCGCTGCGCAGCCCCAAGCTGACCGCTTTTGTATTGCACCCTGCGCGGTGGTGTTGCAGAGCTGCATCCGCCTCGCAACTCGCTTCCCAGCCTCGCTGATCGCCTGTCTCTGTTCGCAGCATGCGTCCGTGCCCCTCCCGCTCTTTTTGCGTGCCTGCCGTCTCTCCTAGCCCAATGGACAAGCTCGCCAGTCTCTCTCAGCCCGCCGGATCGCTTCTATCACCTGACGCCACAGCCGGACTCGCTGCGCAGCATCGTGGCTCACACATCGCAGGTTCCAACGCTTTAAGCCAAGGGCGGCTGTGCACTGCTGCCATGCCACATATGTGCGTCAGGATGACTGCATGCTGCACAGCCATGAGTTCGGCGCCAAGGGCGAGCGCTGGATAGCCATCTCGGATGTGTGTGCTTCCACACGGCACTCGAAGTTTCCGTGCTCTCGCGCTGACAGTCTTGGCAGTTGTCATGATGCGCCGCAGACCAGGCCTTGGCAATCTGCTTCCGGCCTAACACTACTTTAGTCAAGGATTTTTTGGAGGCAATGTATCCAGGCTTCGACATCACACTCAGCATGGTGCAAAAAAACGCCCAGATACCTGACTCCATCTCAGCTCTCACCTGCCCGTTCGATGCTCTCTCGTTCACCAGCTTGAAAGCCCATTCGCCGACCGACTCCAATGACATGTCGTGGCTTCACACACGTCCATACGCCGAGCTGCATACACTATAGCGTTCTGATCGTGCACACGCCGAGGGCAAGCAAGGGTTTCGGCGTGACAGGATCTGCAACGCAAATTGCAAACGTCGTTCTACCTCGCCGGCTTAATTCGTGATTGGAAGCGCTCACTCCGCTCCGAAATGGCAATCTTCCGGCTCGGTGAGGGAGAAGATGTGGGTACCGAAGGCCACTCTCAACAAGTCGTGCAACCGCCGCCGAAAGCATGCGGCCCCTCGACGTCTGCTTCCATAGGAGCGTTCATCCTCAAGCCCTGCGGCTCCTAACAAGATGGCGAGACGAATGGGCGGCACCGAGAGAATGCCCCTTTGTTCTTCTTTATTCTTCTGGTGCGGATTCGCCCCGCTATCTCGCTTCTGCATTCACGCACCGCTCGCTATCAGGGTGCAGTGCGCCAAACGGATCCCAAAGAACTGACCACGTTGCCCCACTGCATGAGTGGCTCGGCTACACTCGGCTCCGGCGGTGTGGAAGCCAAGAACCGGCACCGACACTTTCGATTCGCTCGACGTGAAAAGACAGCCCAATGACCCGGACAAGGCCCGAGACATACTGTACCCGCTGTGAGCAGACATGGAGCGAACCGGGATCGCCCAGAGATCCTGAGCTTGAAAGGCATCTTGCGTCGTCTGAGATGGTGACACGCGAGATAGGCAAATCGGTCACACATCAACGCAGCAGCGGTTCATGATCTCCAAAACGGCTGTCGCCAGCGGAGAAGCATCCAGTCGGAGTTTGCAAGTTTCGATCCGAGCAGGCGGATATGTCGATTTTGCGACATGGCGGCGCGCGCATTACTCCGGTGGGCTTCCGATCTTGACTCACTCGCTGCGTAACGCCACGTGTCGCTCCTTGGGGCGCAGCCGCCTGACTCGCGTCCGGTCAACAGGTCGGCGTCGGTCGCCTTGCTTATCCGCTCCAAGCCCAAGACGCTGCACGTCGTGTTCCTGGATCAGCACCTGTCCGAGTCGGCAGGATGGGCTCGACAAGCTGGTCTTTGCAGCGCGGCTCCTGGCCATGCCGCCATCGATCGCCTCGCTTCCGATGTTGGAGGATCAGGATTGGGTGTGCACGGTGCTCGCTCACCACACCTCATGGGCCGACTCGCACGGGACAGAGCTCGGCAACCCACAACACCGGTCCGCTTCTCTCTTTCGGACCCAGCGCTGACTCTAGGTGAATACAGGTGCTTCGGTGCAGAGACGGTGGGCGTCCGTGGAAGCAAGAGTGGAAAGTCAAAGGGTCACCGGCAGCTTCCATCTCAGCCGCAATCTTCACGAGCCAGGGTCGGCACTGAGGCAGGAGAGTGCGCCAGTCCTTGCCAGCAGCAAATCTCTGAAACCATCAGATCCGCGGAAAGATGCCAATCCGAGTCGGATCTCGGATCAAGAACAAGGTCTCACAAAACAGTGGTCGATTCTCCGACGACCTCCAGGCAAGGGACGCGACAGCTCGCCAAAATTTCAGGAACGAGCTGACGCCGGAGGTCACAGCGCGCGATCGGTGTTGAAAAGCAGGGACCCACCGCAAGATGGGCAGGTAAGTTCGCGAAGGAGCGGAGTGGCAAAACGCAAAACGACCAGAGTGCGTGTGGGAAATTGACGAGGAGCCAAGGTCCCAGTTCCTCCACTCGGGTAATTCCCAAGGGTCCAAGCAAGGGTTTGCTCAATCGGAAGAGCCGTTCGTCGCCTCCCTTTTTCCTTTTTCCATTTTCTTTTTCTTTTTCCTTTTCTTTTTCTTGCGCGCGCGTGGAATCGCGCCACGCTTGCTTTTAGGCGAACTGCCAGAGGTGAGGAGCTGGATCGGAGCCCCAAACCGCGAGTTTGATGCAGGTCGGGGTGTGCCTGAACGGAATCATTGGCCTACAGAGAAGAGAGTCTAAATCAGGCTCTGCGAAAAAAGCAGGAACCAGCTCCGACGTACGTATCCAGATTCCTGGTCCTCGCGGCAAGCGTGCGAGAGGCTCCGATGGTATCTTCTTGGCCTAGGTCTCGCGATGAGCGTGCAAAGTGAGCGGCGTACATGCGCCAGCGTGATGCCCATGTGGCGTGCAGCCCTTCATCCGATTGGCGCCCCTTCGCCTGGCACCGCATCATGCTCCGTCACATCGGACGCGGTTAGCGCTGTCCTGTCGCTCACACACTCGCGCTTTTGATACCCAGCCAAAAGTCCGACCGGGCCGAACGCCAAGCTTTGAGCCAGCTTCCCTGCTCGTTTCTTCTCGCCGACTCGGATGGGTTCCCACTCGGATGGCTGGAAGCGCGCATCGCGGGTCCGAGAGAAGAAGGTTGCATGCTCACCTCATGTCATCGCACTCTCCACTCGCTGATAAGCGTTCTGTACAGCATGCGCGAGGAAACCGTGCAAGGCATTCAGCGCGATGTATTCTGGCGCTGGAACGTCGGCGACAGGCCTTGCAGGGCAGGGAGCCTGTCATCCGGCACTTGCAGCAATGTCTTATCCTTTGCACCGGACAGCCAATTGGAGCGAGGGCATACAACAAACACGGCTATACCATCCGTACCTGCACGAATCTGCCTGGCCATGCCGATGTCTGCCCGAACATGCTTCTGCATGGCTAATTTTGGATCCAGGCCCTGCTCGAAGGAATGATGCGTGGCACGATGGTCCGATCGGCCTCGGCCTCGGCCTCGGCCTGAGCTTGCCGACTCGCCTCCGACTCGTGGAGACAGAGTGTCGAAGTTTTCTCCAGGCCTCGTGGCAATGCAAACGTTGCAAAAAATTCGCTCGGTTGACACTTCCCTGGCGCAATTACGGCCGTCAAAACCAGACCCTGGAGATCGCCGGACGAGCACAATCTAGACCCCATTGCTCCCGCCACGGCACAACTAGCCATTTCATCCACGCACGCCCACCGCAGCACGGCTCCCCGGCATGACCTTCTCGCATTGCGGGCACATTGTTCGCCCAGCCTTGCATCCTCACCTCATGGCTTCCCTGCACCGATCCGCGGCCGGGTCGCGCCCGAAGCAGTCCAGACCCAATCTCTGCCCGCCAATGTCGCAAAAGCGTTGTGACAGCAAGAGGGACCCAGTGAGAGGAACCTGACTTGCAGCCAGGTTCACCAGACTCAGCCAGAGTGGAAGGCGATGTGAAAACGATCGCTTTCGCCGCTTCGTCGACATCCCGTGTGGGAGATCCTCGGGAGAAAGTCAGCACACGGAAAGGCAACAGGCAGCGAGCGACTCGCGTGCCCGATCGGAGCTTCGGCAGATCGTGGTAACCGTCTCTTAATGAGGTGGGGGCGGTTTATGCCAGGAATGGCCCGGCTTCCTGCAAGCGTCTTTGGGCTTCACGAGCACCCCGCCAGAGGAAGCCGAGGGGCCGGTTTGAAGCCCGTGGCCTTCCGCTTGGTGTGGGCATCGGCCAAATAGCTCAGGCGCGATGTTTTCGGATCCGCAGACTCCTTCGACTTGCTTGTCGCCTTACCCCGTCGTTCACCCAGTCAGGGTCTGCGCCGTGCTTACGAGCTCTAGCGGCTGGTCACGGGTCTAAGTCAAAATCCATTCCGACTCAGCTCAAGGCACGCGCATTCGAATTCCGCAGGGCTGGCAAGTGCGTCCAAACAATCGCAGAGTAGGCTGGACGAGGATACCCCGTGCATCTTCGCCGGTGATGCGGTCTTATGGTTTCGCCTGACAAGAGGAAAGTGGCGACCCCAACACCTCCTATCTCGGCTCGAAATACATCTGCACGACTGCAAACACTCTCTGCAGCGTCGACACCGTATCAAACTTTGTTCGGCACGCATCGAGCGAGCGAGTCTAAAAAGAGAAAAAAGTGGGACCACTTTGCGTCGCAGCTGATTGCGCTGTGCCGAGCCGAAGCGAGGCCGACCGCAGCGTGGGGGGGCCAGAGAGGTAGCATCGGGAAAGCCGATCAACACAGCTGGGCGTGGGGCCGTTGGTGTGCCTCAGCTAGGCGGGGCTCGCTTCGCCCTTTTTTTTTCTCGCCAATTCTATATTTGCCGCCATTTTGCGATCCAACAAAATGTGGCTGATCCGCTCGCGAGGAACGAGGCAGCTGGCTGGTAGACTGGGTCGCGTCAATCAATCCACGGATCTGATCACCTCGCTTAGGCGTTGCGGGTGGCTGCTAAGAGAGACCCTGTCGGAAGCGAGCTCAAGTCGGTTGGATTTGCGACTCGCTTCGTGCTGTGCCGTCTGTTCCGCTTCGAGACCGCGCCGAACGCCATGTCGCCTTGTCGTTGTCTCTTGCTTGCACCCCGGCGCACGCCGTCCAACGCGCCCTCTTCCGACGGGCTTTCAAATTGTGAGTGCGCAAATGAGACGGCATTCGACTGCACCCGAAGGGATCTGGAAGAGGTAGAGAGACCCCAAGGCTCGGTAAGGCTACCGAATCGGCTCCGTGTTGGGGGCCCTCTTTCGAGCGCCACTCCATAGCAGCCTAGTGTGGCGATAGAAGCGACTGTGGGGCTCTGTTTGTCTCGGCACCTTCTGACGCGGTGAAGCAGATGTTCTGTGCCTCTAATCGTCCAAGCGTGTCGAATTCTTGGAGACCTCTTGGTCGGTTTTTGCGGCGTCTGCTGTCGACGACAACGCCTTCGCTTACTCGGATGATGCGGCACTGTCTGCAAGCACTTGGCTGCACTATTGTGCCTCGCAGCACGCCGAGCTCCGCTTGGCTCGCCTCTGCAGCTTTTCGACGGTGCTGCTTAGACCTGTGAGAATGACGCCACCAAGGATGACACAAAGATACGGTCAATCCTGCTCATGCATCTCTGTTGCACACTGTCTCCTAACCCGCTGGGCTCGCACGCTCTGCCTGACAAGTTGTGGTGTCGCTTCGTCAATGATGACACCGCTTCCAGCGATCCTCGGTTGTTCCGCGGCTCTTTATGGCTGTCCACGCTCCCGATGAGCATGCGCCTTCGGATGGATCACTCCGATGCGGCGAAAACGAGGAACAATGTTGATTGAAAGGTTCAGTTCGGGAGACGGCGTAGAGAACAATAGAAGCACGAGACCAATCTGCATCAATGCAAAAGATGGCATGCGCGGAGCTGGTGGGAGCCTCGCATCCCAAGAATGTGCCCACCAAGCACAGTCCGGCAAGAGAAATTCCAAATAAATAAATTACAAATTGAACAAAATGCGGGTGGGGTTCGAGTGCCACATGTCGGTCGACCCGGAATCCGACCAGCTGCCTCTGGCTTCCACCGCTTCGCACGTGAAGACTAGCAGCTGGACAAGCGCATGGCTCCGCCACGAGTCGCTATTTTTACATTCAACCAACCATTCTGAGGTCGCCCCTTGAACATGCCTGTTCAGATTGCTTTTGATGAGCCGCCGGCGTCGGTATACAGAAGTGGGTACACCGACAATACTGCCCATACGCAACAGAGAATTTCTGCCTGATGCAAAAGCAGACCAGCAGGTCAGGTCTGTGTTCTACAGCAGCTTGAGGATGGAAGTGCGTATCGAGCAGGGCCGGAGGAGCGCGAGGCGTCCGGATCCGAAATGCCCACCCAGGTGCAGGGACCAGATTCGCCTTACCCTGGCTCTAGCTGCAGAGTCGCTTGTGATTTCTTTTTTGCCGAACTCTTCGCTGCAATCACACGGCTTTTCTGCCTCCATCTCGCAACACACCACCGTCCCCGGCTGCCGCGCTTCACGAGCTGCACAGGCGTGGACCGATGCACGTCGCAGCGTGCCATGCTGCTGCTGCTGCTGTTCGGCCTGCCCCACCTGCTACTGGTCTCTCGGACAATCCTGCCTCCGCCGTTGTTGTCATTGCTCGTGAGTGTCTCGAGTGGTAAGCGCTAGCTGCATCTGCGTTCCCATCCGCGTTTTCACCCCCCACTCTGAGCAGACAGTGCCGCCGACCCCCTTGCCACATGCCAGAGCCACTATGAGTGCGTGCTGCGTCGCGTTCGACTCGCCTTACCTCGGCAGCCTCGGTCGGCGTGCGTCCCCAAGGATTCCTGCAGGCCCCTTGCGAATTCGGCCTGCCAAATGGCTGGTCCCCAAGCCAAGCCAATGCGTGAAAGAGCGCGTGCTCCCTTGTGCTTCTAGGGCGAATGCCGGATGTCGAGTTGAGCCGCCCACCCGGCCAAAACTGTGAGTATGGGATCCACGGCAATTCGCCCCAACGCCGAAAAATCGAATGTCGCACACCTTTCGGCCTTTCCGAGCACGGTCTCTGCGATGTCGCCTACCACTGGAAGCCCGCCCGCAGCCTTGCCCGCAACGTGACCGACGTAGCCTCTGCTCTCCTGGCAAACCAGGGCTCTTACGCCGTTGAAAATTCGGCATCAAACTCGAGGCTTGCAGTCTTCGTCGATCAAACCAAAGCGAGCGTGGACGGACTCTTGGCTGGGGAGGTCCGGGCAAAGGTGAGGTTCGGCTCGGTCTGAGGGACACGAGATCTTTCAATCAGTCATTCATTCATTGATTTTATTGTATTTTATTTTATGTTGATTTATTTTATTCTATTTTATTTTATTTTTTCTTTTCTTGAAAAGCCGACCCGGTGCAAAGGCGCAGAGATTTTCCGGACTACAGTACGTTGGGGGGCCGACTGCTTGACGGGGGCATCCGTTTGCGAGCGGAATTTCGGTGCTTGAATTGCACGCGGCTACAGCCTACGTGGCCTTGTGCAGCGTTCGACAGCTGCGTCGTGCTGAGCCAGGTCTCTCTCTCTCTCTGGCTCGCTTGGACGCTCTCATACGGTATCGCTTGGTCCGCCATCCCATGTCGCCTGTGCCATCCTCGGCTGCTTGGTCGCGCATCATCTTGGGCGTGCGTGGCGCCCAGGATTACAGGCGGCCAGGCGCTCGACCGTCGAGGATCCAATCTGCTCTCATTCGATTGATCGCTCTCCGCCCGCGCTGGGGTGCCGCTCAGCCTCGTCATGCTGGCCAATCATTGACATATTTCTGGTCCCTGGGGTCTTCGAATGATTCGCCTTCCTGCACTTGCCCAGGCCCTCCGCCACTGCTGTCTGCTTGTCACATGTCTCTCCGGCCTTGCAGCAGAGACTAGGCTAATCCTCTGCTCTCGCCGGTGTTCCTGCCTCCGCCCTGCCTCGTGCATCGACTCTACGTCCTCCTCCGCAGCCTTTTGTTTCCGCACAGATAGGACAGAGGAGTCGCCGCCTTGTATATATCCACACTACTCCGCCCACTTCCGCCAACGCCACCCGAATCATCCTCCCTTCCTAAGACCTCCCTCCTACCTGATATCCGCTCCCTCCATCTCAGCATCACGCGCACGCATTGCCTTTCCGAGCAGCACCATCTTCGCTACTAGCGTCCGTTCGCTACATCTCAGCCGTCTCTTCGACACACTCACCACACATCGCCCACCTTTCTGCGACTGAGCGTTCACTCAGCGCTGCATACCTGCAGTCGAGACACTGCAGCTGAAAGACGGGTATTTTCCCCCGCCAACCGACAGCAGCATGATCTCGCCATACGACCCTAGCCATCCTGCTCGCCCCGTGCTTGCGAGGAAACGAACGTCGGACAAGGGTCTGCCTGCACACTCACCAGCAGAAGCGCATTCCCCCTCCGACAGCCAAGATGGCAAGTCCCGCACAAGAGCACGCATCAACATGGCGTGTATCCACTGCCGCCACAGGTACGTTCAATCTCGACACTCACGCCGTCCTACGTCGTCGCCAAGCCAGTATACTGACCATCCATGCCCTCTCTCGCCTTGCCTTCTCCAGGAAAATCAAGTGCGACGGAGCGCAGCCATCGTGCGCAACCTGCGTTCGACTGCGCCGAGAGTGCGAGTACGAGCCGGTGACCGAGTTTGAGAACCTCATGTCGCGAGAGCGCAAGCGCCGCAACAAGGAGAAGAAGGCGGCGCGAATGGCCTCGCTCGGCATCTTTGCTGGCCAGTCGCCTCTGTCGATGCTCCACGCTGGCGCATCGCTCGGCCTCCCCCCTGCGCCCGTGGCACACTATGGGGATCCATCGCAGGCCAACTTGGCACCGCTCTTCCTCTCGATGCCCGACCCTCGCATGGAGGGCCAGATGATCGCTTCTCAGTTCGGACCACGCCGACGTCGCGGCATCTCGGACACTCAAGCCACCACCATGCAGCATCGAATGGGCCCCCTCGCCTCCCCGGTACCAGACTCCTCATCGTTCCAACACGCCTCCGTCTCCCAGCCGCCAACGCCAGCGCAGGCCTACCGCTACTATCAAGCGCTGGCGCTTCCCCAGGCACAGCATGCCATGATGCAGGGCATTCCCGCCGAATTCATCTCGGGTCCCCTCTCGGCCCCCATCATGCCTCCGGCTGCCGCAGGTCACTTCTTCGTTCAGCAACCCATGACGCCTAGTCATGCCGCCCCGCAACACGGAACGGTTGCATCGCCTCACGTCGTCGATCTCATGGGCCTCAACTCGGACGGCTCGGCGCCCCACGTTCCTTCAGGACGCGCGAGCGCTACCGAAGCCGACTTCGATCTCGGCCTCGTCGATCTGACCGGCATGCCGACCATGGTTCCCACATCGGCACATGTCCGACCTGTGGATCTGCCGGCTCCCCACGGCCACTTTGACTTTGCCAGCGTCCCATTCCCCACGCAGGACACGTTCGCATCGGAGCTGCCGTTCACGGCCCTGCGAAGGCGATCGTCGATCCACCTGCCCGTCGGCACCGCCGATGCGTTTAGGAGGCCGTCGATTGCCGAGGTGGCTACGGCGGCGCTCATGCAGAAGGTAGCAGGCAAGCGTGCCGAAAAGGTCAACACGGACATTAAGCAGCTTGCCAGCGAGCTCATGTCTCCCGATGCCACGGGCATCGTAGCGTGGAATGCACACGTGCAGTCGCAGATGCCCGCATCCATGGCGACCTGGAGCGGATTCCACACCGGCGAGATCGGGCAGTCGGAAGGTTCCGACTACGTGCCCTTGGCCGGTCCAGCCAGCCGTTCCAACTCGGACGGCCTGCTTTCCCTCGGACCGCTCTCGCCTCCCACCCGCTTGGTTGGCTCGGGTCTGGTCAAGGCTGAGGGATTGGGCGAGGAGCTCAGCGCCGCTTCCAGCTGCAGTGTCAGCTCGAGCACCGGCGACTCCTCCGTCCCAGCAGAGGTGCCCTTGCTCGAGCACTCGTACTTTGCCGCTCCTCAGGGCAAGCTCTCGCGCGAGATTTCGCCTTTGGCCCTGTCTCCCTCTGGAAGCAGCCAGCCTAGCTCGCTGCTGAGCCAGGACGCATGGAACGTCCCGCTGCTGTCGCCTGTCTCGGAGCTCAACACGACGTTCAACAACTTTAGCGTCTTTGCCGCCAACGCTTCCGGCCAGCACATGCCTACGTCCAACAACAAGCAGGAGCACGACAACAGCTCGCTCTCGATGGCGTTCATGCACAACGCCAACGCTTCCATGAACAACTCCAACTTTTAGTCGCCAGCGCTTTTGCAAAGGCCGTTTCTTCTTTCATATACCTCGGTTTCCATTCATCGCATATATAGGTCATGGGCATCTCTTCTCGCCGCCATTCCATTAATCTTCCTCTCCCGTTCCCCGTGCCGCTCTGCGACCATTGCATATCCCCCCCCCTCCTTTGCCATCACGGACGTCCGGTTTTTCATTCTGCTCACGGTTCAACTGTATTTGTATTCCCACTTCACGGTCTTACGGCAGCTCAATTCAGCATCCGATGTATAGACCCTCGCAGCGTGTGTGTTCGTGGCGCTCATTGAAGGGAATGGACATGTAGAATGCAGAAAGCCGAGCGGTGTGTTTCTGACAGAGAGAATGCATGGAGGCTCTTTTGTGACACAGGCTGATCCAGAATGCTCCAGAGCCACGAACAGAGTGCTTGTGTTCTGTATCACCCTCTGGAGTGGTCACATTTCAAGTCTTCGATCGTGCGTATCAGCGACGCTTCGCGCGCATTCGATCCACCTCCCATCTACGAACTTTAATCTTGCGGTGAGGTCTAACTCTCGTTCAAGCTCGAGGAGGCTTGTGAACGCACTTTATTCTGCAGGTGAAGTTAAGCTCGACGGTCAGGATGTAAAGTTGGATTCATCTGCTACGGCTGCGATCCAAGTCTCGAGGAGAGTTGTGAGCATTGGCTGCCATCCAGTGTCTCGTCTTGCGACCTTTGCCGGGTCGAAATCGATCGTTCGTGCGGATAGCTGGTGCGTCCGAGTATCCGCATAGGCCGTGGACTCGGAAGCGACTCTCCTGCCATGCAGCGCGAGCTTACCCATACCCAGGCTGCCGTACGTTGGGCCCGGTGCGGCGGGTTTGGCTACGGCGCGTGTGGCCGTGGTCTGGATGCCATGTCGAAGCCGAAGAGCTGCGGCCCACACGCGCAGGTTCTCCGTCCGTCGGAACGTCCATCCCGGTCGACTCGACTGAGTTGCCTTCCCTATCTCCCCGACTCCACCGTTCTCGCTTTCTGTGATATCATTGGCTCGCGCGGACCGAGTCTGGAAGGTGGGCGCTTCTCCTTGCTGAGCTTGTCGGAGACGCTGCGCTTCCTTGTGCAAGAGTGCGGCTTCTTCGGCTTCGAGATCATGCATCTCTCGCGAGGAAATGTAGCCCCACGGCTTGGCAGACCTTCGGACTACCTCGTTGAACGCCTGACACAGGAGGAAGCCATCGCTGACAAGTGCGAGGAGCGCGTCGAGGTCGCCAGATGTATCGCGGAGACGTTGAAGGCGAGCAGCGGGGACAACTTCACACGATGCGCAGTGGTCCATCAGAAAGTGCCAGACTCGCTCGCCAGTGCCGAGCCCAGATGCTGTCCATGCACCGCGTGCGTCGGCGGCGATCGAGCTTGCTTCGGCCGCATGGGGATTTGCAGCGGTCTGAGCCGCAGCTGAGTGGGATTCATGTTCTTGCCCTTGTGAAACTGCGCTGCTCTGCTTCTCGTGACCAGACACAGATGCCGACAAGACAGCATTGGCCGTTTTGAGATAGCGTTCAATGGCTTGCTTCTCCTGCACCAGATCCGTCAGCTTGAGATCTTGGCGATACAGGTATCCGACGGGTGTCGTGGTGGCCTCTGTCAAATCATCGCTTGCGTCGGTCGCGCTCAACGACACGTCTTGCTCATGCGATCCGCCGTCCGCTTCTAGCGCTTCGACGCGATGGGTCTCCTCCATCTCCTTGAGTGCCGCGAGCATCTCGAGCGCTGCTTTGCGCAGTGTGCTCAGGTCATCGTCTTCGGCCGCTCTCTCTGTTGACAGCCGCCTTGCCAGAGGCATCGTGATGAACGGTACCGCCAGCGCACTCGACTGCGCTGGTGGCTCTTCCAGCGATACATCGGCATGCAGGATCTCGCTGGTGCGTGCGGGGACTGCCGTGCCCACCTGGCCCGGCCGCGACACACCGCTGAAGCTACTCTGGCGCTTGTAGCGGTCCTTTCCGCTCGGCTCCATGGGAGAGGTGGTGGGGATCTTGGACTGCTGTGGCAGAGCGAACAAGTAACTCCGTACCGACCGAATCGCTTTCGTCGTCGCATCGACCAGCCTGAGCACATCGGCAGTATCGTTCGTGCCTTGCCGCTGGTCCTCGCTGTCCGCCAAGAGGCTTCGAAGAGTCTCGGCATCGGGATCCGCCTGGATCCAGTCTGCAAGCTGCCAGACGTCGCTCAATCTCTGAAGATCAGCGACGAGCAGCGCCCGTAACGCGTTGGTATCGGCCTCTAGTGGTCTTGCTACGTCCAGGAAGCGCGGGCGCACATACGCCGCCGCCTTGGGACTTGGAGGCAGATCCGGAAGCTCGAATTCATCTTCTTCCTTTATCTGTCCTGGCAGGCCTCGGAGTGAAGTGGTAGGGCTTGGCGACGAGGTGACAGGGTCGCTTCCTAGCATCGCCTCGCCTGCGGGGCCGATGGCGAGCTGCATTGCGCCCTTGGTAGCGGGTCGACTGCGGTTGGCGATGCCCTGTTTCGTGTACAAATGCTGGAGGTAGCCGATGCTGCCGAGCGCAAGGATCGAGTCGCGCTTCGCCGCGCTGCGTGAGAACGGCTGTTGGTTGAACTTGGCCGCGACGCTCGCCGAGGGGTAGAAGAGAACGGAGCGTTTGGCACGCAGCGTCTTGCCATCGGGCGCGAGCACGTCGCGGTCCTCGTCCGGATCTTCGGCAGGAAACGCCAGCGCGGGAACGGCGACGGATTGCAGCGCAGGTCTCGCCGATGTGGCAGACGTTGACTGTGTGGGAATCTTGGTTGGCCCCCGGGGGAGCTCGGGTGGGCAGTTCTCCTTGTCCGCCTCCATCTTATCGTCGCTGCTCTGCTCACGCTCGAATCAGAGACGAAGATATACGAGAGATCAACCACCGCTCGATTGCGGAACAGTGACCGTGAGATGATTCTTGCCGATCGATGGATGTGGGTGGGTGGCAAGACCAGAGGAAATGGCGAGCAGGCGATGAAGGGTGGATCCCCATCTTTAGGGGTCCGAGCGCCTTTGACGTGTGCATTGCCTGAGCAGCGGCCCTCCTGCATGGCTCGCATGCATCGGTGCCCTACGAAGCCCACCTGCAGCTCGGCGCTAAGTTACGCGAACGGCATCAGTCAGCTCTACAAGCCGAGCCCGCTCACCCCCGTCCCCTCTGTAAGACCAGCATGCGTGCTGCTCTGCCTCTGTTCGATGGATCACTGATGTTAGACCCAGTTGTTGCTCAGATGCAAAGACACATAGGCCTTGGATGAGTGATTTGAAGCAGGCATGCTGAGCTGCGTGAGGGGTTCCTTGCAGAAAAAGCCACGCCCAAATTTCCACGCTTTGTTGGTCACAGACCAACACTTCAGGGATCTGAGACACCGTGCAGCCACATGCACGCTGCACGCACGCAACCCCGCGCGCGCCAGACCTGAACCACCCCCACCAACAGCCTCAAACCCGCCAGACCGACACCTCGTTGCTTCGAACCGCAATCACAATTGCTTGCCCGGAGACTTCTAGAAATACAAAGACACCCGAAAGCGTCATGTCACACGGGGGGAAGATGGATGGCCGCCTCGCTCGCTGCCGCTGGCATCGTGAGGTACGCCGGCGGGTCTGCAGGAGGCACGCTCTCCACCACAAAGCTCGCCAGCCCCCACGCACCCGATCCCAGCTTGTCTCCACCCAAGATCGGGCGGCGGTCGCCTCGCTCGCGTCCGGGATCGTTGATGAAGGCTGGGCGCTGAGCGATCTTGACCATCGAAGCATGGCTGGGCTGTGTGAGGACGCTAAAGTGCGGCAGATGGGTGTTGGGCTCGTAGACGCCGATCGGCGGGCCACGGCGACGCTTGGTTTCGGCATCGCTCTGCGCGATGGCCTTGCGCTTCTCGTTCTCCTCCTCTGCATCGGTGCCTGAAGTCGCCACGATGAGCTCACGCTCCCACGGAGGCAGATCGTTGAACGCCTCGGGGTCGTCCTCAGGCTCTGCGTCGCCATCGGCCACCTCGTCCGTAGCCTCTTCAGAGCCGGCGACTCCGTCCAGCCCAACATAGCGGTTGAAGCGCGGGAACGCCGACATGCGGTCGCGGCGCGTTTCGCCGAGCTCCGTGTTCATGCCGCGCACGCTCCTGGCCATCTCGAGCATCCAGTTCTCCTCGGTGATATCGACGCGCTGCAGCGCCACCTTGCGCGACTGCCAGTTGCCCGCCCTGACCCAGGGCGTCTGCCCCGCATCGCCGAACTGCGTCACCACGGGCTCGCCCTGCGGGTCGATTGTCGTGTAGCTGAACGTGTCTGCCTTCTTTTTGGGGCGTTCGCGCTCGCGCTCGGCTTCACGTCGCTTCTCCTGCTCTTCGGTCGACATTCCACCCACAGTCTTGCCTTCTTTGACGCCGGACGCACGCGCCTCGGCCTCGTAGTAGTCGTCGATCACCGCTTTACCCCCGCTGAGGAAGCGCGCGCCGTGCAGCTTGTACACGTTGCGCGCGGGCACCATCGTGACGTTGCGCGTCTTGAGCTGGCCGCTCAGACGACCATCCTCGATGAGCTTGTCCTTCTCTGCTTGCAGCAGCTCGATCTTGAACACCTGCGGATTGCGACGGAAGAAGTAGAGCGAATCTCGATAGCCTGCCGAGCGGGCAGCATCGATCGACAGCATGTACACCTTCTCTGGATCAGGCCGGAGGTCAGACGTAAAGTGGTGGGCTTTGTACTGTCGTCCGCCCTGCAGTCGACCCTTGTCGTCGATCTTCTTGTCGCCATCCGGGTCCGAGGGAAGGATGACTTCCTCGCCATCTGCCTCCAGACGGTACGTCTTGCCTTTGATGGTGACCGTCTTGTGGCCGTCCTCGTCGACGCCCTCCTCATCGTCATTGCCGTCTGCGTCTGCGTCTGCGTCATCGCCATCGGCATCTGCATCAGCATCGGCGTCGGCATCCGCATCCGCATCGCCGTCTGCATCGTCGTCTACGCCTTCTTCTCCATTGATGCCGTCTGCATACTCGTCATCCGCCACGTTTTCCTGCTCCGTCTGTTCGTCGGGTCGCTCGGATGGAACGGCACCGTCATCATCCTCAGCTGCAGCGTTCCGCGAACGCGCCGAGCCTTTCCTGCGAACGACAGAGATTCTGGGCGCCTTCCTCGGGCTACGCTTGGAGCGTGATGCGGATGGACTTTGCGGTACGGGTGTGGCGGAATTCTTGGCTCTAGCGCGGGTGGAACGGCTGCGCTGTGTGGTTGCAGCCTCGGCGTCGGGTTGGTGGGCATCCGCCTCGTCGCCGTCCCCGGAGTCGCCACCCTCCTGCTGCGGCGAGCCCATCACCACATCCTCATCATGCTGCTCCTGTTTGGTCGGCTGTCGACGAGAACGGCGCGCTGGTGTTGCCCGTGTTGGTGTGGATGCGGATGCCTCAAAGGCTTCCTCGTGCGACCGTGTGCGAGATAGCCGCGAGCTTCGCGACCGTGACAGCGCGGGCGTCGACGATGATTCTGCTGTCTTCATCTCTTCGTCGGCTAGGCCATCTTGGGATGGATCGTCCTGATGCGCGGAAGGAGCCGGGGCTGCGGCTGCGGCTGCGGCGGTCGATGCCTCGGATTCGGCCGGAGCTGCATCCGTCGGATCAGCCTGTTTGCGTACTCGCAGAGTGATGCCCTTCGTTCTCGCCATGCTGAGCGAGCGGTCGTGACCTGCGAAGCTTCTCTGATGAGAGCTGGCAAAGAGGAGAGTGTGGTGCGGAAGATTGATGAGGTCTTTGACACGTCCAGCGCATAAAGTTTGGCTGAAAGTGCCAATCGCGAAGTCACAGTATGCAGAAGGACGCGTGAGAGGAAGGCGCTTGCACACTGCACTCCTACCCGATTTTCGAGAATCCGACGCGTCGAGGCGGAGCCGAGAGGTGAGGCGGATTTCCACCCTCCACCAAGCTCAGTCACCGAGCCTGGGAGATGAGTGTGATTCTTCGCCGTCTGCCGTGTGGCTCAACAACGGCCTGCGCAGATGGGTAAGCTCGGGCCAGCCGAAGGGTCCAACCGCACTCGGCCCTGTCGCCTCGTGTCGCTTTTTGGCAGGCATCCATCCGATGCAGAGAGGAGCTCGGACCGCCTCTCTGGCGTGGCTTCGGCTCTTCCGACCCTGAACGGCGATCCTGCGTGCATGCTCTGCTTTGCGCGCGGGCGAAAAGTCCAGAGTTCCCACCGAATGAGATTGGCACGGAAGAGCCGATGCAACCTCTGCATCAGCCAGACCAGATCAAAGAGGCGAAGCGCTCCTTCGACGAAATGACCCTGGAGGCCCACCTTGAGCTTCGTGCGGCTGGTGCGTGTGAAGTGCAGCTCCACGCTCCTGCATTCACTCGCTGATCCCACTGTGACAAGTGCGGGCCGAGCAAGCCCGCTTAGACACCGTCTCTGGCAATCCACTCGTGCTGTTTCAGCATCTCGGAGCTTGACAAAGTAGGATTAGCCACACACGCCGTGCCGTCAGCGGCACTGACGCGCAACCAGCACGGTCCGCGACTGCGATCATCACAGTGTCGTTACCGGAATGGCACTCTCTGCTGCCGCGTTCCTTTCTTCCCCTCTCTCAGCTCCCCCATCAAGTCGATCACAGCAACGAGGATGAACACGACGGCAAACGACATGGGCAGTACCGCCGCAGGTGCAGTTGGCTGGGACCAGTACCCTTCCGCGCCTGCTGAAGTTGCCTTCAACACCGACAATCCGATACAGCCAGACATCGTCGCTATGGACGAGGACAACGAGGCGCGCTCGGACCAAGTAGCGCTCGTCGATAAGGACGGTTTCGAAGTCTGGTGCTCCAGGGCTAAGGTGCTCGAGCAATCTGGTCAGCTCTTCGAGATGATCTTGGGAGGCCGCATTCATCTTCCCGTGTCCTCCAGCGAGGCCTTCTTGCTCGCCAGGGGTATCGACGCGCGCATTTCGGGTTGGGACTGCTACTCTCTCGAGCAGCTTATGCAAGCCGTCAACCTCTTCTCCCACTACGAACTCCGCCAGTGGGAGCGCAGCGGCTTGGAGACCGCCATCATCGACCGTCTCGAGCGACCGGACGAAGAAGCAGGCCCATCCCCCAAGCTCCGCGACCGACGTTTCGCCGACAGGCTGGTGTACACTGCACAGCAGGGCAGCATGTATCGACTTTGGAGCTTTATCGACAAGCAGGGACTCTGTAGTGCAGTTCATTATGATCCGGGAGACGACAGGCCCAGGAAGCGCCGAAAAGTCTCGACTGAGTGGGTTTATCAGTGCATTGAGTGTTCATGATCAATTCCATCGAGTCCACCACTGACACGTGGCTCCACCTGCATGCGTGTGCCTGCCTCGCAAGGCCTTGGTGTGATGGCTATGTCGGTGGCTGCCTTGTCTTTCGCGTAGCTGTTGCAATCAGTCTCAAAATCAAGGCGGACGACAGACGGACGTTGCGGGACAGGAGCACTTGACCAACGGACTGGATTGATGCGGATGCTGAATGCGAGCTACAAGAAAAGGGACAGATGGGGGTATCGGATACAATGTTCAGGCGGACGAGTTGAGGGCCGCCGATGTGCGTCTCCACCAACCGAGCGCCGCTACACTGCCTGCGAGGGCGACGCCGAGCAGTGCGGCGCCGCTGACAAAGTTGATGACGCCTGGGTCAGGGCCGTCGATCTTGGGCTTGCGCGTTTGCTTTCTCCTTCTCTCCTTCCTCCTCCGTGCGTGTCTCTGCCTTGCCTGAGCTGCTTCGTCACCCATCCACGCATTGAACAGACCCGATAATGCGCTCGACGACGAAGCCTGGCCGTACCTCCGCGATCGCCTCGTTGCCGAACGCGCCTCGCTGTCGCTCTCGAAGGTCAGACCGCCGCTCTCGCTGTTGCCCGCCCAGCTGCCCATCTCCTCGGCGTGTCGGAGGCCCTGCTCCTCGTTCGCCCTTCGCTCCTCGGCCTGCAGCGCCAGCACCACCGCTTCCGACCACTCGCCTGCGCTGATCTGTGTCGCAACGTCGTTGTCCAGCATGCAGGCCTCGCGGAAAAAGTAGAATGGCCCAGGCTGGCTAGCCGCGGTGTGATCAGACTGCACAACAAAGTCGGAAAAGGGCGGCTGCCCCGCGGACGCCTGCGCTGCTGCATGGTCAGGCGACGCCATGCGGCTCGATTCAGCCACGGTGGGCGAGTTGGGCGCCCTCGTACTCTTGGCGGGCGAAGCGGCGCCTCCTTCTGCGCCTGCAAAGGTGAGCGAGGCGATGCTCGGTGTCCGACTCGACGTCGCGGAAGTGGCGTTGGGACTGAGTCTCCGTCTGAGATTGCCGGCCGGATGCTGGACGCCCTGGCCGCCACTGACGAACGGACTCGTTAGCTGTCCATACGGGAACGCCAGCGGAGACCGATTCGAGGCGAGAGAGGGCAGATGCAACCGCGCGTACGATACGTACAGGCGCGCAAGCGCTTTCGGCCCGCCCAGCGAGGCCACGAGTCGCTGCCGGTGCGACATGTACGAATGCGAATGCAGTCGTTCGCGCAACGAGCTCGCCACCACTTTGCCCGTGTCGGGCAGATTCATGGCCGAGCGAGCGAGGAAGGGCTCCAGCACCTCGGCGAGTCGGACGTCGACGATGCTCTGATCTTGATGCCCGACGCCCTGTCCCGTCGAGGGCAAAAGTGGGAGTGAGTCTTGCACCAGGCGCTCGGTCGCCAGGCTCACGTCGGCGGCTCTCCACGCGCGAGCAAAGTACTCGAATGCGGCTGTGATGCCCGAGGAGGAGGACGGGCCCCTCCTCAGCTGGCCCGCGAGGCCCGAAGACCTGTGCAGGCTGTCGCTGTTGGCGTGCTGCAAGCCGATGAGGGAGAGAGTGGTGGGATCCATATTGTATCTCGCCACCACCTCGAGCTCCTTCCATGCTTCGAGCGTCTCGTCGTCTTGCTCGCGCTCTGTGTCGTCGTGGCTGGATTCGAGCGCAGCTGCACGTGCGCGCTCGATGCCGGCCGTGGTCGCTGCGAGGCTGGCGACGCGACTGGCGACTCGGCTGCCCAACACAGTGGCACTTTCGTCGCTGGCGATGGTGTTGATGCTGAGGGTGCTGGTGTTGGGACCGAGATCCTCGTCGCTGTCGATGCTGGTGCGGGAATGGTCTTGATCGTGGAGGCTCGAGCCCGATTGTGAAGAAGAGGTTGCGTGGCCGCGACGGATGGCGGCTAGCACCCGATCACCATCTTCAAATGCGCTGAGGGCCTCCTCGAGGGCCTGGTTGAGCTGGATCTGAGCTGCGCTGCGCTGTTGACGTTCTTGCTCGTGGCGTCGGCGCTTGAGGATGCTGTCGGAGACGAAGGCCTCGGTGATGGGAACATCGCGGCTGAGATCCGATGCCAGCAGTCGGTGGAGACGAGGTGGAATGGCTTCCATGTGCACCGGCGCGGGTCCGACGACGAGCAGAGGCCAGATGCCCGCATCGATCTTGTCGAGATGCAAGGTGACAAGACGGACTTCGGGCGGGCCAGCGTGTGGCGCAACCGATTGAGAGCCAAACGAGTTGCGTGCGGCGGCCGAAGCAGACAGAGGCGCTGAAGCCAAGTCAGAGCTAGACTGCGACCTGCGGACGCCGGCGTGCTCGGGCCGGTCTACCGACGGTACGGCTCGACTGGCGTAGCTGCGTTGATCACCTGGGTCCGAGAGGACGACGCTCTGATTGAGGCTAGCATCTGCCGAGTCGGAAGAGCCGAAATCGCTCGATCCGCTGGACCACTCGGTCGCAGGGCCTGCGGAATGGGCTGGGAGAGAGACGGGTGTGGAGCTGGATAAGACCTCGTAGCTGGAGCCCGATTGCAGCGAGACTATGGATGCAGACAGGCTCGAGTTGGATGGAGGAGGCGAATCGACGTGAACGTGCGAGCCCGATGCTTGCGAGCCGGTGGAGTTAGAGACGGAAGGCACGGTGCTCGGGATCTGACGGTGCTGTGCATGCGCCGTGCGCGTGTAGGGTGCGTCGGCGGAACCGGACGCAGAGTTGCTCGGCGGAGCGGGGGATGCTCGGGCAAAGGAGCGGCTCCTGCGTTTGCGCGCGCGGTCGCGGTCGGCGATCCTCCAGGTGGACGTGTCTGTGTTGACGCGGCCATACAGCCTTGCCTGAATGATGGGCGGGTGATTGGGGATCGAAGCAGAGACGTGGTCGGAGGCGATGCGGATGTCGATGTCGCTTGCCGAGATGGATTGCGGCACGAGGAACAGCACGGTAGCCTGATCGTGCGACTGGTGGAAGGTCCAGCCATACAAAGGACCGTGAGCGGAAGGGCTGCGCATATCGGCGAAGAGAACTGCGCCCCGAGGTTGTGGGGCCTAGCGAGCGAGGTGGTCTGCTACATTGACTGCGACCGCAGCCAGCACGTGGATGCGCAAGTGTGTTCAAGATGTCGATGGACGGCAGTCCGAGGTTTGGAATGACGGTGACTGGTGGTGATAGTAGGGAAGGCGCTGGTGGTAGGAGCGCGATACGACGTCGGCCTTGCCGCCGCTGCGGGCCTTTGTTGGGGTTGCTTGGACCCTGGCTGCGTGTTGGTCTGGCGCTGGCGATAGACGTGTGCGCTCGGGCAAGGCTCAGCATGCGCGGGAGTGTGTGACTTTGCGAGGTGAGCCTAACTCAGGTGGCGGCTGCGCCTTGCGCGCCGGCCTGCCAAAATGGCCATAGCCGACCGCGCCGAGTCGAGTGCGGCAGCAAGGCTAAGAGGGGGAAATCGATGGGCCCCTGCAGGCAAAGTGGAGGCTAAGACAAGTCACAAGTCACAAAAAGCCCGCCCCGCCCGAGCTCACCGATTTTGGTTGGGTGGAAGTTGTGCTAGAAGAGAGGCCTAACATTTTCCAGCCGCGCCAAGGACCATTCGCCGGTCGTTCCCTCTTCTTGCCTTGGGACCATGGCCTGCAACCGCGTGCAGGTGTCGTCGCGCGTTGGGCTGGTCAAATGCATGGGCTTGCAGCCTCGCTTGGTGCCTACTGCGCGCCCTCAGGACCTCATCACGGGTCAGGTGCGTGTCTTTTGCTGTTGACTGTTTGGCTCAACTTCGTTTGGCGAGGGCGTTGGTATGCAGCACTGCATCGCTTCTGCACCTCTGCACCTCTGCGCCTCTGCCCACTTCTGGAAAGGAAGAGTGTGCTGCCTCGCGCGTGCATGGCGGAGCCATCGCTAGTTAGTCCACGACCGAGACAGGAGTCTAGCCATGTCCGCCAACTGTGATCTTCGCTCTGGATTGGCTCGACGCTTCTGGAAGAGAATGATTTTTCGAGCCGTGCCTGGGCGCTGTGTGTGTGCCTGAGCCTAAGGCTGCGACCGAAAATCGACGATTCGGGAAGGCCCGCCAAATGAGCCTGAATAATGACGGGCTGGCTGGCTGTCTGGGTTAGAACGAGTGTGCCATGACAGTCGCCAAGCGCTCTCATGTGTTGTGTCTGCCTCTCGGGGGGTCGCAGGCCAGAGGCGCTGCCCGCCGGTCAATCTGGCAGCAAGAGCAGTCGACGGCCGCTGCATGCGACCGCCAAGCAGGAGTGCAGCAGAGTGCACTCACGGCGAGTCGGACTGCAGAGTCCGTGCAGCTCAGGACGGACTCATTTCTGATTCACCGCACGCGCCCGGCCTTGGAGCCTCGCTGCGCTTTAGGCTTTTTTGGTTTTGGCACACTCGGCCAGCCCGGGTCCGCCGTGTTGGAGTTCGCAAGTCAATCTCAGCCAGTGAGCCAGTCAACCAGTCAGCCGATTCTGGACCCGTTGCGGATTTTTCGCAAGCAGAGCGACGCTTCGCCCGCTTCCGTTGGTTGGGCATTGGCAGAGTGCGTTGCCGCGCTGGAAGCGTGCGTGCGTGGCCGACTGCATTTTGTTGGTGCGGCTCAGAGTCCACTCACTGGGCCTCCAAAAAGACGGATCGGCGCGCCCGAGCCTCAACGGCCGAGCGGGCTGCTGCTGCTAACGTACTGCTGCTGCTGCGACTGCTGCTTCTGATGCCGCGACCCTAGCCCCACTCGTCTTTGACCATCCGTCCACCTTCGGCCTCATCCCTTCGGACCCCAACCCCACCAGATACCCTTTCCTCCTCCATCGTCTCCTGGAGTCTCTTTGCTCCGTCGCCACTTGAGAGCCGCTGCTGCCGCCGTCCCAGCCGCTCTGGGCCACGCCAGTCCACTCTCCCCGAACTCCCTCTACATCCAGCACCACTGTCGCGATTAAGCTTTGACTTGCTCCTGGGCCAAAGGCAGCAATCCGCATTCCTCAACTCTCAGTGCACATTTGCAAAGCAGCGACCGCGCCAAGAGTCTTTGCGTTCACCTCCATCTGGTTGTCGCGGCGTGTTGCGAATCCATCTGCTTACTCTGTCTGAGCATGGCCAGCGCTCCCGCGAGACCGCCTCGCTTCGGTATCGACAACGCCATGGATTCAACAGGCATGTATGCAAATGACGCCAACTCCACCGCCTCCCACGGCTCTTCCAGCCGCTTCGCTCCCGCCGTGGGCACGCGCTCCACTCCCGCCCCCGCGCCTACCGCCTTGGCAGACGTGTTAGCCCGCGCCGACGGAGACCACGTCGCGGCTCTCGACCAAGTCTTGGCTGAGCGCAACCAATTCTGCCTCGACAATGCCAAACTCTCGTCCGAAAATGTGCGCATCTGGAATCTCATGGGCCGCATCCGCAAGGAGAACGAAAGCCTCAAGGCAAGGTGTGTCGAGCTCGAACGCGCTTATGCCGCCGCACCTGCTACCAGGGGCTCGCCGCTAGGCTCCACCAACAGCGCCACGCCCGGATCCCCAGCTGGCGGTCGCAGAAGGATGCCCTACGGCCAAGAAATCGAAAGGTCCAGCAGTCCGCTCAGCTCTCCACGCCACATGCGACAAAACTCTCGATCCGAGCTCGACCAGCGTCTCGCCTCGGCTGGCCAAACCACCAACTTGGCCAACTCCCGAGCTCCTACTGACAACGGCAACGGCGTCTCCGGCGCACCTTCCGCCTCTGCGCCCGAGCCGGCCAGCGTGTTGTCCGACACCATTGGCTCCACCCACGCCTACGACAGCCCTGTCACCAGCGTAGACCAAGGCCCATCGCGTAGCACTCAACCCGTCGACACGGGCCTCGATCGCAGCGTCCATGCCAACGCGGATCATCAGGCTTCCATCATACAGCAGCGCGCCGCTGCCCAGGCACAGGCGCAGTCCATGTCGCTCAATCGATCGGCTCAAGGCCCAGACACGCTCGCCGACTCGCTCGCCAGCCACGAGAGCGCCGACTTTGAAGCCGTGGATCGCAGCTCTGCCTCCGGCACCGACGAAAGTCCTCACTTGCACCAGTCGGCCACGCATCCTCCGTCGTCCGCCTACGATCGTCATCGAACGCCGATTCAGCAGCCTTATGCCGCACCCTCGGGCATTCCCGCATCGCCGTATCATCCTTCGGTAGACAGAGCCGTCGAGCAGGAGCGTTCGCTCCTCGCCTCGGGTCCCAATCGCAACCGAGCCGAGATCACTCCGACCATGATCCCCTCCTCGGCCAGCTCGCGTTCGCTGGTCTCCAAGGTAGTCTCCGAGGACCGCCTCTCACGCGGCACAGGCTCTCGCAGGTCCAAGGACGACGTCAAGAAGCATCGCGTGCTTGCTCCCCGCCTCGACTCGTCGCTGTTGCGCGTCGCCAGCGTCAAGATCCAGGGCACCAACTACCGCTCCCCGGATCGAGGCAAGGAAGCCATCTCCTTCCTCATCACCGTCGACATTCTGCATCCTCCGGCCTCCTGGGGCCTCAACAGCATGGCCTCGGGCGAGCCCAGTCCACCTACCTCGTGGACCATCGAGAAGAGCTACAGCGACATCATCGGCCTCGATGCCAAGCTTCGCAGCAAGGTCGGAAAGAAGGCCTCGCAGCGCCTCGCTCCCTTGCCCGACAAGGCCCTCTTCAAGGACCACGCGCCTGCCAAGGTCGACCAGCGCAAAGCCCTGCTCGAGATCTACCTGCAGAGTCTCATGGTGCTGGAGCTCCCCGACAAGGACGAGGTGTGCACGTTCCTCTGCACCGACGTCGTGCCGAATCGTATGCGCGATCCGCTCTCGACCAGCAAGGAGGGCTTCCTCACCAAGAAGGGCCAGAACCTCGGCAGGTGGGTCACGCGCTTCTACGTGCTCCGCAACTCGTTCCTCAGCTACTACGAGACGCGAGGCGGTGCCCAGATCGGCAGCATCAACATCCGAGATGCTCAGATCGGTCGCCAGTAGAAGAGCACGGCGAGCAGCGAGCAGGACGAGAATGCCTACCGACACGCCTTTTTGATCCTCGAGAAGCGCGAGGGCATGCCCGACGAGCCGGCACACATCGCCCGCCACGTCCTCTGCGCCGAAAGCGACGAGGAGCGCGACGACTGGGTCGACGTGCTTGTGCGTGCCATCGCCGAGCTCGACGGCGTGTCGTTGGACGACATGCCCGCATCGCCCACGCAAGCGATGAGCCAGATGTCCCTGTCGCAGCAGGCCACGACGCCAGGGCGCGAGGCTTTGGGGTCCAACGCCAGGTTCCCGGACTCGGCCTTCAGCCCGTCGGCTGACAAGGCTGGCAGGCAGTTTGGAGGCGACGCAGGCCAGGATGGCAGCCGCAATGTAGCGGCGCGCATGAACAGCGTCGACTCGACCGCTACGGGCAAGCCGGTCGGCTCGACGCCTGGCTCGTCGCTGCCACAGTCGGCATCGTACCGCAGCTTCAACGAGCCGCGCTCGCCCGTGAGCTCGAGAGGCGCTGACCTGTACGATGCCCCTGGCTCGCCCGGTCCGCGCAACGAGCCGCTCAACCGCGGCAAGACGTCGATCAGCGGGCCGCTCAACGGCGCGCCCATCCCAGCCGGCTACAAGTTTGGCGCCAAAGACGACATGGGACCGGACAGCAAGAAGGACGACAAGAAGCGCTTCTGGCAGGGCTTCCGCGCCTTTGGCGGCAGCGACAAGCACAACCGCGAGCCCCGACCCGTGTTTGGCGTGCCGCTCGCCGAGTCGATTGCGATCTCGAGCATCCACGAGGGCCTGGCCCTGCCCTCGGTGGTGTACCGCTGCATCGAGTACCTCGAGAAGCGCAACGCCTTTATGGAGGAGGGCATCTATCGGCTCTCGGGCTCGTCGGCGGTGATCAAGAACCTCAAGGACCGCTTCAACATGGAGGGCGATGTGGACCTGCTGACCGAGAACCAGTACTACGATCCGCATGCCATCGCCGGCTTGCTCAAGACCTTCCTGCGCGAGCTGCCGACGAGCGTGCTGACGCGCGAGCTGCATATGGACTTTATGCGTATCAACGAGCTGCAGGACCGCGTCGAGCGCGTCAACGAGCTCGGCAGGCTGGTGTCGCAGCTGCCGCTGGCCAACTACTCGTTGCTCCGGACGCTCTGCAGCCACCTGATCAAGATCATCGAGCACTCGGACGTCAACAAGATGACGATGCGCAACGTCGGCATCGTGTTTAGCCCGACGCTGGCGATCGGAGCGGGCATCTTTGCGCTCTTCTTGACCGAGTTCGACAGCGTCTTTGAGACGGATGCCAACGGCGAGCCGGCTCCGAGGAGGATCGGCGAGGAGCAAGTGGAGGGGCAGCAGCAGGACGCGGAGCAGCATGCAGGACAGGTGCACGACGAGACGAGCGCGAGGAGCAAGAGGAATAGCGTTCAGTACCGCGAGAGCCAGGCGGACAAGCTGCTCGGCTTGGAGGGGAGGAGCCTCAGCCACCAGGCTGTGGACGAGGACATGGAGGGAATCGGCGAGGAAGCGTGGGCGGAACAGCGCCGTGCATCGGAGCCAGCGGAGAACGGACAGATGCAGTACGAACAGGCGCCGCAGACCTACGGCCACCACCACGGCGGCGAGATGCATGGCCAGCACAACGCTCCGTCGGCCATCATGAGCTAAGCTCGCATCGCTGGCAGATGCTTGCTCCCAACTTTCTTTCTTCATCCACATTCGTGTCTGTTTTGCAATGATACCAGGCTTTGTCCTTTCTCAACGAACCTCTTGCTCAAGCTTGACTTGACTTTAAGCTCCAAGTCAATGTGATTGTGCCAGTGAAAGGTCCAGTTCAAGTCGCTGCTTCTCGGCGGGTGTACGGTTGCCCGGCTCCGCGTCTTGACGGTGTCGACGCAATCACGAGACTGCGGGTCTACAAATTCGCTTCTCAATGTGTCGGCGAATCAGCGAGTCCACGAGTCCGCGAACCTGCAGATCTGCGTGCGAACTTTCGAGGCCGCGGACGTCACTCCTCCTTGTGTCGCCGGATCGTGTCGTTGAATCAGTAAGTCCGCAAGCTTGCGGATGACGCTTCCCAATGTGGTCGGCAAGTCTGCGAGTCCGCAACCCTGCGACGAATCATGCGAGTCTGAAGTTCTGTGAGTCTGCGAGTCTGTGAGTCGGCAAGTCGGCAAGTCGGCAAGCCTGCAAGTCTCACAGTCGGCAGGATCGGCGCGTGAGCGGGCCTGAAAGTTCGCGCGCAAGTCTTCGAAGCTTACGACTCCTTGTGACGGCAAAGAGTGTGGGTCTGCATCTCGTCTTTTTGCAGATCCGCATCTCAAACCAGGCAAGACGGGACGCCGCACGCCTTCTTAGGCGCAACAGAAGGGATCGATTGACAAGATGGATTGCAAGACCCCCAGCAGCGATTCGACCTAGTATTGGCGGACTTCGGCCGGCCGTTCTTCTTGGACAAGTCCTCCAAGTCTTCTAAGGAAGAATGGTAGCGACGATCTTGCGCTTGTGGGCGAGTCGCCTGAATTCGCAAAGATAGAAGCCTTGCCAAGTGCCCAATGCTACATTCCCATTGGAAATTGGTACAGTGATACTAGGTCCGATCAGGCTGGCTTTGGTGTGAGAGACCGAATCGTCGGGGCCCTCATCGGTGTGCTTCCAGGGCAGCGATTCCGGAACAACGTTGTCCAATGCCTGCGTGGAATGAAAAGCTCAGACGGGTCAGGGACTACTGGCAATCTGAAATGAATGGGAAGGGGGAGGGAAGGGGGGGGGGGGGGGGTGAACGCACCATGTCCATGTCGGTCCTGACGTCTCGATCGAAGTTCTCGTTGAGGCTGAGTGCAGCAGAGGTGTGCTGAATGAACAGCGTGAGCATACCGATCTTGACACCCTTGAGGCCTTCCTCGATATGAGGCATGATCTCGTTGGTCACCAGATGGCAGCCCTTGCTTCGCGAGCTGAGCGTAAACTGCTTTTGCCAAGGCATGGTGGGTTTGTGAGTCACAGCAGCGGCGTGGTCGCAGCTGCAAGTCAAATGTCGTCGTCGGTAGAGAAGCTCGAAAACTCCGGGAATTGGCAGAACCCAGTACAGAAGCGCAAGCAGTAGTACGAGGCAGGTGACGTAGGTCGGATCGAGATACTGTCCGGCGCGATGCTGTGCTTTGAGCTTGCGGCGTGCTTCGCGTTTGTCGATCGGGGAGTGAGGCGACTGCGAGTACAACGTATCCGTCGATGGCGTAGACATGGAGGTTGCAAGGAAAGATGAGCTTTCGAATCCTTCCACCGCTGATGGCGCATGGTCCACCTTATTTTCAGCTCAACTCGCAGATCTGACGCGTGGCGTGACGTCATTATTCTCTCTCACAAACAGAGATGGCATTTTGAAAAAACGGTACCGTTGCAGCTTCTCTCACATCACGGCTCGTCCTTTTGCTTGCGATATCACTGCATACCGACATAGTCCATAAAGATAGTCTTGTGGGGTGGTTAGGGGTCCTAGAGACCGATCCACGAACTGCGGCCGCCAGGATTGTGCAGTCGAGTCATGTTGATCTTGGCCCTGGTCGAGATCTGCATCGGGCTGGGTTGTAAGGCGTCGGGCCCGTTGGGCAGGCTCAGGCTCGGGATTCTGGGCGTGTTGGGCGCGTTTGCAAAGTGCTGGTCTGCGGCAGTGCTCGTGCTTCCGATTGACGAGCTTGCGTCCAGTGATACTGGCCTCTGCTTTGCCGCATCCACGGCAGTCGGGATGGGCAAAAATGCCTCGGCGCTCCATTCGTACCAAACGCGGTCGCTGGCCGTCATGCGCCACATGTGCACGTCCAGTTCGGCATTGGCGGGCAGATAGAGCGGCTCCCTAAAGGGAAAGAAGATCGGGAACCAACTCAGCATGTCCTTCGAACCCCTGACTGGGTCTGGATGGATGCTGAGCACGACATTGTCGTAGAGATGCGCTTCAAAGTAGCCCGCCAAGCCGTGGCACGTGCCCGCCTGCGGGATGTGAAATGTATGCTTGGCCGACCGGATGTTGTGTCCGTTCGAAGCTGGCAGCCCTTGCTCGTCGTACACCAGCGGAGTAACCGCAGAGGGTCGGTGTTCAAACGTCCACGACTCCTGCACCTGCTCCGAGTTCAACCTGCCGCCGCGTGCTGCCAACAAGGCTACGTTCTGGAACAGCACCACGTACGGCGTCTCTGCCGCCTTTTGTACGGCCGACGTCAGCGCCGCATTGGACCCGTTGAGCACCTCGGTGTGCAGCTTGGCCGACGAGAGCGGCGACAAGAACGCCGTGTACGAGGACGGGATCGAAATGCCATTGGGCTTGAGGAAGCGCATCGCACCATCGAGACACTCTGGCGAGAGCTCGTTGTCGCCGAAGCTGCCGAGCAACTCGCTGACCACGATATCGGGCCGATCTGCCATGCTCGGCGGCACAGGGTGGCGACGCATGTCGCCATACTGGACGCGCACCTGGTCGCCCCACTCGAGCGCCTGACGCTCCTGCAACGTGACGAGCGCATTCGGATTCTTCTCGAGCGCCACGAGCTTGACCGATCTGCCCGCTCGGTCCGCTGCATTCAAGCACCGATCCACGAGCGGACCCCTGCCCGCGCCGCACACCCAGATGAGCGTGCTCGCCGAGGCAGGTCGGTCGAGCAGCGCCTTGTACACGGCCTCTTCGTACAACGCGTACTTGACGGGATCGCGCTCAAACACCTCGTATGTCGTGCCCTCGAGGTTGTCCATGAGCGGCTGGAGCGGTGCCTGAAGCCAGTCGGTGTAGCCACGCGCAAACGAGTCGACGGCTCCATCTGGCGGTGCCGCCTTCTCGAGATGTCGCAGATACTGCAGGTACGCCAGTGGCCCGCCGCGCGAGTGCGTCGGCGGCGGACTCTGCACGCCACTCAGCACGACGGTGGGATTCTTCTTGAACATGGTTCGGAAGAAAGACTGCGACGCCTTGGACAGCACTGGGAAGCCTTTCGCATTGGCCAGGTACGAGACGCTTGGCACCCACAGCATGCTGACTGGCTCGGCCATCCAGCGGGCCAGAATGCTCGGACCCGGCAGCGGGCTGCCGAGATCGAGCGCGATCTGGAGGCGCGTGTTGTACGCGCACAGCTGGCGGATCTGCTCCCACGTTTCCCAGGCCCAGTCGTCCTCGGCTCGGAGGAGCGCGGCGGACGAGGTGGCGCTGGCGTGCGACGCCTGAGAGCTCGCCGAGGCGTTACTGCCCGCCGTGGTGGATGCGGTGAGGCCGAAGCCGTTCTTGCCGTTCTGACGCTGGAGGATCTTGTTGAGCTGGTAGGGCGACGATACGGGCAACTGGATGGTGAGCGTCATCCACGATCCAGCCGGTGCGGTCTCGGCGCTACCGCTGGCTAGGCATGAGTTGATTGCGCGCGCATAGTCCGCGAGGAAAGGTTTGCGGGCCGGGTCGGATGAGGGCGGTGGGATGACGACGTTCGAGATGCCGAGGTAGGAGGCGTACGCGAGCTCCTGTCGCAGCGCCAGCTCGCAATCGAGACGCACACCTTCGTCGGGCGAGTCGAGCTCGATCCATTGGCTAGCGAGCGCGATGACGCCCTCGGTCTCTTCGAGCTTGGTGAGGTTCACTTCGGACCGCTTGAAGGCGGGTGCCTTGCGCCATTCCTCTGCCTCGCGCGCGATGCTGCCAAACGGCGATTGACCGGCGCTGCTGACGGCGGGAGAGGGGGACTGCCGGACACCGCCGGGCGTGAAGCTGTTGAGTCCCTGCCGGCTGCTGCTGCGGGCGAGCATGGCGCCGCCGGAGGACATCTGCACTGCGGTCAGAGGCGAGGGTGTAGCGGAGGAGCCGGACGCGGATGGAAGGTCTGCTGGATTAGCTAGGCAGAGTCGCTCCCAGCGATCCTTCCAACGCTCGTTGGCGAGTTCCAAGACAATGGCGTCGTAGCCCTGGGAGCGCGAGAGCGTCAGCGTCTTCTGTGCTGGGCTGAGGCCATTGAGGGCAGCCGAGGTGGTAGGATCAAGGTCGACGGTGAGACCAAGCGCGGCTGGCGCCGGACCTGTAGCGGTGTTGAGCGCATTTGCATGTGATGCTTCTGGCAGCGTGGGAAGTGCCTGGACGTTCTGCTGAATGTGGGAGCGTCGGTTCGGATTGCCCGACAGAGGCGCCGAGCCGCCCTGGACCGAGTTGACTTGGTCGACTGCCGAGGTGGGAACGTGCAGAGCGACCGAGAGCGGAGGACGCGCTCCGTCCGCCTGGCCATTGGACTGCAGCGTGGCCTCGACGGCGGCCATGCTGGAAGAGGGCATCTTGGCTTGCTACGCTGATCAAGGACGGTAGCGTCTTTGCGGGACCGCCGAAAGAGTGACTGTGCTGTGGCGGCGCGATTGGCTTGCTAGCCGATCCGTCAGCTTGTATGATTTCGTCAAGACGCGCCGCTGCGATGCTTGCGCTCGCGGATCAGGACCAGGATCGTGTGTGTGATGAGGAAAGGATGCAGCTCTTCATACTTGCTGGCGGTGAGGAAAACACTGATCAGCATCCGCGCCCAATTTCGAGAATGCCCGGCTAGCTGGCTCGCAAAAAAAGTCAGGGAAATTGAAGCCGAAGCCGTTCTGCTGCTGCGGTCCACTGCGGTCCACACAGAGACCAACACCGCCGGACGAACCACATGACACGCTTACGAGCCGAATTCGAGAGGTGTTTGTTTCTGCTTGCTTCCCGTGCCGCGTTATGAAGGGACGGCGCGTCGCAGCTGCAGGATCTCGGGGATCGGAATGCAGTTGGCCCCGATTTCGTTTCATCCGACAGCTCCACAGCTCCACTCCAACACTCGAGTGCGAGAAGCACGCTCTGCGCTCTCCAGCCTTCTTGGTCAAGTTCCCTTTCATCGTCACGATTCGATTCGCTATTCTTTCCAACGGCTCGTCCAGGCCAGATCAAATCGAGAGGAAGGGGCTCGTACTCTCAATGGCCTAGCACGCGAACGCTGGCACGTCTCGTCTGCACATCCTCGGCACGGACCTGCGGTGCCTGGCAGCGCGTTTGCTCCGTCTACGAAGCTTTCGTTCTGCTTGCGACTTGCATGTCCCAGCTTGCATCGCATCACCATCACTAGTGAAGTAAGGAACGGTCTCTAGGAACGGTCTCTCGCGCCCGTAAGCTTCGCCAGGATGTCGAGCTACGCACAATTAAAGGAGATGGCGCTCAGGAAGGCCGAGGAGGACCAAGCCTCTCTCAACCGCGAGCGCGAGCACAAGGAGCGCGAGGCCGCCGCCAAACGCGCCGCACGAGAAGCGCAAGAGCGCGAACAGAAGGAGCGCGAGCGCAAGATCCTAGTCCAGCGCATGGCTCGCCAGAAGGAAGAAGAGACTCGCGAACGATTGCGCAAGGAGCAAGCTTCGAAGCTTCGAAACGAGACCATAGCGACAGATGATCCCATAGCCAAGTCTAAGCTCGCTGGAGGTGCAGGCGCGACACTGTCACGTCCGGACGCCGACAAGCTGAAAAAGCCCGGCTCCACTTGGAGGGAGAACCTTTCGGGCCAGCTGAAAGCCAACTCGAACAGCAACCCCGTCGCGCGCAGGAAGCGCAAGGTGGATGAGGACGACTTTGTCGGAAATCGCTTCGACAAGCCGAGTCGCAAGTCTTCCTTTTCGACTTCTGCTTCGTCCAGCGCTAGTAAGAGGAAGCCGGTGCCATTAACGCGCGAGGAGAAGCAGGCCATGCGCCGGGCGAGGGAGTTTGGCTCGCTTCCCAGGCTGCCACCCATCAGTCGCGTCGGGGCAACACCGTCCACATCAAGATCGAGTTCGAGTATCAACACGAGCGATGCATCGGCAAACGCAAACCGCACATCCGCGCGTGCCCATCTTGCCAAGGAGAACGGCCTGGTCGCACTCGGCACCAAGAAGCGCGATCACCGCTCCATCGACGAGATCGAGCGCGACCTTCGCAGGCAGAGAGAGGAGAAGGAGCAGAGCAAGAAGGAGGGCATGTCGGAGGCTGAGCGCGAGCGGGAAGCGGCGCTGCTTCGAAGGCAGAGAGCCATGGAAGGGAAGCGCAAGTCGGATCAACAAGATCGAGAACGACAGGCGGCCAAGAATGAAGCAGAGAACGGCGACGGCAGCGACTCCAAAGACGACCTCTATGGCTCGGAAGACGATCGGCCATCCGCATCGCGTGCTTCACAGCAGAAGGCAGCAAAGACGAATGGCCTTCCGTCAGTTCCAAAGCGGCCGACCAACGTCGGCGCTCCTCCCGCGCCAGCGCAGCCGAAAGAGCCGAAGCCTTTGGGCGGTCGAGCGGCTGGCGGTATAGACCCAGCCGACTTCCTGCCGGGTGCACCGTTACGTCCTGAGGTCATGGCGAGACTCACGGAAAAGGCGAAGAGCGCGTCCGGCCGGGGTCGCGCCGCTCGATCGCCCGAAAGAGATGCTGCGCCCCAGGCCAAGCGCGTGGCAGCCGAAGCAAAGACGAGTCCTGCAGCGCCGTCTCCACCTGCGTCTGCTCCGCCGCGCAGAGAGACGGCGCGCGACCGCTTCATCCGCGAGCAGGAGGAGAAGAAGAAGAAGAAGCTCGCTGCTGGCGGCAGCGATCGCCGAGACGAGCGTCGCCGATCAGGCTCGCCCGACGAGTACGAGAGCGAGGAAGAGTACGACGAAGACGAGTACGAGAGCGATGGCATGAGCGACGACGAGGCGGGTGGGGGCGGGGCGAGCTACCGAGACGAGATCTGGAAGATTTTTGGCAAGGACCGCAAGAAGTATGCGAGCCGCATGGTGGATAGCGACGACGATATGGAGGCGGATGCTGGCTCGGTGCTGCAGGAGGAGTTGAGGAGCGCGCGCCAGGCGAGGGAGGAGGATCTGCGCGAGGAACAGCGCGAAATGGAGCGAGAGCGGGAAAAGATGCTCCGCAAGCAGGCGCACAAGCGCGCTTCCGGCCGCTGAAGAGGCTGTCAGACTCATCAATCGTTGAATTCTTCAAGGACATCAGCACAGCATCATCATTTTGCAGGTAGTGGTACAATCTCATTTTCATTCTGACCTTTGCGTGGAAGGATGTGTAAAGGAAGATGAGGTGGAAGAGAGAGTCGGTGCAAGAGCATGCCCGGATGGTATCCTGCCAAAGAGGATAATCAGAGTGTTGAATGCGAGTTGTGACTCTACTGGAGTTGGAGGACCCATGCACTGGCGGGTTGGATGCGGCGGTAGTAGTTGTCTATTGTCTCTGCGACCTTGAAGCCGAATTTTTCGTAGAACGTCCTTGCCTCGTCGTTGGACGTCTGGACGTGCAGATAGATCTGGCTGATCTTGACGGTCTTCTTGGTGGATTCGACCTTGGTTTCCTTGCCGTTCTTGTCCTTCTTGGGCTTGGGCGTGGGCGCATCCTTGTCGATTATCTGAATCTCCTTGCCTGGCGCGACGTGGTCCAGCACGTGCTGGAGGAGGGCCGAAGCGATGCCGAGGCGACGGTAGGGAGCGAGGACGCCGAGCGTCATGATGTAGATGCGCACGGTATCCTTGTCGACCGGTTCGAGACGGCAGCAGATGGTTCCGACGGCAACATCATTGAAGAGGCCCAGCTTGCAGATCTCGGCAGCATCGGGATCGAGGACGTCCTTGTAGAAGCGCTCCGAGTATTGGACGGGAAAGAGGACGCTGTTGAGCTTGCGGAGCTGGCCAAGGTTGTTGGGCGTCAGTTGCGCAACGTCGATGCGCTTGGGAAGGAGCGAGCGCACTGGCGCAGCAGGCCGAGAGTCGTAGCTCATCGCAGGAAGGGGCCAGGACGAGGTGGAGGCAGCAGTAGCGGTCATGCTAGAGTCGAGACTGGTGCGGCGTTGAACGGCCGCTTGGAGGATTGTTCGTGAAGCAGCTACGCCTTGCGAGCCGGAGAAGTCGTTTCCGGTGGATGTGCGAGGAAGAAGAGGCAAGTCCAGTGCAAAGGATGTCGTTACCTACCGTGCTCGAAAGGTGATGTTCGCGTGCAGCCGAAAGCGATGCCGAACTTCTTGCAACGCGTCGCTTCGGAGGGTTTCTGAGAAGGCTCAGCGCAGCCCGGCCGAATGAGCGGCGGATTCAGCGGCCTTGCGCAAAAGAGGGGTCGCGCGGGTGCGGCCGCGGTGTGAATGTGAGACCGTCACCTCTGGAGGTGGCCGAAGGTGCGGCTTTGCGGGTGCACTGCTGCAGCGTGGCTCCTACGCACGAGCCTTGGCCAGCTTCTTGCACTATCCCTACCCTCCGCGTCTACTTCATCTGCCTACATTCACTCGCTATCACATTCGTTCCAGTCGGCGCCACTCCGAGCCGAAGATTCCAACGCCAGATAGTCGCCTGACCCATCGCCCATGGTCAATCGCGCTTGAAACTTCGATGACTTCGGTTGGGCCGACATTTGTGTTTCAAGCTCGCCGATCGTGAACTCATACAGAGATCGAATCGCCGGCACTTCCGCCAGCAAAGGTACCGCAGAGGCGCGGCTCAGTCAGGCGAGGTCAGCGTGTCGGCTCTCCCGAAGCACACAATCATGTCGACGTCGCAGCATCACGACGCTCACGGCCGGCCATATCGGCAGGCATCGCAGGGATCGTACTCGCACTCTTCCTACGACCGGCAGCGCGACCAGGCCTCTGACCCTTATCATACCGACGCTCGGACGGCATACGGTCCGTATGATCCTCGCTACCCCTACGGCCAGCCCGAGCCTTCTCAGGGTCACGCTTGGACCGCCCAACAGTCGCAAGCACCGGGCGCATCCGTGCCAGCATACGCCCAGCCGCAGCAGCAGAGCTCATACGATCCTGCAGATCGACTGGACCGCATGCACATTTACGACCAATCAACGCAGTCCGCAATGCAGCAGCAGCAGCAATACTATCCATCACGCGCCGCTTCGGCGTCCAGCAACCGGAATCCTGCTCTACCCAGCTATTCCCACACAGCAGAGCCTATGAGACATCAAGGCGCACATCCAGTCACCTACAGTGCTGTTCCTACGACCAAATCATACTACACAGGTCGTAGCGAGCCTTCGGACCGCCCTGTCTCAACAGCAAGTGGCATCATCAGCTTGTATACCGACGACACCGGCACGCCCCTGATCGATCAATCTTCTCAGTTTGCATCCGAATCCGCGCCAGTTCCTCCCCTCCAGCATGCAGTCTCTCAATACGAAAGCACTGTATCGGATCACAACCGCTCAGCACATCGCCCATCGCAGCGAGCCAGCCGTCCGCTACCCGTCGCCCCTGCACCCCGCCCTTTGGAGCACACCAGCCTCCCTAGTCCAGGCGCCGCTCAGGAACAGTCCCGAACGCCTACAGGACCCCTCTCCCCCACCTTCCGCCACCGCACCGATGGTGTCGATCCGTACGCCTCTCAGCAGGGCTACTTCAACAGCGTCTCCCCGCCCCCGGCCTCCTCCACAGCATGGTCGCCGCCTGTCACGCCTTCCGCTACCCAGCACAGTACCGCGCCCTCTTCTTCCTCCAACTCCGGTGCTGCGCCCTCATGGAGCCCGTCTGCCAGCCAATTTGGCACGCCGAGCAGCTCCTACGGCCATCGCCCCTTGCCCTCCACCGCCACCTCGCTCGACCGCTCCTTTTCGCCTCCTCCTAGGGACGGTGCAAGCGCTTCGCCCCTCTCGTCCTTCCGCTCGCCATCGTATACGCAGGCAAGCGCCCGTAATGCTCGATCGCCCGCCCAAGGTCGAAGCGACTACGACCAGCGCTCCGACGCAGGCCGTGGCGCCGTCTCGCGTACACCGTCTGCCAAGCAGGGGCACACCGCCGATTCCTCCTACGACCCGGACTCGCTCAACGCCGCCAACTCCGATCGCGAAAGCTTGCGCCAGCGAACCCGCAGCGAAGCCTCCGACCTGTCCGTCCGTCCGAGCAGATCCTACCGCCAGCCCTTGCCCCCCATTCCTGGCGCCAACCCAAACGTCCAGGGCGGTGACTACCTGGGGCATGGTCACCCTGCCACGGGACACGGCAATCACTCCGCAGCCGGCGATGTGTACCGTGCTCGCATGCCTTCGCAGAACTCTCTCCAGCACCAGTCCAGCTTCTCGCATCTGCCAGCCAGCATCTCGCGCGCACCCTCCCAGCCCAGAGGCACGGCGAGTCCAGGCGACGAGAAGCGCCAGATGGCGGACAAGTACAGCCACGAGAGGGTCGATTCGCTCGCTTGGGAGCCCGTCTACAGCCCTCGGTCCAAGGTCGAGCACGCCCTTTCGCGCGAGGCACCACGCTTCAGCCGTGTGGAAGCGCCCGAGTGGTCACTTCTTTCCACCGTCGCGCTTCTCCTGCGCGCCAACGTGCCTCGCGGCGTCCAAATCAAAGGCAGCATAGACTACCCAAACAGCTTCACTGGCAAGGACGTGGTCTCCACGTTGCAAAAATTGCTCCTTTCGGACACGGTCGGGTCTCGACACGCACTCGTCGTGTCGGGCGACGCCACCAGCGTGCGCCAGGTCGCCCTTTCGCTGGCAAAATCGCTAAAGAGCCAGCTCTTCTTCCACGAGGTCGATTGGGGCGAGAAGGAGCTCACAGACGATGTTGACGAGGTATACACCTTCCTCGAGGATAGCCTCGCAGACATGGGCTCAGCACCAGCCGACCCCGACGATTGGACAGCCGGTCTGAATCACAACGCCGCCTTCGACTCGAGTCTCGGCTTTTCTGTCGGTGGCGCCGCCGCCGACCAAGCTCGCAAGCCGGCCAGCACCGATCTCGATGATTTGCCCAACGGTGTCTTTACTCCCCTGACTCGCTGCTACAGCCCGCTCTGTAGTCCGGGTCGCGCGTCGGCCTGCTACAGTCCGTCGTGTTCAAACTCGGCCACAAGCCCCCTGCGTTTGACAGTCACTGACTCGGACAGTAAGGCGGCGAGGCTCGGCGGCGTCTTGGACGGCGGGATCACCGCAGATCAGGCTCAGAAGAAGGCATGGGCCGAGCTTGTTCCTCCGGAGTTGCTCAAAAACATCCCTCAGGCTGAGATCGCCCGCCAGAATGCCATTCTCGAAACGATTCAGAAGGAGGAAGAATTCCTGGCGGATCTCGAGCTCTTGGAATCGTTGTTCGTACAGGGCCTCCAGAAGCCCAGCGATGCCGGTGACCCACCTCCGCTGCCGATCGGGCCGGAGCGGGACGACTTCATCCGCGAAGTTTTTGGCAACCATCGCGAGCTGGCGATCCACATTCGAGCTTTGGTAGAGCGACTCCACATCCGTCAGAGGGAGGAGAACCCAATCATTCAGACAATCGGTGACCTCTTCCTCAGCGCAGCGCTCGACTGGGGCGATGCTTACACAACTTACCTCATCAACTATCCGCTCGCCATCAGCCGTGTCAAGCGCGAGATGTCGGTGAATCCTCGCTTCAAGGCGTTCGTGGAAGCCTGCAGGCGTCATCCTGCAGCGCACAAGCACCCGCTTGAGAACTTTCTCTTTCGCCCGCCAGCACGTCTGCAGAGGTACCACTTGCATCTCGAGTCGATCCTCAAAAAGACAGAGGACGGCAACAACGACCGCGACAGCCTGCAGAACGCCATCGACATCATCAATGACCAGTGCAAGACCGCCCAGACGGGTGTCGAGTCGGCAGAGCTCAAGGTCAAGATCCGAGAGTACGCGTACAATCTGTCGGCGAAGCGCAACAAGCATGCCATCGACATGGATCTGCTCAACCCGGAACGCCAGCTCATCCATCAGGGCCGCGTGCTGCGCAAGCCAGACGCATTCGACTTCGACTGGACCGAGCTGCTGGCCATCCTCTTCGACAACTACTTCATCGTCACCAAGCAGAAGAGGATCGCTGAAGGTCCCGATGACGATCTTTCGAACGTTGCATCCTCGTCTACGACAGCGGGAGCGCGCTTCGTGCTGGCCAAACGACCCATCCCGGTGGAGATGCTCGAGGTCACCGGTCTCACGGAGTCGTCCATCTCTCGCTCCATCGGCCTGAGCAACTTCCATATCAGCCGAGAGCGCGAAGCCCGCGATTTTTGGCCCTTCACCATCTCACATTTGGGAGGCAAGATCGAGCCCATCGCACTGTATGCGCCGTCGAAAGATGCGAGGGACCAGTGGAAGGCCAAGCTGGACGAAGCCATCGGCCTGCGCATGGCGATGCAAGACAGCAACCGGGTGTTCGACCAGCAAGTGCTGAGCGACGAAATCTTTGCCATCCCTCCTGCGATTAGCTTGGAGCCAGACAGGCCTGTGCCAGGCGTCGATCCGAGCGTCTTCCACGGCCGTGTCACGTGTGCGGTGCCTTTCGTGACCGCGGACGGACGACGGCTCGTGGCGGTCGGATGCGCAGACGGTGTGTGGATCGGGCTGCGCAATGACCCCAAGTCGCTGCGCAAGGTGCTGCACCTCAAGTACGTCACGCAGTGTGCCGTGCTCGAGTCGTTTGGCATCTTTGTGGTGCTGGCGGACAAGGTGCTCATCTCGTACAGCCTCGAGGCGCTGGTGCCGACGACGTCGAGCAGCAATTCTTCGCTGCGGCCGCCCCAGAAGCTCAGCGGCAACCGCGACGTGCTCTTCTTCAACGTCGGTGTGCTCAAGGACCGCACGCTGCTCATTTACATGAAGAAGAAGGCCAACGAGAGCGTTTTCCGCGCGCTCGAGCCCGTGCTGAATGCGCCGCGTGGTCCCGAGGGCAAGTCCGGATCGGGCTTCTTTGGCAAGTTCGGCAAGGACTCGAAGAACTCGGACTGGTTCCGCATCTACAAGACGTTCTTCATCCCGTCCGAGGCGTATTCGATCCAGTTCCTCAAGTCGAAGCTTTGCATCATCTGCGCCAAGGGCTTCGAGATCATGAATCTGGACAGTCTGCTGCCAGGCACGATCCCGGACTTTGTGCACGCCAACCGCGAGGACTTGCGAGTGCAGCAGCTGCAGAAGCGCGTGGAGACCGCCAAGCCGCTGGGCATGTACAAGACCAGCGACGGCGACTTTTTGCTCTGCTACGACGCATTTGCGTGCTACGTAGATCGACTGGGCGAGCCGACGCGGCTGGAGCAGATCATCGAATGGGAAGGTTTCCCCAAGCAGGTGGCCTTCTCGGGAGACTACGTGCTTGCTTTCGACTCGCGCTTTGTCGAGGTCAGGGACGCTCTGACGGGCCGCCTGGTCCAGATCATGCGCGGCAACGACTTGCACTACGTCTCCGGCAACAGCACCGTCACGTCGTCTTCGTCCGAGGCCGCACAGCTGGCCGCGCTCGATGCCGATGCGAACCCGGTGATCTTCACCAAGCGCGAGCGCGTCGCCGGTCGCATCCCCTTCGACTTCCAGAAGGTCGTAGAGCTTAGCCCGACGGGGCTCCCGGCCAAGTCCAGCGGCTATGCTCCGCAATTCCAGCGATCGGGGACGGTCATGTCGAACGGAAGCAGCTTAAGCGGCCGCCCGTCGGGACGTCCATCCGTGGCGAGCTCGAGCAACTGGATCTGAGTTCTCGAGCCGCGGCCATGGTGCTGGACCGCGTACCTGTCACAGTGCCACGCGTTTTCTGCTGCGGAATGACAATCACGTACACGATATGTAAGCGCTCTGCCGCTGCCTTCTACCAGATGAAACTATGTGAGAGAGCCAGCACGGCATCCTCTGAACAGTAGCTGCATGGATGATCAACAGTGGACGGTGGGGAAGAAGCGGAATTGCATGCGGGAGCGGAGCAAGAGGTGGAGGGAAAGCAACACACGCTTGCACGCGCAGACGCGAAATGAAGCGCACGACCCCACTCCTCTGATCGGACCCTGAACGGTCCTGCTCAGCCACCACCATCTGCGTTCTCGACCGGAACATCCCACCCTTTCGCCTGCTTGCTGCGGGACGTAGCGCGTTGGGCTCAGCTCACCTCGGCATCAGACAATACCTTCCGTCGCAGCCGGCAACATCAACCTTGCGAGCTCTCAGTCGGCTCGCCTTGCACCAGCAGAATCGAGTAGCCCGCGATGATCAGCGCCAGCATCTAGCTTGGCCACGGCACGCGCTCTTCAGCGACGCTCCTAGCAGGCTTAAGCCACCTGGTAGGCTGCATGACACCGGCGACTTTCTCAGCTACACCTGCCTTACAGTGCCGGCTCGTTCGATCAGGTCGCCGACACACTCAAAATGGGGAACACACACTCGAGCGCGACCGCCCGGATGGCGGGCATTGGCAACCTGGTCTCAGAAGTCGGCAACGATATCCAATATGACAAGGGCATCGGCAACTCAAGATTCCTCCGTGCTGTGCGTGCCCGCCACCGCCTCGGTCCCATCGTGGTGAAAGCCTTCGTCAAGCCCGATCCGTCAATGACCCTCAAGAGCCTCGTCAAACACATCCGCATCGAGCGCGAGTCACTGGCCGATGTCCCCAACGTGCTCACCTACCAAAAAGTCGTCGAGACCGAACGTGCAGGCTACCTCATCCGCCAATGGCTTCACAGCAACCTGTACGACCGCATCAGCACCCGACCCTTCCTCAGCTCGGTCGAGAAGCGATGGATCACCTTCCAACTTTTGCACGCCATGAGCGACGCTCACGAGCGCAACATTGCCCACGGCGATCTCAAGTGCGAGAACATCCTCGTCACCACTTCGCTTATGGTCTACGTGACGGACTTTGCGTCGTCGTTCAAACCCACCTACCTCCCGCTCGACGACCCGTCCGACTTTTCCTTCTTCTTCGACACGTCCGGCAGAAGGACTTGCTACATCGCGCCCGAACGCTTCTACGCGGCAGACTCGAAGTATGCCCCAGGCGAGATGCGCATGGATGCAGGCGGCCAGGACGCGTCCGATCGGCTTGGTGAGCTCAAGGCGGACGTGCTCGGCATGGGCCGACGCAGCGGCAAGGTAACGCAGGCCATGGACGTCTTCTCGCTAGGATGCGTCATCGCAGAGCTGTGGCGCGAGGGCGCTCCGACGTTTACGCTGAGCCAGCTCTTCAAGTACCGCGAAGGCATCTTTGATCTGGACGCCATGCTCGCCACCATCTCCGACGATGCGGTGCGCGAGCTCGTGCGCGGCATGGTCGCGCTCGATCCGAAAGACCGCAAGACATTCAAGGAGTACCTGGCTGAAGGTCGGGGCTCGGTCTTCCCGCCTGCAGTCCCAGACTTCCTGCACGAGTACCTCGTTGAGCTGCAAAGGACTTCGCCCGCTGCACTCCAGCAGGCTGGCGGTGGAGTCTCGTCTGTCGATAGCGCAGCCAGCGGATCCAACGCCTCCGCCACCGCCGTCTCGTTGAGATCGGAGCCGAGCCCGCGCCAAATGCAACGTGCAGAGAGTGACGAACGCATCGAGAAGCTGTACGAGGAGTGGGCGACGGTCGTGCGCTACTTTGACGACGATGTGAATCGCACCGATACCTCGGATCCGAATGCCGGCCCAAGCGGGCTGGCGGCGCGCATCAACGGCGTCCTTGGCCGCTTCGGTCTCCAGTCGAGCTTTCAACCGCCGCACGAGGGCGATACGGCAGAGGACGTACGCTCCGGCACCCACGAATTGGACGACGTCTTCCCGATGCATCTTTGCATCCCCGGCATGCCGATACAGAAAGCGACGCTCAGCAGCGCATCTGCAGACACGGACGGGACAGCCCAGCTGATCCTGTCCGTGATTTTGGCCAACCTGCGCAACTGTGTGCGACCGTCGTCCAAGATCCACGCACTCGAGCTGCTCGTTCACCTCTCTACGCGGTGGCTCACCGACCAGACCAAGCTCGATCGGGTGCTGCCGTTCGCCATGTCGCTGTTCAACGACACGTCGTCGCAGGTGAGGATGGCAGCGATCCGCACGTGCGTGCAGACGCTGATGCTCGTGAGGATCGTGACGCCGTCCAACGCCAACATCTTTGCAGAGTACATCATGCCCAACATCAAACAGCTCGGGCTCGATCCATCCACCCCTGTGCGGTGTACGTTCGCGGCGTCCATCGTACCTTTGGCCGAGACGGCCGAGCGCTTTCTGCAAATGTCGCAGGCCATGAGGGCTGAAGGCCTCTTCGCGGTCGAAAGCGACCTCAACGGCGGATTCGTCGACGATCAGCCGAGCGAGGCCAACTACGACGAGCAGCTGCGCACGTTCCAGGCGCTGCTGCAGGAGCTCATCGTGACGCTGCTCACCGATCCATCGGCGTCGGTCAAACGCGCGCTGCTGGCGGGTATTGCGCCGCTGTGCAGGTTCTTTGGCACGGCCAAGACCAACGACGTCATGCTGAGCCATATGATCACCTATCTCAACGACCGCAACTGGCTCCTGCGCGAGGCATTCTTCGATATCATCGTCGATGTAGCCGAGGTATCGGGAACGCGCAGCCTGGAGGAGTACATCCTGCCGCTCATGACCCAGGCGCTGTCGGATGCAGAGGAGAACGTCGTGTACCGCGTCATTAATGGCCTGCGCACCATGACCGAGAGAGACCTGCTGGATCGAGAGCGCATCCTAACGCTCCTCAGCACGACGCTCGGATTCTTGTGCCATCCGAATCTGTGGCTGCGTCAGGCAGTTGCGGGACTGATTGCAGCCGCGGCGACCAAACTAGAGGACGTCGATGTTTGGGCGGTGCTCTACCCTTCCTTAAGGTCGCTGTTACGTGCAGATGTGCACGAGTTTAGCGAGACCAACCTGCTCGAGATGGCCAAGCCTCCTCTGTCGCGACCCGTCTTCTCGGCCGCCCTGACATGGGCATCCCAGTCATCCCAGTCGGCGTTCTGGAAGAGCGCCACCGAGGGCAAGGAGCAAGCTGGCCTCAAAAACGGGCTCGCCACTGAAGGCGTCGGACTTCTGCTCGGCAAGAGCGGACGCGAGGTCATTTCCACTGCGACGGGTCGCACCGAGGAAGATGACCGCTTCCGCGACCGGCTTCGAAGTCTGGGTATGGAGGACGACGACGAGATCAAACTCGTCGCTCTGCGTGGCATCATCCGCCGCCTCTCGCGGCAGGGCTCCAAGGTGCACGTCAATGCCGACTGGGACGCTACAAGCCCGGCCGCGGGCTCCGGCGCCAGCGCTGATGCTACACGCGCCCATCCCAAGGCCATCATAGAGCCTCAGTCGCTCGACGGCATTACGCCCCAGACGATCTTTTTCAGCGCCAAGACCGACACGCGCGCCGCGGCGTCGGCGAGCGAAGGTGCCAGTGCGTATACTGGCACGTTCCGGTCGCAGGACGACGAGTCGTTTTCGGCGCAGGTGGCGCGGAGGCGGCTGCAGGGCCAGCGGACGGCGAGCGAGGGCTCGCTGGGCGGACCCATTGCGGACATGAGGCGGAGGATGGCTGCAGCACAGATCGGCGACTCGCAGCCATCGACGTTCTCGACGCGACTGTCGAGCTTGCAGGAAGAGCACTCCGAGGCAAAGCACCGCAGCCATGCAGCGCCGAGCTCGCCGAGCGCGCTGTCGCAGCAGGCTCAGGCGCGACTGGGCGTCGGAAAAGCAAGTCCGGCGGTGGCGTCGACGGCGTTCACAGCTACGGGAACGATGACGGAAGCCTCGGCGCGGGCGCGTAAGCTGCACGCAGCGAATGCACAGGCATCTACACGGCCGACGCCGACAGGCTCGCGGGCATCCACGGTCCGGGGCGGCGACGCGGCCAAACTCGGCGCAGCAGCTCCGGTCGATGGTGGCTCGGGCACAACCTTCACCAGCACCTATGATGGCAATGACCCGTACATCCGCGCGCATCTCGAGGCGGTGTACTTAGATTCGTTCCGGGACCGGCCGGAGCTCGGACCCAAGGTCCAAGCGGGTGTGGCGCGGCGCCGCGGTGGCGGCTGGAACCGGAGCTCGACGCTGCCGCGCGTGCCAACTTCGAGCAGCAGCAAGCGCCGACCGGAAGGCCGGCTGATTGCCTACTTTACCGAACATACTGCGGCGGTGACGTGTCTGGCGCTGTCGCCGGACCATGCCTACTTTGTCTCGGGCTCAGCGGACGGTACACTCAAGGTGTGGGACACGGCGCGGCTCGAGAAGAATGTGACGTCCAAGTCGCGCGCTACGTACGCGGCGCAAAAGGGCGCCATCACGGGCGTGATTGCGATCGAAGGCAGCCACTGCGTTGCGTCGACGGCGACCGACGGCTCGCTGCACGTGTGGCGCATCGAGATGGTGCAGTCCACGTCGTCGGTGCCGCGGTACGGTCGGCCGAAGCTGGTGTCCAACTTCCAGCTGAGCACGCCAGACGAGTACGCCAACTGCCTCGTGCAGAGCAGCACCGAGACAGCCTCGCACCTCATCCTGGGCACGTCGCTGAGCCGGCTGACGATCCTGGATCTGCGCACGATGCAGGTGCTGCAGACGCTGCGCAATCCGGTCGAGTACGGGCCGATCACGTGTCTGTGCGTGGACCGCAAGAAGGCTTGGCTGCTCTTGGGCACGCTGGCGGGCGTGGTGTGTCTGTGGGATCTGCGCTTCGGCTTGAGGCTGCGGGCGTGGCAGGTGGCGCCGACGCAGGCGGGCGTGCTGTGCAGGGTGAACCAGATCGCCATCCATCCGTCCAAGGGACGCGGCAGGTGGGTGCTGGTGGCGTTCGAACGCGTGGGGCAGGCGAATCTCGAGGCGGGTGCGGCGCGCGTCGAGCAGCCCGAGGTCATGGTCGAGACGTGGGACATTGACCGTGGGCTGCGCGTCGAGACGTTTGAAGCGCGCACCGACGCCGAGGGTGGCGAGACGAGCGGGCGATCGACCAAGCTGACGCCGGTGCCTGAGGCTGGCGCGGGTGGTGACGGGGCGAACGACGCGGCGCTGACGGGTGCAGCAGCGGCGATCGAGAGACTGCTACGCCAAACGCAACCGCCAGTCGCTGGAGACACGGACCCCTTCGCCCGCCAGCCGGACTCGGCGGCATCGGCGGCGAGATGTGCAGTCAAAGCGCTGTATGTCAGCCTGGACGGCTACTCGAGCTCCACGCTTTCCGCCACGCCCGCTCCCTCGTCCACACGGGACGAGACCGGCGACGCGCAGACCGAAGACGGCGGTGGCTGGCTCGACGTTGGCAAGCTTACGACGTCCGAGCCCCCCGCTGCGGCCGGCGGGCCAGGTGGGTACATGATTACAGCCGGCTCGGATGCGCGCCTGCGCTTCTGGGACCTGGGTCGGCCAGACAAAAGTGCCGTATTCGGCGTGGCTCCCCAGCTTGCAGCTGCCGGCGCCGGTGTCTCGGAGGTGCAGTCGCAGTTCACGGCAGCTGCGCCGAGCGCTGGCACGACGGCTCGATTTGTGCATACGATGGCATGGCAGGGTGCGGGCCGTCTCAAGTCGCCCCTGCTGCCTGCACATGCGACTGCGCATGCCGCCATGGCCAGAACGCACACAGACGCAGTCACGGCCGTGGGCGTGTTGGAAGCGCCGTTCCGTGCCATTGTCGCTGCGGACCGATCAGGCGCAATCCGAGTGTGGGAGTAGATCCCCGCACATCACACCTCTACACACGCCTCGACTCAATCGTCAAAGTGCCTTTTCTTTTTCATTCACAAGTGTATCAAAGCATCGACCAGCACAGTGTTGGCAAGAGTGGGAAGCGAGGCCAGAGTTAGACGCTTCCAAAGACGGAGAACTTGCGTACGATCGAGGGGCCGTGTTCTTCGTAGTCCTGCTTGTTGTAGCAGTACGAGTAGAAGTCTGGCAGACTGCCGAGGAGGCTTCCGCCGTACCACACGGCATAGCGCTGCATCTTGTGGGAGATGACGTTGACGTCGAGACCCGAGGAGCGCATGAGGCTTCCACTTGCGGTCTCGCTTGCTGCCAGACGCTGGTCGACGATCGCACGCAGGTCCTTCTTGAGTCTCTGGCCAAAGTGCTGGAACATGGTGCTACCACCACTGAGCACGATGTTCTTGTACAGCCCACGACGCACGTCGATGGGGCTCTGCTGGATCACGCCGTCGACGACCTCGGGGAGCGGCGTGAGGAAGTCGGACGAGGCGATTTCCGGGTTGAAGAAGATCTCGGGTGCGAGGAAGCGTTCGTAGCCGACGTCGACCTCGTACTTGCGGCCGGTGACGGTGTGTTCGCCCTGGAAGCGCTCAAAGTACTTGTAGGGGTCCTCGTCGTAGCGGCGGAACTCGCGCACGATGTCCTGGCACACGTACGAGTAGTCCTCCTTGATCTTTTCGGCGACACGGCGCGAGTCCTCGGGCGGGATGTTGGCAGCCTCGCCACGCTCGCGGAGGAGCTGCTGAACAAAATAGGTGATGTCGCGACCGGCGATGGGGATGTGCTTGATGGCCGAGCCGATGACGTAGCCCTCTGCGACGGGGATGACGTGGGTGACGCCGTCGCCCGAGTCGATGACGGTGCCGGTGAGCGTGCGGTCGGTGACCTTGTTGGAGGTCCAGGAAGCGGCGAGCGCGAGGACGGCCTGGACGGCGATGTAGAGGCCCTTGATGTTGAAAGACTCGAACATGATCTCTGCGGTGTTCTCGCGGTTCTCGGGCGGATTGAGCGGGGGCTCGGTGAGCATAAAGTAGTGGTCCTCTGGCTCTGCACGGAGGTACTTGAAGATGCACTGCTCCCAGAAGCGCTCCATGTGGTCCCAGTTTTCGATGAGACCGTGGCGAATGGGCTGGTCCACTTGGTAGGTCTTTGCGTTTGCATAGGCCTCGTCACCGATGAAGAAGTCGAGGTCTTCGATACCGCGTTTGGAGGCGAGCGAGGAGGAGGAGGAAAGTCCTCCTGGTTTGCTGGGCACGGATGGCCGCGAACCGGCCCCGCCAGAGGAGCCCGCTGCGGTGGTGCGAGTCGCAATGGCGGTGGGGAAGACGAAGGATGGATCCGAGTTGCCGGCGAAGCCCATCTTGGTGTAGCCGGTACCATTGTCGAGCACGATGACGTTGGAGCGCGACATGGTGGGCAAGATGGTGTGAATGCGAGGGCAGTGGCGGTTTGGAAGAAGAGGAAGGAAGTCGCCGCGCCGCGCAGTTGCAGGATGAATAAGGGAAGGCGGGGCTGCGATCGAGTGTGGATGGAGGGTGCGGTGGAGTGTGGAGCGCGGATTGCTGCTTTAGGTGGTGTGTGCGGTGGGCAGTGCTGGCCTCACTGCTGGGGCAGCTGCCTCTGCCTGCGAATCCAAGTGCCCGTGCGCTGCTGCTGCTGCTGCTGCTGCCATCGGCCCAGATCGAGCGCTTCCACCGCGTGGCTCTCGCACCGCTTACACTCCACCCCAGCATCTCCGATCTCGGTTCCGATTCTTTTGCTTGGAGATGTAGACTATAGAGGCCTAACATATTCACTTCCCGTTCATGGTTCGCGGTAGGGCCGTGACCTCACTCTGCATACTCTCGCTTGCCTCCACTGGATGCAGGTGTGGCTTCTGAATGGCCGCAACGACTCAATGTATCGCACACCGCGAGTGCAAAGGAGACGGCTGTCGGTGGTGGTCCGATGCGCCCCAGGCGGTCAGCATGCAGACACGCAGCGCCACACAGAGACAGCAGCGTGTTGAAGATGACTACGAGGGGCGGCACGACGGCGTCGGAAATGCAGACGGCCTTGCCGAGATGGCCAGCCGCCAGCTTTTCTTGGCTGCCGGGGTCCAGTAATATGTTCATCACGACTAAGCTCCGAGCTGTGGCTTGGCAGATCCTGCCGGCTTTTCCTCTCGGCACGAGGTCGTGTGCGTCGAGCCGTGCGGCTGTGTCGACGCAGCAGGAGTCGGAAGAGCAATTCCGGCTGATGCGCAAAGCCAAATCGCGTTGTGTTTGTTTTTCTTGCCTGTCGCTTGCTGCTGCATGTCATTTTTTTCTCCGACGCAATTTCCGAAGCGGCAAGCGGACGTTGGCAGTTGATCAAGTGCAAGCACCGCTTTCGTCGAGAGGCTTTCGTCGAGAGTAGGGCCGGGGCTCTGTCTCATCCTAGCCGCCGTCTGGCATCGTCAAGACGTTTGGTTCGGCTCGGGCCCTGGCCGTCAGCATCACGCACCAACACACCACCGCGGACCTGAGCTCGTCTCTGGCCGACCGGGCCGTCGCTTCGATGCTGACAGCTTACGCTTCCGCCTCGGCCTCCCCTCTATATATCTCCTCCTCTCATCCCACTTTCCTCATCCCACTCCTCCCCACCAACCTCCTCATCGCCCGCACATCACATCGCATCCCAACTCGTTAGCGACACAATCGCACTTGGGCCACCATGAAGCTGCCGTTGCTCACCTCGGTGCTTGCCGTGCTGGCGGCCGCTGCCCAGTTGGTCGATGCAGTTCCTTCCATTCCACACGAGCTCAACGAGCGCGAGATCGCTCGCATCAGTCAGCTGCCGCGCCACGAGCGTGTCAAGCTTGCAGAGCGCATCCTCGAAATCCGCACCGCATACGAGTACGAGAAGCAGCTCGCAGCTCGTCACAATGCCCTGGAGAAGCGCGCCTCTCCCTCGGGCTCGTTCGCTCCCGCCAACATGCCCTGCCCTAACACCACCTCGCAGCAGGGACCCGGATTCATCCGCAACGCAAGGACAAAGCAGCTCAACGCAGACGAGGCCAACTACATCTCGCGCCGCCGCACCGAATCCCAGCAGGCATGGAAGACCTGGCTCGAAGACTCGGCCAAGCTCGACAGCGCACTCCCTGGCGGCGCCTCCAATTACACCTCCGACACTGACCGCCTTCCGCGCCTCGCCTTTGCGCTCAGCGGCGGTGGTCTGCGCGCCATGCTCGTCGGTTCCGGCACCCTCCAGGGCTTCGACGGCCGCAATGCCACCGCCAACCAGCGCGGCACCGGCGGCCTCCTCCAACTCGCAGAGTACGTCGCCGGACTCTCGGGCGGCTCCTGGGCCACCGCTTCGCTCGCCATGAACAACTGGGCCACCACCCAGTCCCTCAAGGACGACGTGTGGAACCTCGAGTCCAACCTCGTCGTCCCCGAGGACGGAAAGGTCTCCTTCTACGCCTCGATCATCGCCGCCGTCGCCGGCAAGCGCACCGAAGGGTATCAGACAAGTCTAACAGATTATTTCGGTCTCTCCATCGCCGACAAGATCCTCAACGGTTCCACGTACGGAAACAAATTTAGCGTGGAGTGGAGCGACCTAAAAAACACATCGGCTTTCACCTCGGCCTCAATGCCCTTCCCCATCATCATTGCCGACGAGCGCGAGCCCGGCGAGCTCATCATCCCGCGCAACACCACCATCTGGGAGTTCAGCCCATACGAGTTCGGCTCGTGGAATCCGAATGTATCGGCGTTCATTCCCATCGAGATCCTCGGCTCGAGCCTCAACAACGGATCCAGCGTGCTCCCGGGCGGCGAGTGCGTCGGCGGCTACCAGACCGTCGCCTGGGTAACGGGCACCTCGGCCACGCTCTTCTCGGGACTGTATCTGTCGCTCGTCTCGTCCTCGTCGGACAGCGTCATCGTGAATGCGCTCAAGGAGATCGCACAGGCCGTGTCGAACGAGCAAAACGACGTCTCGACGGTGCCTAATCCTTTTTACGGTTTCGATGGCACCGCCGGCCAGACGCTTGAGGTTACCAAGCTCATGAACATCACGCTCGTCGACGGCGGCCTCGACAACGAGAACGTCCCGCTGTGGCCGTTGGTCGAGCCGGCACGCGGGCTGGACGCGATCATTGCCATCGACAGCTCGGCGGATGTCACCAACTGGCCGAACGGATCGGCGCTGTACCAGACCTCACTGCGCGCACAGTACTCGAGCTACAGCCAGTACGCATTCCCCGTGGTGCCCGATACCAACACCATCGTTAACCGCGGCCTCAACACGCGCCCCGTCTTCTACGGCTGCAACGCCAACGTCAACGTCACCAATGCAGACACGGCGTTCAACAACTCCAAGACGCCCATTGTCATCTACCTCCCCAGCTACCCGTACTCGGCGTTGGCCAACACGTCGACCTTCAAGCTCGACTATTCCGACAGCGAGGCGCAGGGCGTGATCGACAACTCGGTCGACGTGGCTTCGCTGGGCGGTGCCGACTCGCAATGGGCGACGTGTCTAGGCTGCGCTCTGGCCCAGCGCGGATTCGAGAGGAGCAGCACTCCCCGCCCTGAGGTTTGCGACCAGTGCATGAAGAAGTGGTGCTGGGACGGCATTACCAACGCCAGTACGCCGAGTTACTCGTACTCGCCCGCGATCGGCGTGCCCCAGTTCGTAACGAGCAATGGTACCCTCCAACAGACGCCAGCATTCACAGGAGGCAATGGATCCAACTCGCAGGCCGGAGATGCAAGCTCCCAGTCCGCCGCCAACGCCAAGAACGCCGCTGCGGCACAGTCGCCCGCATTCGCCATCGCCATCGCCGCTGCCGCTGCCCTCGCGCTTTCCCTCACCCTGCTGTAATCCTTACGCGAAAATCAAACTTGCAATCCCACAAAATGGATCTCTCCCTGTCGTAAGAGTGTTTCAGACGTTGGCTGGCTGGGTCTCAAGTTCTAGAAATGGACGTTCTTGCACATCCGCCTCGCTCGCTCGTCCCCCTCCCCCCTTTCCCCCTGTGGCACCCGAAAAGGGAGTTTGGCTCGGCATAGGCACGGTGGCCTCGGTTGCTGCCCTGCCCTGCCTTGCCCTGGCCCTGCAGCGGCCGTTTGACACGCGGACCGGCTCGAGGCGCGAGGCGCGAGGCGCGAGGCCGCCAGGCCGCGAGGAAGGCGAAACCGCGAGGCGGCGAGGCGACGAGGCGGCGAGGCGACGGGGCGGCGAGGCGACGGGCCGAGGCCGCGAGGAAGGCCGAACCATCGCACTGTCGGGCGGTGACCTAGGACAAAATACTATCCTTACAGCTTACCTAGTACTAGCACTTCACATTATGGGGAGTAACAACAAACAGCTATTTCCAAGTCGATGGAGTATCTCACTATGTAGAAAGTAGTGCGATGATTCCAGTTTAGTTGGCCTTATTGGGCTTGAGGTTGGTGGGCGGCTTGACCACGAAGCACGCCATGCCGAGTTCGGTGGTGATGGTGGTGATGACGTTGTGGCAAAAGTGGAGATACAGCACGGCAGAGAAGGCGAGGCTGGCCCAGATCACGGCGAGCTGGTTGGCCGGGTTCGTCTGCACAACGGGCATCGTCAAATTGGCATCGATCGCGCCCAGCACCGACCACACGATGGCGATGTTCCAGTACGGGAATGGAGCCTTTGTGACGTGCGCGACAATCAGCAGACCGACGTTGTACGCGAAGCTGATGCCCCAAAAAGCGAGGAAAGGCAGCAGCGCCCGCGGATCCACAAGGATGTATGCGCTGTTGGCCCTGATCCATGCAATGTTGGCGCCGATCTGCAGCAGCAGCGGCGCGAGCCCGAGCAGCGGCGTGAGCGTCGACTGCTTGCGCGCCTTGCGCGCCTGCACCACGTTGCCGTACGAGCCGGCAATGTTGCCCAGCAGTCCGAACAGCGCAAACACCAAAAACGTGTCGTTGAGCGGCAGATTGAAGCGCGCCAGCTTGTCGGCCACCACATCGATCTTGGCGAGGCCCGTGACGTTGAGAATACCGCGATCCCAGAAGATGGGTCCGCCCACCGCACCGGTCAGCGCATAGATGGCCACGATCATCAAGATGCCCTCTACAGGACCGCTGAAGGCGGACAGGAAGAGCGTGCCCGTGTGGAACTCCTCCCAGGTGGTGAGGTAAAAGTTGGCAAGCGTAGCGACGAGCGATGCGGGAGCCCACACGGACCTGCCGAGGTTGAGGGCAGCACAGCAAAGCACGCATTCGAGTGTCGTGTTGATCGCATCGCATCCGTGGTCGAAGAGTTCGCCGAGCGGACCGGCCATGCCCGTCCTGCGCGCCTGCTTGCCGTCGATCGAGTCGAGGCTCTGGTAGGCAAACAGACACAACGCCCAGGTGTAGAAGACCCAGGGCGGCAGACACCTACCAGCGGCGTGCGCCGTCGGGGCAAAGTCGACCTTGGCCGCGGCGGCAGGGATGCCGAAATTGGCGAAGAGCGGTGCGACGGGCAGCAGCTTGGCGTCGGACGGGAAGGCAGCGTGCAACGCACGCGTGTGGGCGGCACCATCGAGCTTGAGCTGCGTGGCGCATTCGAGACCAGGGTCGACGTAGGCGAGCGTGGCAAAGTTGACAAACACGAGCAACAGACCCGAGAGCGTAATGGTGTTTGGCGCGACGCTCTTGGGGAAGAGCTCTACAAGCCAGTTCCAGTACGGGCCGAGGATGTACTTGGAGACGAGCGACTTGTCGGTGCCGCTGTACTTGTACAGGTGCAGGTTGTTGACGCGCGAGCGCGGGATGTAGTCCAACATCGTCGCGGGCGGGAGGGGTCTAGCGTCTAAGGAGCGTCTAGAGTCTATGGGGAGATGGTGGTACCGATTCAAACGGTGGGCAGGGCCAGTCACCGGTGATGTAGTACAAAGTCCAGAGGTGGGCCACCGTTGCAAAGCCGCAGAGGCCGTGAAAGTGCGGATGGCCAGCAGGAAGAAGGAAAAAAAGTTGGGGCTGCAGACGCATCTTGCAGCGACGACCGAAGAACACCTTCTTTTGCCTCCACACCGCCGAGGCACCGTCAACGTGCCTATTTCCACGCATGTGCCTTTTCGCGACGTCACCTTTCAAGTTGGGCGGTTTGCAGAGCCGAGCCGACGCGTTTCTTTTGGAATGCAATACGTCTGAATCGGAGGCCGATCTCGTGAACGAGCCCCGATGGAAAGGCTTCCTCCACACCAAGAAGTCGAGGTCGGGCAACTTTCTTCCTGCCGAGCTCGACAGCGGCTGACTGCGGAACAAGCTTACCGGAGCTCGAGCTTCGAGTCATCGCTCCTCAACCATATCCATCATCTCCACCGTCATCGAGTCGTAGCAAAAGCATCGCGGCAGCATGCGCTCCTCCCAGCTGGTGCGTTCGGCAGCGGCGAGCACTTCTTCCGCTGCCCTGCCGCCCCGAGCGCGCGTGGCTATCATCGGTGCGGGGCCGTCGGGCTTCTACGCTGCCTCGCGGCTGCTCTCGCGCATTCCCTTCTCTTCCGCGCACTCCGTCGCCGACCAGCCGCTGGCGATCGACATCTTTGAGCGCCTTCCCGTGCCGCACGGTCTCGTGCGCTACGGCGTCGCACCGGACCATCCAGACGTGAAGAACGTCGAGAACAAGTTCGCCTCTGTTGCCCAGGACCCCCGCCTGCGCTTTGCGGGCAACGTCAATGTGGTGCACAGCCCGCCATCCGGCTCCGGTCCAGGCGCACTGCAATACCCAGAAGCGGTGCAGCTTCCGCTCGACTTGCTTTCGCGGTTCTACACGCATATCCTCTTCTCGTACGGTGCATCTGCCGGCCGAAGACTCGGCATCCCAGGTTCTGGACCGGGAGAGCTTGATGGGGTCTACACGGCGCTCGAATTCGTCAATTGGTATAATGGTCATCCGGCGTCACACGACGCAACATTGCAGACCGCGCCGCTGCACATCGACCTGGCGGGCAAGCAGCACATGAGCGTCGTTGGCGCGGGCAACGTTGCGCTCGATGTGGCGCGCATCGTGCTGCGCTCCTCGACGCCGTTCCTCGAGCCAGGAACCGCATCCGGGCGCGTTTCATCGAACAAGGCGCCAGGTCTGGCGGCGCTGGAGGCGACTGATGTGCCTGAGCCCGTGCTCGCCGAGCTTGCTCGGTCCAAGGTTCGACACGTGGACATCTATGCGCGGCGCGGACCGGCGCAGTTGGCGTTTACGAACAAGGAGGTGCGCGAGATGCTCGCGCTCGAAGGGATAGCGCTGCGTGCGCCCCAGAAGGAGCTGCTGGACGAAGCAGGCGCGCAGCTCGAGCAGCTTGCGGCGACCGAGGGTGGTGGAGAGAGGGCGCAGGAAGTGGCATCGGAGGTGCGCGTCAAGAAACGTCTGCTTGGTCTGCTTGCCAAGGGTAGCAAGACTAAGCATGCAGAGGATGGAGTCAAGTCGTGGGCGCTCAACTTCTTCCGGTCGCCCGCCAGGATCCTGCCACGCCAGAACGATGCGCACGCAGTCGGTGCAGTCGAGTGGAACGTGACGGCGCTGCAGACGGCCAAGCCAACAGTGGCGAACCTCGATGCGGCAGATCCGAAGAAGGCGACGTACGCGGGCGAGCCCGCTTCGATCTCGGCGCGCGCAACCGGAGAGACAGTCACCACCCCCACCGATCTTGTGGTCGCATCCGTCGGCTACCAAAGTCTGCCTCTCGACCCTTCGCCTGCTGCAGCCGTGCCAGCCGTTGAGGAAGGTCGACTCGTACGTCTGCCCTTTGACGCGCGGCGACACGTTGTCCCCAACCGTGCCGGACGCATTGTGGATCCAGTCAGTGGCGACGTTGTACCGCGTGCATATGTCAGCGGATGGCTTGCCCGCGGCCCCACGGGCATCATTGCCTCGACCATGCTCGATGCGCACGCCGTCGCTGACTCGATGCTCAGCGACATGCACACCCAGGCCCCCGCCGACCCAGCCGAATCGCACGCCGACCTGCTGCAGCTCTTGCAAAAGACGCAGACGCACCGCATCGTCGGTCTCGACGACTGGAACCGCATCGACGCCGAGGAACGTGCTCGCGGCCAAAAGCTGGGCAAGCTGCGCGAAAAGATCCTCAGCGTGCGTGAAATGCTCGCCCTCCTCCAATAGACATGCTCGCAACCACCCCGCACTGCTCCGACTCTGTGTAACAACATTTTATATTCCAAAAAGCAAAAGACTCCCTCGTTGAGGCCTCAAGGAGGAAGGGTATAGTACAAATTTTGCGCGCGCTAGCTGGCTGGGCGGCACTTAGTGTCCGAGCTCCTTGGCTGCGGCGTGGAAGGCCTCCTTAAAGATGCTGCACGCCTGTGCCAGCTCCTCCTCCGAGATGTTGAGCGCGGGGATGAACCTGAGCACGTCAAACACACTGGTGCTGAGCAGCAGCATGTTCCTCTCGAGGCACTGCGCCACGATCTTGGGTGCGATCTGGGGTGCTGCGGCGCCCTTGGCGGCGGTGGTGTTCTGCGAGGCGGGGTTGGTGGTGTTGGTAGCAAACTGGACGCCGATCATCAGACCGCGCCCACGCACGTCCTCGATGAGGTGGCCGTGCTTGGGATCCTGCTGCAGCTCCTTGAGGAAGCCGACGAGCTGCTGCGAACGCGCCGCGACGTTGTCGAGAATCTGCTCGTCCTTGAACGCCTTGATGACGGCGGTAGCGGCTGCGCACGCTACGGCGTTGCCCGCATAGGTGCCGCCCATCGAGCCGGGCTTCTGGCGCGACATGAGCTCGTTGGTGCTTGCAATGCCGGACAGCGGGAAGCCGTTAGCGATGCCCTTGGCAAAGATGAGCACGTCGGGACGCACGCCAGACTCCTCGACGGCGAACATGGTGCCCGTGCGGCCGAAACCGCTCTGCACCTCGTCGGCAATGAGCAGCAGGCCGTGCTCGTCGCAGATCTCGCGCAGGCCGTGCAGGAAGCTCGCGGGCGCAGGCACGTAGCCGCCCTCGCCGATCACGGGCTCGATGAGGATGGCGGCGGTGTCGCTGGGCGCCGTCTGCTGCTGCAGCGTCAGACGCACCTGGTGCAGCGACTGGCGCACGAGCTCCTCGATGTCCGTCGACGCCGGCAGGCCAAAGTGCGCGTAGAAGGGGAACGAGGTGGCAAACACGCCGGGCATGAGCGGACCGTGGCCCTCGCCGTAGATCGTCTTGGAGCGGGTGAGCGCCGCAGTGGCAGCCGTGCGGCCGTGGTAGGAGCCTTGCATGACAATGATGTTCTGCTTCTTGGTGGCCGCACGCGCGAGCTTGATGGCCGCCTCGACCGCCTCGGCGCCCGAGTTCCAGAAGAAGAGCGTGTCGAGCGAAGGGTGCGGCAGGATGGGAAGCAGGTGCTGGATGAGCTCGATCTGCGCCGCCGAGAATCCAATGTTGACCTGTTTACATCACGAATCACAGCACCTGTCAGCGATCGGTCTGTCAAGAGAAGAGGCGGATGTCGGGATCGGAAACGTACCTGAGCATGGGTGATTTTGCCGCACTGCTTTGCGGCAGCCTCGGTGACCTTGGGGTGGCAGTGGCCGAGGTTGCAGACGCCGATGCCGGCGGTCATGTCGAGCAGCTTGACGCCCTTGTCCGTGGTGATCCACGAGCCCTTGCCGTCCTCGAAGACATGCTTGGAGAGGCGGCCGATGCCCTTGGTGATGTGCGTCTCGCCGAACGCGGCGGCGTCAAAGCTAGCAGCAGGCATGGTAGGTCGGAAAGCGGTCTGACGGGAAGGAGCCGTGGTGAACGAGCGATGAGAGGTTGGTGGGAGGGTGACGGTGGCAGCTGCTGGGGCAGATCCACGACCCAACGAGCGCTTTATAGGCTGGGAGGCAGCAAGAACAGCACGCATCTCGATAGCGGTTGGGTTTGTTGGTGACTCGCGGGAAGCTGGGGATGGTGAACGACAAGAGACAATGTGCTGGTTCGAGAGATGCCTTATCAGTCTGTGCCGACTGCGAGCCAGTGAGATGCGACCGAAACCAACCGCCAGCGTCGGATGAGCCGTGCATCCAGAGCCAGAGCGAGGGGGTAAGGAGCAGCGCTATCCGGCCGCCGGGGTAGAGTCCAGCGAGGTTTCTGGCTGCAATCCAGCTGCCGCTCGCTGTGCGGGTTTTAGACGCGCTCTGGGCTCCCTGGGCTCAAGGACGTCTAGAGGAATCTCCAAGCCCACGCGAGACGCGCCCAGAGCCCAGCCGGCAAATTCTGCTCGATTTTGCCTCGGTCCACGGGTTGTAGAGATGAACCCGACGCTCAGCCAGGGTCTTGCAGGTTACCGTTACATCCTCCACCCTGCAGCCGTGCAGCCTTCTAGACGAGCCGCGCTCCTTTTGTATTGGCCGAATGGCCAATTTAGCCGCGGGTGCCGCGCTTGCCGCTCCTATCGACGCTCTCCCGCTTCTCCGAGTCCCTCACCCGCATCCGCCTCATCCACCCCGCAAACACAGCGCAATCCAATCAGCTAGAAGTCTTGGCACAAGACGCAGCACCATGAATATGAAACTGGTTCCGATGAGACGCAGAGTGTGAATGCGAGGCTAAACAACAAGGGGGGAAAACTAGAATACAGTATACAAACGTGTGTGGATCCATGCAGCTGCTCGCTGTGGATATGCTCAGTTGTGTGGATGCGGATGTGGATGAGATGGACAGGCAGGCTAGCAAGCACTTCGCGCTCACTGACCGGACTGCGAAAACCCAGTGGACGCCGCAGCGGTGAACGCCTGGATGCCTCCAGCGGCCTGGATGCTGTTCCAGGCCATCCTCAGTGGACTGGCAGGGACGCCATCGCTCGTGCCAAACGCACCGTATCCGGATGCACCCGGGTCCATGCCGCCGTGACCATGCTGCGCGTGCATTTGGTGGTGTTGGTTCATCTGCGCGTGCGGCTGCTGGTGCTGCTGCACGCCTGGCTGCAGATCAAACGGATCGTCCAAATACCATGCCTGCTGCTGCATGTTCTGCGGTGCGCCGCCGCCCATGCTCATCCCGAGCATCTGCGCGTGTGTCGAAAGACCGCGGCGGCCGGGTGAGAGCCCCGTTGATGCACGAAGCGAGCCAGGCGTGCGGCCAGGCGTCAATCCCGAGCCCATGCCCAGCCCGGCGCCAAAGCCCGAACCGCCAAAGCCTCCCATGGCCAGCTGCATCTGCAGCCGTGCGCCCGAGTTGGGCGACATCATGCCGGCGGCGCCGCTGCGCAGCGGAGAACTGCGGATCGGGCTGTGCGCCAACGCGGCCGCCACGCGAGCTGCCGACGTGGGCGAGCGCATGCCCTCGTCTATGCCCTTCTGCGCGCCCATCGCGCCCATCGACGCACGCATCGACGACATGGGCGAGCTGATCGACCACAGTCGCTTTGGCGACGTCACCGACGAGTTGTTTGCGGTCGTGCCGGCGCTCTCGCCGCTCAGGCCCTTGGTCTGTCGACGCAGTGGCGACCCGCGCGAAGCGTCGCTGTCCATGCCGTTCGAGAATGCAAACGCGCCGCCCAGCGCCGAGCCTCCGCGCATCGCGTTGCGGTATGCGCCGCTCCGCGCTCCATTCAACGGCGAGCCCTGGCCGCCGTAGACCGATGGCGAGAAGCCGGTGCCGTAGCCGAGCTGCCCGTTGCCGTTGCCGGCCATCTTGCGCTTTCGTGCACTGTGGTGCGCTGTCGCCTGCATTGAGGGCGGCGGCATCAGCGTAAAGGGGCTGCTGGGAGGGCTGCTGGCGCTGTCGACCAGGCCCGGAAGCGTCTTGCTGTAGTTGCTCCCGGCAATGCTGCTGCTGTACATCGACGAACCAACATGCGGACGCACCGGTGTGATCGTCTCGATGCCATGGATTGCCATGGGCCCATCGCCCAGGTGGCCTCCGTTTTGAGGCTGCGTCTCGAGCAGCGGCAGACGGTCCGCAAACACGATCGGCGTGTCCTTCTTGGCCTTCTTCGACGGCTGGGCATTCTCATCGCGCTGCGACTCGTCCTCGCTGTCGCCACCAGCCTGGCCTGCCTGTGTCTTTTTGCGCTTGGCTTTGCTGCGCTTCTTGGCGCTGCCCTCCGCTGCATCGGATCCGACGGTGCTTTTCTGCGAGGACTCGGGGACAGTCAAGCCTGTCTCAACAGCGTCGGGAGAGTCAAGACCCTGCTGGGTCTGACCTTGCTGCTGCAGGAGCTGCTGCTGCTGTCGCGCCTTGGCCGCCTCGAACTTTTGTGGGACGGCGTTGTAGAGACCGTTCTGGAAGCGATCCTCGTGACCAGGCTTGATGCCCCACCAGCCGCCCTTGCCGGGCATATTGGCCTCGCGCTCGATCTTGATGAAGCTCTTGTTGAGACTCAGGTTGTGGCGGATCGAGTTCTGCCAGCCGCGGTCGCCCTTTTCGAAGAAGGGGTATGTGGAGCTGATCCAGTCGTACACCTCGGACAGCGAGAGGCGCATGTCCGACGACGACTTGATGGCTTGGCCAATGAGGCCAGCGTACGACACCGAGCTCGGCTTGGCCTTGGACTGGCCGTATCCAGGCGGCAGGAGGTAGTAGCGCGCCGGAGGCTCCTCGAGCAGCGTGCCGGCTTCGAGAGCCGCCTTGAGCTCCTCCGAGACGAGCTTGACCAAGCGACTTCCATCGGGCTGGTTCCACCCAATCTCTTCGCCATCTTGCACGGCGGGCGAGATCTTGGTCATGCGCTCGAAGTCTTGGCGAGGGAGGTCGACGACCTTGAAAGCGGCTGGATCGGTCGCAGATCCCGACGTGGCCTTGGCTTTCTTGGCTTTCTTCGTCGAGCCGGTCTGCGAGCCGGTCGGGGGGCCGACGATGCCACAATTGTCCGTTCCGTCGATGGCTGCCGACTGAGTCGCGAAGGTCGGTGCGACTGCAGAAGCATCGATGGAAGGCTCTGCACTTCCTGCACGGTGCCCAACCACCGCCGAGGCTGGCTGGATCACGATCGATACTCCGCCTTGGGCAGGGAGCTGTTTGCTTGGTGAGGGAGGAGAGTGGCTATGAGCCCGTCGGTCCTCGGCAGCCTTCTTGCCCTTCTTGCCTACCTGCGTGTGCTGCGACGGAGCGCCGAAATCGCGATCACCCTTGCTGGGCTCGGGCAGTGGCAGCTGCGTCTCCACGGCAGGCGCCGAGATGGTTCGCGCCAGGCTCGAGCCAAAGACGTCGGCCGGGCTGATGGTATCGATCTTGCGCGATCCGGCACGCTTGTGCTTGCTTCCGCTGACGTTGGCACCCAAAAAGTCTCGAATGTTGCCCGAGGGCTGGCGGTCTCGTCCAGAGACGATGGCGCTGCCGGACTGGGCTCGCACGAGGGCGCTTCGGGGGCTTGCGAAAGGCAGCTTGCCACCAATCATCTCATCTCCCGAGTTGCCTGCCCTGAGGGAGCGGCCCAGGCGCAAGGGCGATGCGGACGACAGCGAGAAGATCTTGCCGGGCATATCTTCGATGCTAGCAGCCTCTGCGAGGGAAGGCGGGGGATCGAGCGCCGTACCTCCAGGCGCGGTGAACAGGAGGCCACGCTTTGCGTTGAGGCCCAAAGGCTTGCTGAGACCGTTGGCATTGTGCATGCCGATGTCATCGTCGGCGTCAAAGTCGAGGTCGCTGATGCGACTTGCGACGTTTGTGACCAGACGGCCCGAGAGAGGCGACATGACGGCCATGCCGTGCGAGGACGAGCGCATCAGTGACGAGTTTGCGTGGCCCTGTGCGCTGGCCTGGCGCGCATGGAAGAAGCCGCCCACGCTCGGACTGACACCGATGAGCTCTGGTCGAGCATCTTCGGGGGCGAGGAGGAAATGGGCCGCCGGCGTTGCCGCCGATGCAGCACGTAGACTAGAGCGGCTGGCTTCAGTGCCTTTGCGCAGGGTCGAGAGCGGCTCGGCATCCCAGGTGGAGAAGGTGATGGGACCTGGGGTCGAGTTGATGTGGCAGAGCGATTCGAGCGAGTCGAGGCCCGGCTGGCTGGGCGAGATGCCGTGCATGGTGAAGTCGTAGTGCTCTCGCGTGGTCATGCGCATATGCAGGTTGGCCGGACTCGAACCGAGCGTGGTCCATCGCAACGCGCGGGACGAGGAGGATTCGGCGGGGGTGGCGCGGAGCACCGAGTCTGGCGACCTGCGCGACACCTTGGACGCGTTAGGCGTGCTGATGACGAGCGAAGCATAGTCCGGGTTGGCGGCCTTGATGGCGTCGGCAGCTGCGGCTGCTTTGGCAGCCTCCTTCTCTTCGTACTCTGCGCGCGCAGCAGCTTCGGCGGCCTGCTGTGCAGCGAGGTGTGCCTTGTCCTGCTCCTCGGCCATCTTGCGTTGGGCGGCTTCCTTCTGCCTGCGCTTCTCTTCTTTGTAGAGGCGCCTGGGGCTGGTCTGCTGCGCCATGATCTTGTCGAGGAAGCTGAGGCCGCTCATCTTGACATCCAGGCTCTCGAGTGCGCCTGGCGCTGTGGTACCGGCGGAGCTCTCGGAGAAAGTCCTGCGATGGGTTGTGCCCCAGCCGTCGGCTGCCAGGCCACCATTGGCGTCGATGACGGGCGTAGCAGACTCGTTGGCGTGGAAAAAGACGCCCGAGTCGTCGACGTCGGGCACGGGGCTGCAGAAGACGCCGGTGTGGTCGACGGGAGACTTGAGCAGGCGCAGGGTTCCACGCGGGCTGACCCATGCGCGACGGCTGAGCTCTTCGAGTGATGTGCAGTGCCTCACCTCTTCGCTGACACGAATGACGGGCGAAGATTCGAAGGAGACGGTGCGACCCCGCGACCTGCGGCTGGAGAAGGCACTCTGGAGCGCCTCGGGTGGGGTGATAGGGTCGGAGCTGGAAGTGGAATCGCTGCCGACGAGGTCGAGGCCGAGACCGACGCGGGTGGCTGACTTGACACTGCTGCAGCTTCCCCTCTTGGTGTGCGTCCTGGTGGGTGGGGTGCGGAAGGTAGGGGCGTAGCCAGCCTCTGGCGAGGACTGCGCACCGACCGAGACGGGCGTGCCCAAGAGGCTTTGCGAGCCCTTGTGAGAGCCGCTGGCGGCGTTGGCGGCGGCGGCAGCTCGTTCGCGCTCGAGTCGCAAGCGTAGCTTCTGCTTCTTGATCTTGAGACGGCGTCTCTCCTCTGCGCTGCCGACGTGATCGAGGCTGGGGTGGACCTTGGGCAAGACGGGCGAGTCTTGGGGCTCGATGACGGCGGTGAAGAAAGAAAGACCGGGGCTGCTTGTGTTGCGAGACCAGTTGGGAGCTCCAGTGCGTGCTAGTGGCGACGGCGCGGCCAAACGGGACGGAAGGGCGACAGGCTTGGTCTCTGTCGTGCTGCTCGGATTGGTTGCTGGCTCGCTGGTGCCTGCTGCTTTTCCGGCGGCAGAGGTGCTGGGCGCAGCCGACGTTGCTTTCGACTCGGAAGCATTTGGTGTAGCAACAACGCTGGCGTTGGCAGACGATGGCGCGACGGGGCGGCGTTCGGCCTTGAGGAAAGCGGCGACGCCAGCCTTGGTACGCTCGTAGTCCTCCCTGGTGAGGCGGAGACCCATGGCTTGCGCGCGCGCAAAGAAATCTTCGGCGTCCTTGGACATCGCTGGGCCGTTCTCGCTCGCAGCGGGAGTAGCGGCACTTGCACTCGTGGAAGCAGGGCTGGATGGGAGCTTGGAAGCCGACGTGGATGGGGTCGCGCTGAGGGTGGTGGAGGATGGTGCGGATGCAGACGCGTTGGACAGAGTGCGCGGTGCGGCTGCTTTGGACGCACCGAGTGCTGCTGCAGGCCTTCCGCGTGCGACGGGTCGGAAAGGGGCACGCGTGCTGAGCGCTGTGGCGGAGGCATCTGCGGAATCGTCGGTAGCGGAGGATGAATTGGCGGGATCTTCCATGCTAGCGGGGGTCGCAGAGCGGGATCCAGAGGGAGTGGGGCTTGCATGGATAGCCTGGACCAAGGACTTTTCGGCGGCACTGCTGGTGAGCATGGAGAATTTGGCGCGTCGGTTGCCCGGGCCGGAGCGCGAGAAGGTGCTAGGAGCGATGCTGGTTGCGCGTGTGGCGGGCGTAGCAAAGGGCGTGCTGGTGGAGGTTGGGGAGTAGTCGGAGGAGGAGGAAGCGGGGGGATAGTTGGAGCTGGAGGAGCTAAACGAACGCGGGTTGGATGGCGTCGTCATGGTGGAACACGTCCAGGCGCGACTGGGACCTGGATGGCCCGGGTCGTGCTGAAGAGAGGGGGACAAGGCACTTTGCAGAGGGTGGGGGTGGACGCGTAGATGTATGCTGTTGGATTACGCTCCTGATGGTGTGCAGTACGCGTGAAACGACGAAGCTCGAGGCGACGTGGTTTTAGCGGTGGGAACTGAGGAGCGTGGATGCGACGCGTCTGGGTCGATCGTGGTGGGACGCGACGTCGATGGTGTTGGGGGTGGTGATGGTGATCGTGGATGGGTAGATGTGTCCGCGCTGGTGATGGATGTGGTAGCGGTGTATGAGGATGGCGGCGGAGGTGACGATGAAGGAGGATGGGGATGAGGGTGAGACAGAGCGCGCGACCGAGACGGCAAGCGCGAACGTGAGGATGCAAAAGGCGGTGGTGGTGGGTGCCGAGAGTGGCCACCGACCGAGCGCGTTCCACCGGCAGTCCGCGCAGCTGCGGGCGCACCAGCAGACAGCGGAGCAGCTGAATTTCAACTGCATATCCACACTGTACCCACAGCGCATCAGCGGCCATTTGGCAGCTCACTGCTGGCTTTGACCCGAGCCGAGATCTGCGCAGGCCAGGCTGAGGACGCGTGACTGCGCACCTGCCAGAACCAGAACAGCTCGCAGCTGCACGACGGGCGCCTGAGGCCCCTCTGTACTTTTTTTTTCGAGCGCGACTCTCTCTCTCTCTCTCTTTCTCTCTGCGGGAAAATTCAGCGCAGCGACGTGATGAGACCGAGCGGCAAATGTGCTTTCAAATCACACTCTGAGCTTGCCTCGCCCTCATTACCTTGCCAGCAAGACCCTCGCAACCACGCACAGCGAGCTTCTTCATATGCCTGCCTTTCATCGACCTTCGTGAAATCTCTCAGCATAGAGTGAAGCAGAGCGAATCGATAGGATGGAGACGGGACGGACAGGTGAGAGGGCGACGTTGAAGCTGGCATGACCGAGCGGGTGGGCGCGCTATTGCAACAGTCTGCAGCTGCTTTCCCGAGCGAGCGCGGCGAGGCCCGCTGTCGGACCCGCCAAAGCAAAAGTGCCAACGAGCGGCTCGGCGTTGATGCAAAGGCGAGGCGGATTCGACGGGGCGGCGCGGCTGCATGAGCGAGCGCCTGGACGCGACGCCCGAGTCTCACTCGCTCCCCAAGCGCGCGCGCGCGTTCCTTGTCCGAGCCGTGACGATCCTCGCTGCCAAATCGCAGGATTTCGCCCCTCGGCGTGCGCGCTCTGTGCAACTGCATTTCCCCATCTCACCTCGCCCACTCTTTGCCTGAGAGAGCGATGAGAAAAAAAAAAAAAAAAAAAAAAAAAAAAAAAAAAGCGCCTCTCGTGCCTCGGCGAAGCGTAGGAAAGCGTCGTCACTTCGATTGGCAGGTGCCAGCGACTTGCATGGCATGAGAGCAAGGACGGGCGGCAAATGCATGCGTGCCTGTCATCACGAGGAATGTCGTTGATTTGTCCAAGGCCGATGCAAGGAGCGCGTTCAGCTGAAGCTCGCTTCGCCTCCCATTTCCGCCGGACGCGACCGCTGTCACTTTATGCGTCGCGTAAACATACGCGTTCACGTCGCGTCGCATCACGTGACTTTAGTCACGGTCCTTCCTTGGCCTGCTGTCGGCGCTGTTGAGCATCGATAGGTTGCTTTGACGGCAGTGCTTCCACGCCCAAGGTCGGGCCGACAGCATTCGCTTTCGGCGATGACTCGAACACATTCTCGCTTCCGCCGGGATTAGTTGGCTGGCGAGCAGGGCATGCGCAGACGAGGCAATGGTAACGAGGAAAGAAATTAATTCGAAAGGAAAAAGGGGCACTGATAATGCAGAAGAAAAAGGAAGATGAGTGTGCGGCGGTGGAAAGTCAACGGAGACTGGGCCCTGGGCGACATCGGTAGCATCGGGCCGCCGTCTGGAAACGAAGCCGCAAGCGAGGACGTGCGGTGCACTGGGCTTTGGCGGATTTCGTGCAGTGCCTGGCAGCTTTAGCGCTACCGATGCGCGCGGATGCAAGTATGGCCCGCTGCAATCCGCACTTCAATGCCATACACTAGCTGCCTCAACGCTATCGGAGCGCAAGCCAAGACGGCGATCCTCGGAGGGCACAAGGTGACAACGGCGACCGGAGCTGCCTGCCACATGGTCCGTTGCTGGCAATCGCCCCCGATGTGGCCTCACACGCAGCTCAAAGAGGCAAGATTTTCATCCACACCCCATGCACGCTGCGCTTGATTTGAGCGCCCGACACCGCTAAGCGAGACCTCCGCCCCACTGGACCAACTTAGCGCACACCACCACCTGCCAGAGAGAGCAAAAAAGATCAACAGTGCAGCTGCATGTCTGACCCTGAATTCGCTCCCACCGTTTGCCTGCAACCCGGCAAGGGGGGACCAAATCGCTTGCCCTGCCTCTTTGCCGCCCTTGCCTGCAGCACGCATACAATGCCCAAGCCACATCGCAGCCATCAGCGGCGAACGCGACGAGCGCAGCGTGGGCCGGCGCAGCAAGCTATTGTATGCATCCTTGGCTGCACCTCCTGCTGTGCTACTCCGCATGAGCTAGGCCAATTGCAGCCAATGTTCCCTCGAGAGCACCTGCGCTCCCCAGCCGTGTGTACTGCACTGCGAAGCAATTCATGTCGTTTCATCAAGCGCTGCTAAACCTAGCCGACAGAAACTCGACACGTTTGCCGCCATGTCCCGAAACATCGCTTGGCCCGTCTTCCCGCCCGTGGCTTCCATAGCCCGTCTTGTCGCTTCTCCTCCGTCCCTACTTCTGTAACCACACCAATCGTGGTAAGCTTCTTGCTCGACCATCGTCCAATATTCGTCATCTGCCGGGCAAGAAGGGCTCCCTTTCCGTCATCTTACTCGACCATGTCGCCGTGATCTTCGCACCAACAAGGCAGCAAGAGAGTACAGAGCAGCAACATCACCTCACACTCGAGCGACAGTGCCTACTGTGCTGACCGGGCGACGGATCCGTAGCTGCTTTCACGATGCTTGTATCTGCTCCAGGCGGCGCCCTGCATCCCAGCGTCAGCGCCGCGCTCAGCGAACTGAAGAAGCTCGACTCCAGATACGACCACATCGTCCTCGCCACAGCCGAGGGCAGCACCAGCCGTACGGCGCCCTTTGTGCTCGTCGATGCAGCTCTCGGCGGCCTCAGTGCGCTCAGCTGTAAGCTACGCACGCACGAAACACGTTTCGCCCTGCTGCGTGTGCAGGCGAGGATCCTCCTCGTCGTCTCGCTCGGCCAAGACCTAGGCGGACTGCGACGAGCTCAGGCTCTGGTACAGGCACGAGCACTCCAATCGGCACTTGGCGCCATCGTGTTCGCCGCACTCACCATCGCCAGCGTCTCCCAGCTCACATCGGCACTGGTCGGCTCTAAGCTGCAGCTCGAGGGATTCCCGCACGTCGCCTCTCCCAACATCGCACAGGACTTTCGATCGTCCTGGTCATCCACATCCGCTACAAGCCCAGGAGCACGTGCAAAGCCCAGTGCGCCGTCGTCGCCAGAGGAGGCGGCGCTCGATTCGAGCTGGTCGCGGCCCTTCTCTGCCATCGGAGCGTCTAGTCGCAGCGATGCTTTGGCCGCATTCGCCTCTCGCGCACATTCCTTCCACTCGCTCGTCCATGCTCCGTCGCCCGAACGGTCCACAACGCGGCTGAGTAAGCACGGCATCGTGATCGATCTGGAGGCTGTCGTCGACTCTTCCGCACACGAGATGGTTACTGCTGCGACTGATCTCCCACCACCTTTGCCACCAAAGGCAGACCTGCCACCGCTGCCGAGAAGCGCAAACGATGACGGACCTCGGCCGTCGAGCGTCTCGTCACGACCTCGTTCTGTAGCTGCATCCCCTAGTCCCTCCGTTTCGTCTTTGCGGGAGCCGATTCAGCTGCGCAAGTCCAGCGACCCGGATCGCCTGAGTCCACACATCGACGAGTTTCAGCGCCAGCGCATCGACGAGGCGATCCGCGACGAGGTCATGAGGAAGCTTCATGCCGAACAGCAGGCTCTTCTGCGAGACAACAGCCGGTCACCGGCGAATCGGACACCCAGGTTGGCCATCAGTCCCCCGCTGGCTCCCCCTCCGCCATTCGCCCCGCCTCCAGCTCCAGCATCCCCACTCCGGACAGCGCCGTCCACGCCGCGACTCTCGAGCAAGGCGCAGCGTCTCGCATCAATGCCCCACCGGAGCGAGCGGAACAAAGCACGCCGGAGCGGTGCTAGCGATCGTCGCGCAAGTGCGCCTCTGCTGGACGAGACAGCGGCGGAAGGTCCGAACGCCAATGCGCTGCAGGCATCGCTCAGCGAGACGGCGTCCGAAAGCCACGAGAGCCTGCGCACCAGCATGCAGTCGCTCCACCTGTGGGAGTTCGCAGAGGCGGCGAGCCAGCGCACGTCCTTCTTGGACCTGCCGGGCGGTCGATCCGAGCGGCCAACGATCGGCACCGTTTCCGACGGCAAACGGAGCAGGCAGCCTTCGTATAGCGACTCGGTGGCGTCCGTGGAGCCCGACGGTCAGCGTTGTGCGCCTTCCAGCTCGACTGGCAGTGTGGCCGCATCGTCGATCTTTGACAAGGACCTGCCGGCTCCGCCCGCCGCGGCCGAAACCGCCTCCATCGGGAGCGGAGAGTGGAGTGGCGAGATGGACTCGCCTGACTCGACGCACCCTCCTCCGTCTCCTTGGATGGAGCCGCCAGCTGGTCTTGCTGACAAGGCCGGAAGAACCGCAGGGGATGCGCCCGAGGATGAGTTGCGCGACCTGCGCGATCGATTGGAGCTGGCAGAGGCGCGCGCCAAGGCAGCTGAAGAGGCCGCCGAGGTGGCGGTGCGCGAGGCTCAGAGCGAGACGCGACGGCTGGCCGAGGAGCTCGCCCAGGTGGAGCGGGGCACTCGCGATACCATGGAAGCCGAAGCAATTCGGCGCGCCAAGTGGGCGAGGGAGCAGGTGGCTAGGGAACAGCTCGATGCGTACGAGCGCAGCAAGCTCGAGGCGGACGAGAAGCGGCGCAGGCGCGCGATCGAGGAGCAGAGGAGGCTCGACTGTGACCGCGCCAACCGCATCCGAGAGGAAAGAGAGTGGCGCGAGCACGAAGCAGAGCGCATCAAGCACGAGTACGAGCTCAAGATCCAGTACCTCGCTGAGCGAGAGGCAAAGCTCAAGGCCGAGGCCGAGGCGAGGGCGGACGAAGAGCGTTTACGAATCGAGGAGGAGCGCAAGAGGGCGCACGCTCGCCAGAAATGCCTGGCTGAGATGAAGCGGGCTTTGCAGGGCGCTGGTGCCACGGATGAAGACGCATTGCTGTCCGGATGGCTCAATGTGCAAGCGGAGGGCGCGCTTCAGTGGAGGCGTCGGTGGGGGCAGGTCAGGAAGCAGCAATTTATATTGTCAAAAGCGCCGACGGACCCCGTCGCCGTGGCTACGATCCCCCTCGAACGCGCTCGAATCGTGTCGCACCTGGACGACCACGATGACTGCACCATGCCCTACACCATACGACTGCAAGTGTCCGTTGATCAGGGCGACTCGGCAGCTTTCGATACATGCACGTACCTGATCTCCACCGATACCCGAGCGGCCAAGGATGACATCGAGCTAATCATCGAGGCCATTGCAGACTTGCAATCTCTTTCCGAATAGGACTTGTTCGCTGTTGCCATCCCAGCACCGTACAGAATGTCTTGTCCAGGCTATGTATGAGCGGACGTGCGAGTGGCAGTCGGACAGCAGGTGTGTCAATTTGCATCCCTTTTGCGCCCACATGTGCTGGTTCGTCTTATTCGACGACCTTGCTTGCGCTGCATTTTCTTCTCGTGCAGCACAATGGGCTTCATTTCTCAACCGTGCATCGCTCCCACTATGGTCAGAATCGGCTGTGAGCAGATTTTCCTTTCTTTCACAGCGTGGGGCGTCCAATGGTACCGAAACTTTGGGCTGAGGCTCAAGACGAATGTGGACTGGGGCGAGACAAGTTGCAGGGGCTCCCTGCTCATCGGCTGCACGGTCCCCGGTGTGTTCGTCAGAAACCTAAACGGTGTCGTTTCCCACGCCTGGGCCGAGTGCTGCGCTCATGTGATGTCAAACCCTGACTACAGTGGCGACAGGTCGGTCTCAACCTCGCCGGACGCTGCGAAACGGGGCCGGTTCGCAAGGTGATTTGGAGAGCGACGCTTGGTTGCGCAGCTGTGAAGAGTGACTTTAATTGGATGCAGGCTGGCTAACCGCTTACGCCTTCCCACTTCATCACGGCTGTGCGTTGAGTTTGCCTGTCTGCGCAGTCTCTTTTCATTCGTGCCCTCAATAAAAGGCAGCAACCCGCGGGTCCTCCGACGAAGCCTGCTCCTAAAATTTCCTGATTCACGACTTACGATCCGACGCTCAATCTTGAGAGGCCAAGCTCTACCACGATGGATGGACTTGGCTACATTCCTGCACTGAATGGTCCGACGCTGTATGGCGATGCCAACGACGAACCGATCCTGATTCCTGTCAGAAAGCAGAAGCAACGCGCTCGCACCACCTCGTTGTCACGCCGAGCTCGGACTCTGGTCACCCGTAGCAAGAGCTTGTTCTCCACCGCCTCGTCCGCATCGTCGGTCGACACGAGTGCGTCCATGCCCGCCTGCTCGCCGCGAAGCAGCGACTTCAGCTTCTCTTCCTCTAGCGACCGCCACGATCAGACCTTCGAGAGCTTTCACGCACGTTGTGGATCCACTCCGTCCTCATGTCCATCCGACCCAAGCCAAGATCGTTCTTACGCCCTTCGGCAACGACCATTCCCGCAGTTGCCATCAACACCCGAAGTGGACAATATCACGGGCAAGCCGTTCGTGACTCCTCCAGAAGCGAATTTCGACACGCTACGCCCTCCTGATCATCTCACGGTACCGAACACAACACGGAGAACAAGCTGCATTTCGGGGCTCATCGACAGCGACTACACATCTGTGGAAGAGCTCAGCCCACCGAGCTCTGCATCGGCCTGCGGGCTCGCCGATGAACCAGCCATACGAGATTCTTTCATCGAGCCCAGCCGTGCATCGAGCTTGCTCGACTGCGAAATGATCCCGGACTCGAGTCCCATGTGCCTCAACTTTCCCATTCCCGGCCCACTGCTCCCATTACGCCTGTCCAATTCATCGAACCTGCTACGGCTAGAAGACGTCCCTGTTCTCGGCCGCTCCGATCCGCGCAGCAGCGTGCTACAATCTCGGCTCGCTTACGACAGCTTGCCCAGCTGGGAGATGCATGCCCGCACGCCACCGCACTCTTAGCTTATGTCGTGTCATTCCAAGTTGTCGGCATCTATTCAAACAAGTCTGCAGCGCGTGTGCGACCTTTGAGCCTGGCTTTACCTGCGGTCGACTCGGTCCTTTGCTGATCGCCTCCTTCGGCGTCTCCGTCATCGAGGTCAAAAGTAAGCAGCGACTTTTTTGGCGCCTTTGACTTTTTGCGCTTGATGGGCGGGGGGTTCCCCTTATCGTGGGCATCCTGAGCTCTGTTCTTGGCCCTAGCCTGGAACACGACGCCGGATCCAGAAGCTGGGTCCTGCATCTTTGGTACGGCAGCGCTGCGAGTGGGCTTGGACTCTTCTGCATCCTGCTCTTCGTCCGACTCAAAGATGGCTTTATACACATCCATGGATGGCTTGACGTAGGTGAGGGTGTCTCGGCCCTGGCGTTCGTCTTCGCCCATACCGATCTGCTCGGTTGCGTCTGCATCAGCCATGTTGTCCTCTTGGGCCGAGCCAGCCGCGCTCATCGCGTCGATCGAAAGCGGAGTCGGAACGGCGGCGAGAGCTTTGAGCTGCTCCTTGCTGCGTTCCCAGTGCTGATCCGCACGCAGCCCCGACCTCGCCTTGGACGACGGCGTCGAGCCGTAGAACGGGTCCACCTCTTCATCGCCGAGTCTAGCTGCTTTGCTCGATGAGCCCGCTTCCTCGTCGCTGCGTCTCTTGCGCGTAGTTGCAGGCTCGGGCACGCCAAACCGCTTACACAGCAGCCGTGCCGGAGCCCAAGCTTCGACACTGCGCGTGAGATGGCCAAAGTTGCCCATCCTCGCCGCCTTCTGCGCAACCGACAGCTCCTCTTCTTCGCGCTCCTCTGGCTTGTCTTCCGCGGAGGGATCTGCCGCAGCCGCAGGTGCAGGGTGTCGCAGACCCGGCGTGGCGGTGGTCGCTTTGGTCTCGTGCGCCATCACCGCTGCACTGGCGGTGGTGAATCGGCTCGCGATCGCCGAGCTCATCGGCCTAAAGACCGCCGCGCTCTTAGCAAAGTCGCGCAGCTCGTTGGAAAACTGCTCCGCCGTCATGTGCGCGGGCACAGCAAGCCGACAAGCCTGCTCCGACGACGCTTCCAGCTGACTCCGGAGGAAGGACAGATAGCGCTCTTGTTTCTCGGGGTCCGTGCCAAAAGGCGCAAACCCTTGTAAGGCCAGCTTTGCAGTCGCCACATCGAGTCGAGGCACTTGAACTTGTTCTGGAGCGGCAGGTGCCGCGGTGAAAGAAGCAACTGCGCCAGAAGGAAGCGACACGCTGGGATCGAGTGCAAGCCGCTCGCGCGCTTTTGCGGAGAGGAAAGCGGCAACGTTCGGAGGAGGTCCTGGCATCTTGGCCTCGCCCAGCAGCTGGCCTCGGCTCGCAGCCGACGCCGTTGTCGCAGCAGCGCCGGTCGGGGCTTTTGCATCCGCAGCGGTGAAGCGGTGCCAGACTCGGCTAGGATCAGGTTGCCAGTCTGGCGGTACGTGCAACGCTGCAAATACCGGTGCAGGAGGCACAGCTTGCGAGGCCAGCCGGAAGCCAGCCAGCACATTCCGGCCATCGGGCCAGACTTCCTCTCGTGACTTTCCAATCGAGCGGTTCTCTTCGTTGGTCGACACGCCAGCCTTAGCGCCAAGAGCCCGGTTCAAGCTCGGCTTGTCCTCGTACCCGAGACCGCTGCGGCCGCTGCGACTGGCCGCCGGCGAAAGCATGGGTGTTGGTGGAGGGGCATAAAGATGTTTCAAGTCCTCGAGCGTCACTGCCGATGATGTCGCAATTGACGATGCCGGCACTGTCGAAACCAGGTTTTCGAGGCGTGCCTTCTTCTGGGCATCTACCCTGGGTCCGAGGCCTTGACCGTCCTTCCATCCCATTCGTCGGAGCAGCTTGGAGCCCAAGCTCTCATTGCTGCCGATTCCAAGGCTGCTGAGCAGCGGGTCTGACGCGAAGCTGCCTGTAGAGTCGGTGGCGCGGAGGCCTGCGATCAAGCCGTCCGAGTTTGCCTGAAGTCCGAAGCCTTGATTCGTGGTGATGGTCTGTGCAGCTTTGCGGTCCTGCAGATCTTCTTCGTCCATGAAATCTTCTGGACGAGAAGGGATTGAAGCCGCTGCTTGACTGCCCGCATGTTTGTCCTTGCGCGAAGAGCGGAACGATGACGGGGTCCAGCCAGCCTCCGACCCTACGGTGTTGAAGTAGCCCGCAGAGAAGCCACCGGTAAAGGCGCCGTGGAAGCGACGCCTTCCTTGGGCATCGCGAGCCTCCTGCTGCCAGATGGGCTTGAGCTCGTTCGCATCCTTCTTGGCCAGGAGGTCCGGCAGGGGGGTGCCGATGATGCAAAAGTTGTCCGAGAGCGTGGAGAGCTCTTTCGGGTCGACATCTCGCAGTCGGCGACGCAGCCGGTCGGTCGCCATAGTCACGCTTTCACAAGGCGCTTGTCGTTCATCCTCGGGAGGATGCAGTGGCTCGAGCTTGCTTGAAAGCCGCCTGTGACATGGTGGCCGTGGAAACGCTGGCTGTGTTGGTCCAGGTACCCGAGTTGGCGTTTTGGTGTGTGGAGGCTACAATAAGGGAAACTTCTCGGCCGACTCTGCTCATACTCGCATTGCAGCCCTCACTCCGCAACGTCAGCACTGCGTAGCGTCCTCACTCTGCAGCGTCTTCACTCTGCGGTATTCTACGTCAGGTTAGTGAGTCCTGCATCGACCTCTTGGCTCGCGCACACTCGACTACCAGACAGACATGCCAAGCTAGAAGGTGAGTTCAGAGTGACCATTTACAAGGGAGTGTACCATAGACGGCCCTGGCCAATGGCGGTAGAGTAAAGTGAGCCAGGACTTCTAAAGGAAGGACGATGGAAGAGTGTAGGAGCGGGGACGATGTACATCGCATTAGATCAGGGCAGATCTCTCCTTATGAGATCCGAGACCGAGTGAAGATGACACAGCACTCACTCGGACATGGCGATGCCAGAGTCCGAAGCGTAGGTGCTGTCGGGCGAGACGATGCGGTGGGGAACGCCATCGACGGTGCGGTAGAAGGCGACCTGGTCGTTCTCGTCGACGAACTTGCAGGTGTTGATGCTCTTCCAGAGCGAAACAAAGACGTTCTCGGTGCTCTTGACGTAGTGGTTGCCGAGACGGGCCTTGAGCGCCTCGGTGGCCTCCCAGGCGTTGTAGTGGGGGATCTTGCTCGAGACGTGGTGGAGCACGTGGGTCTCGGAGATGCCGTGGAAGAGGTAGGGACCGACGGGGCCGAGCCAGTTGCGGTCAATGGTGCAGAGGGCGCCACGAGGGAAGGTCCAGGCCTCGGCCTTGTAGTGGGGGAGGGCGGGGTCGGTGTGCTGGAGGTAGGTGATCATGACGAGCCAGTGGTTGCAGAAGAAGTAGGGGATAACGTAGTAGCGGAAGACGTCGGAGAAACCGCCCTTGGAAAGCATGCCCCAGGCAGTGAGCGCGCTAAGAGTAGCAGCGATGCCAATGTCCGAGACGATGATCTGCGAGCGGTGACGCTGATCAAAGATGATGGCGTCGGGGTTGAAGTGGTTGGTGTACTTGGGGTAGTGGAGCTGACCGGAGGCGTTCCTGAGGAGGTAGAGGGGCCAGCCGAGGAGCTGCTGAACGAAGATGTAGGTGAGGTTGTAGAGCGGAGCATCCTCGAGAACCTCGGCGAGCCACTCGCCCCAGGTCTCGTCAACGTTGACGGCACCGACCTCCTTCTCAACAGCGTCCTCGTCGTTCGAGTCGTCGCCCGACTTGGGGGCGGGCTGCAGAGGAAGGCGGTTGCGCTGAGATCGGGTGCGGGGAACAAAGACCTCGTCACGGGTGAGGTGGCCGGTGGCGGCGTGGTGACGGGCGTGCGAGATGCGCCACGAGTGGTAGGGCACGAGGAGAGCCGAGTGGAGCACCCAGCCGACGGCGTTGTTGAGCGTCTTGCTGGTGCTGAAGCTCTGGTGGCCGCACTCGTGGGCAATGACCCAGACGCCGGTGAAGACCATACCCTGGAGGATCCAGTAGACGGACCAGGCGGCGAAGCGAGCGACAGCCTGCTGGATGCCGAGGGAGATGTAGGGGGAGAGAGCGTTGGACTTGAGACCCGAGAAGCTGGTTGCCACGGTGGGGTCAATGCAGGAGGCGGCAAAGCCGAGAGCAGCGATCATGGCAAAGTCGGCAAAGACATAGGTGAAGGACTTGAAGGCCGAGCGCTCAAAGCAGTGGGCGGGGATGGCGGAGAGCAGGTCCTTGACGGTCAGATTGGGCACCTCAAAGGTGGGAATCTCCTTCTCGTCGTAGGCAGCTGCCTTGCGGTGCGAGTATCGCACATTCTCGACCTTGGCGGCCTTGTCGGTGGTGGAAGGGGTGGTCTTCTTGCCAGCGCGCTGACCAGCAGCGGTGACGTTGGCAGCCACTGCAGACGACATGTTTGTAAGTCGTGAGCTGGTGTTTGGGGAGAAGGAGAAGGTGGTGGGGGGTTGACGGGATAGATGGTAGCGTGGGGATAGGAAAGGAGATTGAAGTGTCGATGGCCCTTAATATGATCCTCTCTTCCCCTGAGCTACAGCACAGGCAGCACACACTCTTGTCAGTGGGGGGGGGGGCAAATTTTCTGAGGATGACAGCGGACAAGGCTTTGCAGCGGCGCACCCACTATCAAGGGTTCCCACCCAACATGGCTGCGAGGGCGCACAGTGCACGCGCATTCACTCCGAGCCAGGCTGCGAGTGAGGCACCAAGTGGCGTGCGTGGCAAAAAAGCAGGGCTTGCGGCTGGCGCGAGCGACGCCCGAGCACCTTTTGGCCTAGAGTCGCCGAAACCAAACTGAACTGGACCATCACGGAGGGCTTCGGAAACGGACACGAGAAGCGCGGGGTCGAGGGCCCTGCCGCTCTGCTGCTTGGCGTCCAAAAACTTTGGCCACCCATGTCAAAAGAGCGAGGTGGAACCCTTTTCGTCTTGGTTCCCTCTGGCTTCACACCGCCTTTTTTTGTCGAGGTGGCCCATCAATCAGAAGAACAGCGTGGCACGGCACCACGGCCGCCAGTGTGACAGTTGACCGAGGAGGGTTGAAAAAAAAAGAAGTTTTAGAATGGCGTGCAGCTCTGGGGCCTAGTTGTCGCGCCAAGTTCGATTCAAGCGGTGATTCGCTCTGGGCCTGATTCGCGCCCCGCCACCTTGATCCACTTGTTGGGGAATGGCCAGCCGAATTTCAACCATCCTTCGCACCAATGAAGCCTTTCCCTTTACAGCACAGCACGGCACCCACGGGCGCCTGGTGTCCACGACGAGACCCGATCGGTCTGGGACCGATTCTTCGAATCAAGACTCGATGCTCGAGCTAGCCGCGCGTAGGCAGCAACCGATATCGTTTGCCTCCTAGCTTGCCCTGCGTACTGCGCTGTTGTGCTGATGCCTCGCCACCCGGACGTGGTTGCGATCCTGCACTTGCATTCGAAAAGACACCGTGGGTGAGATGCCGACTTTTGACGTGCCTTCAGTCTGACCACCTGCGCCCTCGGCTAAGTCGGACTCATGGCTACAATCATTTGAGGCTTTCCCCGAAGAGAGCTGCACAATTCGGACGTTACATCGTGAAAGCGAGCACGGCCTGAGTTCCTCTGTCCTCAAGTTCGGCAACCGTCTCTGCAGCCTGCTGACTTGAAGTTGCGTCGGACTCGCACGGGCAAAAAGACCCATCGGGGCGATCAAATGTCAGAGCTCCCGATGCCGATCGGAGAAATGTTACACTTACGTCTGGTACACATTTTTACCGATGCCGGGTTACTGCGAGATGGAATTGTGCGGGACTTCTTTCCCGCTCCCGCCTCTTCTTGCACACCGACTAGTCAGTATGATCGTTGGCATCCGCCTCAGGCGATACAGGCGTTGGCGAAGTGCTGACGGTGCTCGCTATGCCTGACTGCAAAATGGTCGAGCAGAGCAAGTCGATTTCGCAGTCGGCTGTGCCGGAAACGTGGCCCTGAATTACAAAATGAAACCAACCTGTTGAGCGCATGATTTCGCCGGTGCCTGGTCGGCAGAGGTGGGTCTGTCACTTTGGAATCTGGTGGATTTTGGCCCGCCCGCAGCGGCCGTCAAGTTATTTCGAAGCCTCGTTCAACTCGCGTGTGCCGATGACGGAGGCTGCTGCACTTCGAAAGAGGTGCGAATCGAGGCGAAAACTCTTTTGATGCCTACAGCCCAGCCAGTGCACACTTGCGCGACATTCGCCCTGCCACCCCATCATCTCTTCGTTATCCACCATCCCTCACCTGTCTCCGAAATCGACCCACAAGTCGCCCTCTTTGCCGCTAAATCGTCCATAGCATCAAGCTGTCGCTGTGAGCTCATCTCGCTCAGAGTCTCAGCCTCTGCTTTAGCGTCGTCTCCCAAGGAGCAGCTCACGCAACTGCTCCGACCGCCCACCATTCCACGCCAAGTTGTCGACCTCCGTCTAAAGGCCGCGGCCAAAAACTTCCTCACTGGAAGCTCTCGGTAAGTGTCTGCTCGCTGTAGGCCGGTCACAGACCTTCACCTGGCGATCAGTGCTCGGTCAAAATCAAACCTGGCCCTCCTGTCTCTTCTACGAACGTTTTTGGGCTGACTTGCCTTGCACTGTGCCGTCTGCTTCGTTGCCTGCCCTACTTTAGACCACCCTAACACGGCTTCGACCCCACGCATCGAAGACATCTTTTAAAGTTTTAGCACCAGGCCGCCTGGCTGTCCTAGCTGGCGACCCAACCCGAACGACCGACCCCTCGCGTACGTTCGCACCTGACCTGGAAGGTAAGTGCTCACATCAGAATCGACCGATCTCGTCTCTTGCGCAATGCCGTACGGTCCCGATCCAGACAGGCGTCCAGTCTCAGGCCGCCGATATGCAGCTCTGTTGTGCTAGCAGATGCGGGTCCAGCAACGGCTTTGCCGGCCACCCTCGGCGCCCCCGATCTCGCCCTGTTTCCACGGACCTGGCTCGTCAGCCTCGCACACCGTGCTCGGCCTCGCGCTCGCTGCTTGTTGCTCTGCAGACTAGGCGAAATGCCGACGTCGAATCGGCTGTCGACACAGCTCAACTACGACGAGCGAAACGAGCTGTAGGCTTACAGGCCGAGGTGATGTCGCTAGCGTTTCCAGCTCTCGACGCTAGTCCGGGTCCACACATTTTCGGGAGGCCCCTCTCTGCGCCCTCAGAGCGCAACTCAGCTAGCGACAAGGGGCGAGGGTTTAGGAAAATCAAAAATAAGTCAGCGGCGCGACGCTGTTTTGCATTTTTCGAGCTTGGCCGGGCGAGCTTGGCCCACGGCTTCCCTCAGCAGCGTTGCCCTCAACCCGCGACCCTCCACCAACCCTGCACCCAGTCGCGCTTTGCTGCGTTGGCGTTCTCGGACACGGATCTCCTAGCTCGGCGCCACTAGTCGCCGCAGCCTGGCTCGCATCGCGCTACTCATCTTGACACTGCACAACAGAAATGCCCAGTGCAGATTCAGCAGCCAAGAGCCCTGCGCCCACGGCCCCGTCAACACTACGACCCTTGCCGCGATGACTTGCAAGGGTGGCGGATGTGGGCAGGACGTCAAAGGGCTCGTCAGGAGAATGATGCAAGGCTTTCCTGGGAGCGGAAGCGATTCCGGATCGGCGCCTTGATTCTGTTCCCTGTCGGCGGCGCCTTCCACTCCCTGCCGCTCGCCGTAGAGACAGCAGATTCGTCGGCCTCGTTAAGCGGCCACGTCAGGTGCTAGCGAATAACGACAGATTGCTGATCGCCACTGCTTCCTTCTCTTGTTTTCTCTCTGCTGGAAACGCAATACCCTCGACCCTCCTCTCCATGTCTTGTCCTGCACGGCACTGTCCTACGATGATGTGATTGTTGCCGCCCTTCACATCTCGCCCCGCAAAACCTTGGGGCTTGTTCGACGATGCAGCGCCAGGCATCTCGTCGGAACGACGCCGCTGGAGCACCGCAGCTCATCCTTCAACGCCACCGAGTATAGGTATGTACTCGCTGCTTGCATTCCCGCAGCGGTCAAAAGAGACGCTTCTGGCCATTCGTTGACCCCGTCCTCGCCCCCATCCGTACCTCGTCCCATCTATCCACCATCCACGGTATCTCTTTCCGCCACCTTCCGCACATCTCGACTCGCGATGTCGTGTTGTACTCTCACTCGATCCGACCTCGACGCCCCCGGCCCATCGCGTTACGCGCAGCAGTCGATCGCCGTCGGCCACTCTCGTCACCTGTCTTTGCCGATGGCTGCCCCTTACATTGCTCTGCCCCACCAGCAGCGCCTGCGAGCCGATACGCCCCCTCTCGACGATGAGAACGATTACATCAAGCCGCTCGACGGCCACAAGCCCATCTTCCACGGCGGCTTTGACTCGCAGTTGAAGCAGGTGCTTCGCGACATTGACATCCACGGCTGCGAGGCCAACGGAGAGAATGCTTTCTTCGTTGCCGACCTCTCGGAGGTCTACCGACAGCATCTCCGCTGGATGCGTGCGCTGCCCCGCATCGTGCCCTTCTACGCGGTCAAGTGCAATCCGGACCCCTACGTCCTCCAGCTGCTCGCCAGGCTCGGCACCGGCTTCGACTGCGCCTCCAACGGCGAGATCGAGGCGGTGCTCAAGCTCGGCATCAACCCGGCCAGGATCATTTACGCCAACCCGTGCAAGGCGGCCAGCTTTGTGCGTCATGCCGCTGCCAACAACGTCGGCCTCACCACGTTCGACAATGTGGACGAGCTCGACAAGATGAAGCGCTACCACCCTTCTTGCAAGCTCGTGGTGCGCATCCTTACCGATGACTCCAAGAGCGCGTGCCAGCTCGGCCTCAAGTTCGGCGCGCCGCTGGACTCGGTGCCTCGTCTCCTGCAGCGCGCTCGAGAGCTGGATCTCGACGTCGTCGGCGTCAGCTTCCACGTCGGTTCGGGCTGCTACGACCCCGACTCGTTCCGCGACGCCGTCCACCGCGCTCGTCGTGCGTTCGACATGGGCAAGGAAGCCGGCTACACTTTTGACCTGCTCGACGTCGGCGGCGGCTTCGGCCACGACAACTTCGAGATGGTTGCCGGCGTTCTGGGTCCTGCGATCGACCACTACTTCCCCGACGAAGACTTTGCGCCTGGTGGAAAGCAGGTGGCCGGCAAGCCCAACGGACTCAGGATCATCGCCGAGCCTGGTCGCTTCTACGTGCACTCGGCTTTCGCGCTCGCGACCAACATCATCGCGGCGCGCCGAGGCGAGCCTACGGCTGCTGACACGGAGCCGGAGACCGGCAAGCCCCAAGTGATGTACTATCAGAACGACGGCCTGTACGGCTCGTTCAACTGCGTCATCTTCGACCACGTTACCGTGCACCCCAAGGTGCTCACTCTCGGTCACGAGTATGCCTACGAGCCCACCATCGTCTCGCCCGGCGTGGCTGTGGACTCGGGCGACGAGGCCAAGGAGCTGCAGCCCTGCAGCGTTTGGGGTCCCACCTGCGACTCGATCGACTGCGTTCGCGACCTCGTCCATCTGCCCAAGGGTCTCCAGGTCGGTGACTGGCTCGTGTACGAGAACATGGGTGCCTACACCATCTGCGCAGCTTCGACCTTCAACGGCATCCGCCGCTCCGAGATCCGCTACACCCTCGGCGAGGGTCAGCTCGCCGAGACCGTCAAGCACCTCATGCTTCAGTAAGCGCCATGGCACCCTCGAAATTTTGATAATGGCGCATGGTCCCCAAGTCGCCCGAAATGCGTCAATTCTCCAGCTCCATCTAGAAGCATGCTAGAATCTAAAGTCTCATCTCATCACTCACTCTCGAAGCATTGTGTGATGGCAGTGAAGGTCGACTTGATTGTGCATTGAGTGACGAAGGGAAAAAAGCCCGTGACATGAACAAGGCGGAGCAGAGTTTACTGTGTCTTGAGGTTGACCTCGGCGGCGGCGTTGTTGGTGAGCGTGGTTGCGCGTGACTCGAGCTTGGCACGACGGTTCCTCTCCTTCTCTTCAACGAGTTGAAGCTCCTTGGCGAAGCTGCTGCGTCTGCGGATAGTGGGTCCGAACTTGTAGAACAAGAATGGGATCACCGAGAGCGGCACACCGATAAAGGCGAGGATCGAGGTGGCCCACTGGTAGCCAACGTTGTGATACATGGGTTCGGTGATGAGCGTAAAGGCGCCCGAGAGGAACTCGCGTAGGAACGACTGCGCCGCCACGGCAGATGCAGCGTAGATCGAGTAGGAGCTCACCGTGTAGTCCGACACGATCAGGAAGAGCGAGTGCGACGAGATGCCAAATAGGGCACCCGCAATCACCGGCACGATCCACGGGATCGGCGGGAACGACGTCCACGCAAAGAAGAAGAGGCTGATCGGGAAGAGGATGCCACCGGGAATACCCCACAGGAGTCGGTCCTCTGGCGTGGGCACTCCGCCCGGTCTCTTGCTGCCTGCATAGTGGAACCACTTGATCTGCAGCGCAAAGAGGAAGTAGGCGATGATGAAGCCGATAAGGACGCCGAAGAAGGTGAGACCCTGCTGACCGATGGTGAAGCCGTACTCGACAAAGATGAGCGGATAGGCCTCGAAGAACATGTAGATGACCGCATAGTTGACGCCGTCGAAAAGGGCGAACCAGAACACAATGGGCTCGGTGAAGAGCATGAGAATCGGTCGCCCAACCGTCTCCTTGAAGAGCTCTGTGACCGTGTGCTCAGATCGGAGCTTGTCGTGACTTGCGTAGTAGCGCGGCTCGTTCTGGGCCTTGCGCAGCTTCTTCGCCCTCCTGCTGAGCAGGACGCCCGCTCGCGTCTCAGGGACGGTCAAGGCAAACAGGGCGGTCAGGAAAGCGAGCACAATTCCCGAAACGCCAAATGTCCACCTCCAGCCGGCATCTTGAACAACAAAGGCGCCAATGATGGGGCCAACTGTCGCACCGGCTTCGGCAGAGAGTGCAAAGGTGTTGACACCCCAACCCTGGTTGTCGGAATCCCATAGGTCGGAGACGGTGCCGATCGAGTTGAAGGCCACGGCGCCGAAACAGCCGCTGAGGAAGCGAAGGACAACGAGTGTGGCTAGTCCGTTCGCCAGAGCACATCCGATCTGAAAGAGTGCTACGACGACAAGGCCGATGATCATGACGGGAACCCTTCCGTAGTCCTCCGAGAGGGGCGCGCAGATGACAGGGCCAATAGCAAATCCAAACAGGAAGACCGCAGCTGGCACGCGGGCGGCCACGGCGGAGATGCCGAATTCGGTCGCCACCTCGGGCGCTCCAAAGGAGTAGATGGAGGAGATGACGTTGACCCAGAACTCGAGGAGCATGGTGACGAAGAGGATCTGGATCTTCCGCCACGTCGCGAAGGTACGTGGATCGGCGGGATCCTGATACTCGAAGTTGACGAGGAAGGGATCTTCATCTTGGGCGTCTTCCGAGTCGCGGATCGAGGGCTCGCACGTTGTGGCGAGGCCGGGGCTCAGCTGTTCAAGATCGCCATCGGCGCTGGCATGGTGGTCGGCTGGGACGGCCGGTGCAGTTGCTCCGCGGAGCGCGTCATGCTGGTCTTGAGTTTGTGACATTTGCCGAATGACCAACACCCATCAGTAGGGGGAGGAGTGTTGCTGTTCAAACGCCAGATTTTGAGGATGCCTTTAAGAAGAGTTGGTCTTGGGAGCGATGTCACGGGACTGAGTGCTCGCGAATAGATGCAGCGTCGGATGTGATGTCGGGAGGAAAGGGAAGATGCCAGAACTGCGTTACAGTCGAGAGAGGGAATATGGCATTCGTCATCGAGGCCAAGCCGAGACGCTGGTGATGGAGTCGAGGTGTTGGGCGTGTCTAGGCTTCGAGACTGAGATCTTGCTCAAGAGGAACGGAGGTTTGTATGTTGGGATGCAAACACTAATCAGGATGGCGTGGGTCGACGCCTTATATGCCGTAGGAGATGCCGAAGCACGATGCCGAGTAGTGTGGTCGTCTAGCGTAGGATGTGAGGCGTCTCGAGCGTTGCGACTTGAGGGGCGGCCCGGAAACCTTCCGATGCGGATCTGCCGCTGAAACGTCACTTTCTGCGGGTAGCACCACAGACGCCCTCGGTGGCAGCGTTGAGGGCTTGGCAGGCGAAACGACCCTTAAATTACGGCATTCCCGACAGCTCGAAATTTCTTGGCTGCCTACCCATGCTAAGGCTCGTTTAGACCTCGCGGCAGGAAAAAGGAGCCCAGCAGGAGACGCTAGGCGCGAGACGATCCGCGCGATACGCCAAGATGTTAGCCGCTCACGCGGCTGAGACTGCTTGCTGCGGACGCGTTTCCCTCTGCCGGGGCGAGCGAGACGCCTAACCGCCGCCTGCATTTGTCTTCATTGTTAGCATATGGTCAACTTCACATATATCAGCTTCACTGTGTCCAAGGAGGGTCTCACATCCGCTGTCCTCGAAAAAGCTGGAGCGAGAATGGCCGCTGCGAGGCCTCTCCCGCCTCGGCGAGGTTTATGCGGAGCTGGTTGCGCCCGGTGTGCCCTCGGCGGAACAGCGTCTGCGTTCGGCCACTCTGCGCTCAAATTCGCACAACGCCCTGCATGGCCTGGGAGAGGCAAGGGCCTCCAGGGCCCACACAGCGTGGGCCAGCCATGCGGCTCAACAGCAACACGCACATGCAACGCGGCTCCTTCCAAAGTCGGCGGTGAACCTGAAGGCAGTGTCGACAGCGACAATCAACGCGCTCCGCTCCGACCCATCGTGCATTTACACACCGTCCTTCTTGCATGGCTCCAACTGGATCCACTGTCAGCTGCCGACGACCAAAGCAACGCTGATTCGCCTGCGGCACGTCGCGACATCTTCCGCCCGCTCAAAAAAAGTTCGTTCAGCGATAGCAATCTCTGCGCACCGGACCGGCTTGGCTGCGATTCCTTCCTCCCAGCACGCAACCAAAGATCCTCTCCAGAAGTCAACAGCTTGCGCTCCGATCTTCGCTGCTACCACCATCCTCGTTCCTCACATTCTCCATTTCGTCCGTCAGGGAGAGGCATCAAGCTCCCCCACACCTCCCATTCCAGCTTGCCGTCAAGATGGCCTCCGGCAACAGATCCTTCTTTGCGCCGCAAGAGACACGCGTCGACTTGCCCCATGGTGCCGCGACACAAACGCCCGATATCACAAGACCAGCGAGTCCTTCCGAGAATGACCGCGCCCCTTTCCTGAATGGCGGCGAAGGCTCGCGTGAAGACGTCCGCATGGGTGCAAAGGCCTTGCGCCACGATGCAGACAAGCCTGCGGTCGGCATCATGGCCCTGGCGCCCATCCTCAGCTATTGCGCTGCCAGTATCACCATGACCGTCGTCAACAAATTCACCGTCTCTGGCGCCGGCTTCAACATGAACCTCCTCGTCCTGCTCATCCAGTCCACCGTCGGCGTCACATGTGTCATGATCGCAGAGCGTGCCGGCCTGATCCAGTTGCGCGGCCTCAACTCTCGTGACATCTGGAACTGGATGCCCCTCAGCACCATGCTCGTCTTTGTCATCTGGACGGGCAGCAAGGCGCTCCAGTACCTCAACATCTCGGTCTACACCATCTTCAAGAACCTCACCATCATCCTCATCGCCTACGGAGAGGTTCTCTGGTTCGGCGGCCGCGTCACTCGCATCGTACTCTCGAGTTTCCTCCTTATGGTCCTCTCGTCCATCATCGCCGCCTGGTCCGACATCTCCAACGTGTTTGCGATCGGCAACCTCTCCATGCCGCACACGCCCGACTCGATCGCAGGCGGAATGTCCAAAGATCCCAACACCGGCGCCATGATCCCCGCTTTCGACCCGCTCAAGGCGGAGAAGGACGCCATCGCCGCGCAGATCCAGGGTGCTTCAGCCAACGACGTCATTGAGGGCTTCCAGGGCTACGGCCTCCTCTCGAGCGGCTACCTCTGGATGGCGCTCAACTGCATCTGCAGCGCCACCTACGTCCTGCTCATGCGCAAGCGCATCAAAGTCACCGGCTTCAAGGACTGGGACACGATGTTCTACAACAACTTCCTCAGCATCCCTGTCCTCCTCGTCATGTCTTTCCTCGTCGAGGACTGGTCGGCCGCCAACCTGCACAAGAACTTCCCGGACGACAAGCAGACCAAGCTCATCTCTGCCATCGTCTTTTCGGGCGCCTGCGCCATCCTGATCAGCTACACCACCGCCTGGTGCATCCGTGCCACCTCCAGTACCACCTACAGCATGGTCGGTGCTCTCAACAAGCTTCCCGTCGCCCTCAGTGGCATGGTCTTCTTCCACGACCCTCCCGTCACCTTCTCCAGCGTCAGCGCCATCTCTGTCGGTTTTTTCGCCGGTCTCGTCTACGCCGTCGGCAAGAACAAGCAGGCCGAGGCCGCCAAGCTCGCAGGCAACTCTGCTACCAACGGCTCCTCGTCGTCGGGAAGCAAGGACGGTTCGAGCCTTCCCATGCACAATCTCAACGACCGGAAGGATTGAGCTCATGGTCATAGAACGCAATTGCTCAATAAAATTTTGTTAGACCGGCGATCTCATGGATTTGATCGTTTTGCCTCCACATGAATGCGCTCGAGCCACGGTTTGCCAGTGATCGGATTACTGCGCATGCGCCTGCGCGTTTGCGGGGCTGAGGCTGAGTGCTGGCGCAGCAGAGTGCAACAGAGCGCAGCCACGCCGCGCGGCTGCACAAGGCAGCCCTCCACCTCGCGCTTTCTTCCTGGTCATCTTCTTGCTCAACCACCACAACTGTCCAACTCTCGTCATGTCGGACCCTACGCCTTCCAATCCTCCGGCCGGCAACCCGCCCAAGCCCGAGGCGGCCGACGACAAGGATGCTGCTACTGCCATCCTGCGCCAGAAGAAATCTCCCAACCGCCTTTTCGTGGAAGAGGCTACCACCGATGACAACTCTGTCATCTGCATCTCGCCTGCTAAGATGGAGGAGCTAGGCCTCTTCCGCGGCGACTCCACCATCGTCAAAGGCAAGAAGCGCCGTGACTCTTGCTTCATTGTCCTCTCGGACGAATCCGTCGAGGATGGTAAGGTGCGCCTCAACAAGGTCGCACGTAACAACCTGCGCGTGAAGCTCGGCGATCTCGTCTCGGTACATGCCTGCCATGACATCAAGTACGGCAAGCGCATCCACGTTCTTCCCTTTGACGACAGCATCGAGGGTCTCACCGGTAACATCTTCGATGTCTACCTCAAGCCTTACTTCCTTGAGGCCTACCGCCCTGTCCGCAAGGGCGACACCTTCACCGTCCGCGGTGGTATGCGCGCGGTCGAGTTCAAGGTCATCGAGACGGACCCTGCCGAGTTCTGCATCGTCGCGCAGGACACGGTGATCCACACCGAGGGCGATCCCGTCAAGCGCGAGGACGAGGAGGCCAACCTTGCCGATGTCGGCTACGACGACATTGGCGGTTGCCGCAAGCAGATGGCCCAGATCCGTGAGATGGTCGAGCTTCCCCTGCGCCACCCCCAGCTCTTCAAGTCGATCGGCATCAAGCCTCCTCGTGGTGTCCTCATGTACGGCCCTCCAGGAACCGGTAAGACGCTCATGGCCCGAGCCGTCGCCAACGAGACTGGCGCCTTCTTCTTCCTCATCAACGGACCCGAGATCATGTCCAAGATGGCCGGAGAGTCCGAGTCCAACCTGCGCAAGGCCTTCGAGGAGGCCGAGAAGAACAGCCCTGCCATCATCTTCATCGACGAGATCGACAGTATCGCGCCCAAGCGTGAGAAGACCAACGGTGAGGTGGAGCGACGTGTCGTCTCGCAGCTCCTCACGCTCATGGACGGTCTCAAGGCTCGATCCAACATTGTCGTCATGGCCGCCACCAACCGACCCAACTCGATCGACCCCGCACTTCGTCGTTTCGGCCGATTCGACCGCGAGGTCGACATCGGCATCCCCGACCCCACTGGCCGACTCGAGATCCTGCGCATCCACACCAAGAACATGAAGCTCGCCGAAGATGTCGACCTCGAGCAGATCGCCGCCGAGACCCACGGTTACGTTGGTTCGGACGTGGCCGCGCTCTGCTCCGAGGCTGCCATGCAGCAGATCCGTGAAAAGATGGACCTCATCGACCTCGACGAGGACACGATCGATGCCGAGGTGCTCGACTCGCTCGGAGTCACCATGGAGAACTTCCGCTTCGCTCTTGGTGTCTCCAACCCATCGGCGCTGCGCGAGACCGTGGTCGAGGTGCCCACCACCACCTGGAACGACATTGGTGGTCTCGAGAAGGTCAAGCAGGAGCTCCAGGAGACCGTCTCGTACCCCGTCGAGCATCCCGAAAAGTTCCTCAAGTACGGCATGGCGCCTTCGAAGGGTGTCCTCTTCTACGGTCCCCCTGGTACTGGTAAGACGCTGCTGGCCAAGGCGATCGCCAACGAGTGCCAGGCCAACTTCATCTCGATCAAGGGTCCCGAGCTGCTCACCATGTGGTTCGGTGAGTCGGAGGCGAACGTGCGAGACGTGTTCGATAAGGCGCGTGCTGCGGCGCCCTGTGTCATGTTCTTTGACGAGCTCGACGCCATCGCCAAGGCGCGTGGCTCTTCGTCCGGCGACGGCGGAGGAGCGGGTGACCGTGTGATCAACCAGATCCTCACCGAGATGGACGGTGTCAGCTCGCGCAAGAACGTCTTCATCATTGGCGCCACCAACCGACCGGACCAGATCGACCCTGCCATCCTGCGTCCCGGACGTCTGGACCAGCTCATCTACATCCCGCTTCCAGACGAGCCTTCGCGTCTGTCGATTCTCAAGGCGACGCTCAAGAAGTCGCCGATCGCCGCCGACGTGGACCTGACGTTCCTGGCCAAGCACACGCACGGCTTCTCCGGTGCCGATCTGGCCGAGATCTGCCAGCGTGCAGCCAAGCTGGCTATCCGCGAGTCGATCGAGGCGGATATTAAGCGCGAGCGCGAACGCATGGCCACCAAGGAGGCCAACGCCGAGGGCGAGGTCAAGATGGAGGAGGACGCGACTGCTGCCGCTGAGGAGGAGGAGGACCCGGTGCCCGAGATCACGCGTGCCCACTTTGAGGAGGCGATGCGTTTCGCGCGCAGGTCCGTCTCGGATGGCGACATCCGCCGCTACGAGCTGTTTGCGCAGAACCTGCAGTCGGCCCGCTCGTTCGGCACCTCGTTCCGCTTCCCCGAGGGCCAGAACCCCGGCCAGACCGGAGGCGCCGGCGGCAGCGGTGCTGGCGGCAGCGGCGGCGCTGCTTTCGGCAACGACGACGCCGGCGACGACGACCTGTACGCCTAAAAGCGTTGGCAGGTCCTAGAAGCTCAGTTCCAAGGGCCAGTGCCCACAGATTTGTGTTGAAGAGATCTCAATTTTGATTTGTGTTGTTCTCCCCTGCTTGGTGCGTGTCTGGAGCCAAATGTGCGTCGAGCCGCTGAGTGTGATGGAGCGCAATGCTAGGCACGACTCAATAGGCTGGGCAGATGCGTCGCCGACAAGCAATGAATTCCAAAGATCTAGTGCGCTGCAAACAGAGCACTATTGTACAGGTGTGTATGGTGGCTGAGGCGATCAGGAAGTCCGTGAGAATGCGCAGAAGGCATAGCTTGGTGGCAGACACGTTGAAAGGCCCTCGCGTGGATGTGCATTCACTTGTCCTTCTTGGCATCGGCAAGCTCCTTGGCCTGCTTCTTGCGCCTGTTCTCGGCCTCGATGGCCTCCTGGCGCTCGAGGTACCACTCGCTGATCTGAAGAACGAGCACGCCGAGGAGGAGGACGGCGCAAATGCTGTTGCTGGCCGAGACGATTCGGATAGCAGCAACCCTCTCGTCCTGTGTCATGGGGCCGTCCGAGGGCTTGAAGTCGGACTCGCCCTTTTCGAAAGCCTCGAGCTGCGACTGGCGCTGGGTCTGGATGGCCGACGAGAGGAGGAGCTTGAGGTTGGTGGGGTCCGAGATGAGGCGAAGGTTTGGCACGGCCACGCCGAGGTACATGCAGACGGCGCCCATGAAGAGGACGAGCGAGCCGCCGTCAAAGTACTTGGCCATCTCGCTCCAGCGGTGGAGCTTGGCAACGAGGCCGATGAGGCCAAGGCCGATCATGCCGTGCAGAAGCGCCGAGACGGCGACGGGCGCATGGAAGAGCGAGAGGTAGAAGCGCTCTGCCGCCTCCACGGCCGAGTCCGAGAGCGACGAGAAGTACAGCAGCGGAAAGTCGTAGATCGACGCAATGAAGATGATTCCTGTCAAGGGCAAGAAGAAGCGGATGAGAACCTGACCTTCCAAATGTGGCTAACCTTGCGCTAAGGTCACTTCCGAGCCAAAGGGCACTTACCAAAGAGGAACGAAGTGCTCGAAATGACAAAGCCGCTGCGGAAACCCATGATGATGATCTTTGCTGAGGCCAGGAGGAGAGAGCGGCGAGGTTTTGCGGATGAGATTGGTGGAGAGGAGGAGGAATGCCAAAGTTTGCAGACCGAGAATGCAAGGTCACGCCTGCCAGAGTGTGGAGACGCTGCAGCGCAGATTGCAAGAAGAAGCGTCGGTGCGCATCCAATCATTTCACCAAAAGCCTGGGCCCGTGGACAGGGTCTGGCTGGACGCAGCGCGTGGCTCTGTTCCTGCTCGCCCGAACTCCACTTTTGCACATCTCTCGGAAAGCGACACTCTGATCCAAGCTCAGCTGCATCCTGTCATCCGCACTCTCAACGACGAGTGGACAGCCGCGAGCCATCACTTCGACTCCGAAGCACATTGCGAGACGACTCTTCCGGTGGTCTCGATCGATTGCAAGGCCAACCTGCTTCCCACGCTTGCCCGGAGCATCCGTAGCTAAACTTGGGAAGCCCAGCTGAGGTTGTCGGATCAACCGTCGGCTCATAACCTCGCTCAGCGTCTGAACAGCACAACGCAAGGTCTTTCGCCACTGGAGGGACCGCATCGGACAGAAAGCCAGTCACAATGACAATACGCGCCGCACTCATCGTCAACAATCACGGCAAGCCTCGACTGACCAAGTTCTACACGCAGCTTCCAGCGTCTCGCCAGCAGGCACTGATCAAGGAGATCTTTCGGCTTGTGTCGAAACGTCCAGATGGCGTCTGCAACTTTCTCGATGCGACCGAGCTGACGGCTCTGCTCCCTCCTCCGGCCGACGCGGTGCGCTTCTCCTCCTCGCTTGGAGGAAGCAAGGGCAAGCAGGTGGACAAATCTGCCTACGACACCGCCTCGTCTTCGTCGGCCAAGCCGAACAACCAGGACCAGCTGCGTGTCATCTACCGGCACTACGCCACGCTGTACTTTGTCTTTGTGGTCGATCAGAGCGAGAGCGAACTAGGCATCCTCGATCTCATTCAAGTGTTTGTCGAGAGTCTCGACCGGTGCTTCGAGAACGTGTGCGAGCTCGACCTCATCTTCCACTTTGACCACGTGCACGCCATCCTCAACGAAGTCATTCAAGGCGGCTTGGTGGTCGAGACCAACATCAACGAGATCGTCTCCGCCGCTCATGCCACCGCACGAGCACGCAAGGCCTCGGCTGCCACCGCCGGATCGGGACCCGCTGCAGCCGTCGGAAACAGCCTTGGCAGCCTCGCCCCCACCGCTCTCAACATCTCCCTTCCTGGGACATCCGGCTCCTCCATACCGTGGCCAAAGGGCACCTTCATGGTGGACGCCATCTCCAGCCTTGGAAACCAGTACCTCGGCCGTTCCAGTGGCCGCCGTTGATCTTTGACTGCGCTTAGATCCCGCCATTTCATGTACTTGTATGCATCGCAAAATTCCCATCATCATCACTCGACACGGATGGTGCGGACTGGATCGACAATGACTCGGATGCTGAGACTTTTTTGGGCACAGAGAGACAGCAGAAGTGGCTGCGCTCAGGCTGCAAATGCGAGGATGGAGGGTGCAGAAAGACGCGCGGTGGGGAATGTGCACGGACGCGCTTAGCGTGCGAGCAGTCTATGAAGTTTTGTGAAGGCAACAATGCAACAATGCCAGAAGGCCGGCTTAGACGGAAGCCTTGCTCTGCTCGTTGAGGAAGAATCGGAACCCCTCGTAGGAGAGCCAGCAGAGTGCGTTGGACGGCATGAACGTGAGCACGCGCGGTGAGAGGCCACGCGCGAAACCCTTGAGGCCCTCGCGGGCGTTGATGATCTTGAACGCCTCAAACATGCCCGAGGCGTTGCGGATCTGCGCATCGGTGCTGCTGCCTCGCGTCTGCAGCAGCGTCTTGGCCACATCCAATGGGTTGGTCACCGCCGCAGCAACGGCACCCGAGAAGGCACCGGCCGAAACGTGCGTGAGCGGCGAGTAGCCCTCGGACGGGTTGAGCACCTTCTTTGCCCATTCGTAGACGGAGAACTGGACTGCTGTGAAAGGCACGGTCATGGTGAGCGTGGTGGGGTACGAGACGTAGAATGCGCGCAGGCCCTCCTGCTTGTACACCGTGGAGGCGCACTGCATGACGGTGCGGTGCTGCGAGCCGTGCATCTGCATGCGCTGCTTGATCACGTCGAAGGGGTTCATGAACGCATCCGAGGCGATGGTGGCCGATGCGCCTGCAAACGCTGTACTCGCAAACTGGTGTCCTTCGCGGTTGCCGCCCGTAGCCTCCTTGACGGTCTCGTACGTGCCAAAGTAGACGGCGTGTGCCGGTCCCGCGCCCATGATGACACTCGCCACTCCTCGCCAGAGCGTGCGTGCTCCTTCCAACGTGCTGATGCGGTTGAAGGCCTGCACAACGCCGGTGTACGTGGCAGCAGGTGTGGCGGAAAGCACCTGCATGCGGGTGCGGATGACGTCGACGGGGAACATGACGGCGTGCTCGCTGATACCTGCGAGCGAGCCCGCAATCATGTTGATGTGCAGAGGCACATTGCTGCCGAGACCCTCGTAGTCGACTTCCTCTTCCATCGCTGGAACGGCTCGATCGCTCATGGTGCCTGAAAACTGTGCCGAAGCTGATGCTGTTGCGTGATGAACGTGTGTGATTGGCGCCGGCGTAGTGCTGACGTCGCAGTAGCTAGCAGGACGGTGGCTGGACAGAGTCTCGATCGACTGGACACCCTGTGATGCTGCGGATGGAAGGCTGCAGCTGCTATGAGGCGGCAATCGCGAGTTGTCGACTCGACCGTGCGTTTTATGAAAAGAGCCGCTGCTGTGCGAACTCTGTGAGCTGCTCGAAAGGAGGAACGACGTAGTTGACGATTACTGGTGCGGCAAGCTTGGACTTCGATGCCTGCGCTTGCTTGGCCGAGAAATGGACTGCCTACTTTACGATCTTGTCGTCAAAGCCAGGTCAAGAGTGATCGAAGGCAAGGTTTGTGACACTTGATGCAGAGCCGGGTTTCCAACTCGATCTGGGAGATCCGCAAATGTACTGAGGCTGCGATGGTCTTGAACAGCACGCTCTTCGCAAGGAAGCCGAGTCTCGCCAAGGGAAAGAAGGTGGGTGAATGGAGAGCGAGGTGCAACCGACGGTGGAGGTGGATGGGCTTGCGCAGATCCGGTGACTGCGGAGGAAGCTTTGGCCCGAGTCGCGAAATGAGCTCGAAAGATAGCGCTGCCGAAGAGCTCCGTCAGCACGGTGGACCATCCGCGCCAATTTTCAGAAGAGGACCAATCACAGGATTCAGCAGCTGCGAAGAACCGGGCAAGCTCAAGGCCAAGAAACCGAGATTTTAATCGGATCATTTCTGCTTCTTTTTTTTTTGGACTCGCCGAGGGCAGTCTCAGAAAAAAGTGCCAGCTTGCGTAACCTGGAAAAGGCAAGACTGCCTTCCCTGCCCTTTGCTTGTGCGCCTTCTGCCGCGTCTTGAAAGGGTCTTCTTCAATCGCAAGGCGTCATCATCGGGCGCGCCGAGAAGAACGACGGCAGATTCCGCATGACTAACTTGGGCCACAAGGTCCAGATCTCGAGGCGGCCTTACGCGCCGAGTGCCTTTTGACGCTCGAATGCCGCTTCCATACGCCGCAACGCCGCGTTCCTCGAATCTCACCTTCGATCAACCATGTGTGCGTTTCCGCGACTGAGAACATCCCGCGGGCGGATCATTTGAAGGCCTTCGCTCCCCGTGTGTCACTGGCAGCCCAATCACGGGAGCGCGAAAGAATCCCACAGTCTTAGCTTCACCTCGACATGCGCACACGAGAAGATGCATTTAGCGTTATCCTGGCACAAGGCCAATCATATGAATTTTTGGTAGGGGGGAGTGGATGGGCTCGACTTGTGCGGCCGGTCACAATCGGCCATGTCTGCAGGGCAAGGCAATGCCCGGTGACCTCTTTGGCACGCCGCAAGCCAGCTGAGAACCCGCCGAGCAGCCCCCGCGCTGCTTGGGGGCCAGGCGACGAGAGACTGAAATGTTACAACACCATGATGATGGATGAGCGAGACAAGGACGTGGTTGGTTGTGGAAGAATGCTGCGTTGAGGAGAAGGAACAAAGAAACCAGAAAGCGCAAGATGCATCTTGTCGATCGGGACTCCGTTTACTTCTTCTTGTTGGCAACGGTGCGGCCACGACGACCAGTGGTCTTGGTGTGCTGACCACGGACACGCAGGCCGAGGTAGTGGCGGATACCACGGTGGGCCTTGATCTTCTTCAATCGCTCCAGGTCGTCACGCAGCTTCGAGTCGATGTTGTTCGACAGGAGCTGGCTGCTCTTGCCGTCAACAATGTCGCGCTGCCTGTTCAGGAACCAGGCGGGGATCTTGAACTCGGCGGGGTTCTGCAGGATGGTCACGATGCGCTCGAGCTCATCGGAGTTGAGCTCACCAGCACTGTCGTTCGTGGTAAACGGGATGTCGAGACGTGTCAGTGAGAACCGTTCTCGCAATGGCGCTGGCATTTGCATGCCTTTCTTGCTACTTACCGCTTGCCAAGGTCGATGTCGGCCTTCTTGCAAACAATGTTGGCGTAACGGCGGCCAACACCCTTGACCTGGGTCAGGGCGTACTGGACCTTGATCTTGCCGTCAACGTTGGTGTTGAGCAGACTAAAAGGTGGTAGGAACCAAAATGGAATGCAAATCAGTAAAATGCTCGGAAGAGATGTTGGTGTGGGATCGATCGCGTGGCAGTTCTATGATCAGTCGCAGCGAGCCAAGCCGAGTCTTGGTCGATGGGACAGTGCTGACAGGTAGCAGAGGTGCCTGATTGCCGGATGGGACTTCTGAGTGTCATTGTCGGTGCGCGAGAATCTGGATGCAATGATTGGACAGGCACATCACATTGGCGGCGCTGATCCCAGTCGCTGATGCATTCTCCCTTGCGACTGACGTGCGGCATTGTTGGAGGACGGGCTGATGTCGAAGTGGTTACTGTCTGGTTGCCTGTGCTGCGGGACCGTCCGTGCTGGCAAGTACGAGTCGAAGAGACGGTCCTCTTCGCCCTGGCTGGTTATCCATCTATCACGAACGGTGGCCCTAATGAGTCGCATATAGACTAGGGGGGCTGCCGATCAACCAAGCATGTTGCAGCATCGCCCCTCCAGCGAAATGCTCGCCTGCCTGGCTTCCAGTCAAGTCTGCGTCCAGTTTCCGTGTTGCCGGACTTTTCTCCATTGTGACATCTGGATGTCGCCGGATTCATGGCTGGAGCTGTCACATGCTGATGCTTTGGAGAAGGTCACTGGGACGAGAGCAGCTGGTCGAGGATATACTGCATGTCATGCTGGTTGTGGCGGTTGCGTTGGCTGTATTGGCTGGCTGGCTGATCGTAGGTACTGCGCGAATCGAAACCATGCGTTGGGTGCTGGATGCTCACCGCAAGATGAAGGCGAAGTTCTGCGAGGGGTCGGGGGGAACGAGAGACATGATGGGCGAGGTTGATGGAGTCTTGATGGTGACGAGAGGCGTGAAGGTAAAGCACGATCAACTGGCTCTCTAGCTCCAGCCAAGATTCCTCGCCGCGACCCACACCTGGCTGGCCCTCAAGTTCTGAATCGCCAACTGACTGACTGGCAGGCTCTGTCGTTTGCAGGTGCTTCCACGCCTGTCTGTCCACTGGCTTGCTGGTCTCCTTGGCTCCAAGTATCGCGCCTGCCGTGTCGCCAGCAGGGCCTGCTGGCCGGTCTCCTTCTCCCGCTGACTAGCACGGCGGCTGGCCACCTGCCTCACGTGCTGGCGACCAGCCTGGCCATTGGCGCAGGCAAAATTCTGGGCTGGAAGCGGACAGACCATCCGGAGCGTGGGAAGTTTTAAAAATTCACCAATTTTGTCGGCTCCGACAGATCTTTTCTCAAGCGATCCTGAGGGAAAGAGGGTCTAACACATCGAAACTAACATCGAAAGAAAATTCAACGCCGCTTGGTGCCCTTGATCACCTCTGGATGGAATTCTTGCGGCACGGGCCGCCTCCACGTCGTGGCTTGCGCAGAAGGCTCAGTCGCGCCCAGGAGGCCGGAGCGAGATATAACGTGGGCGGCGTCGGCGCATCCAACACGTTCCCCTTAACCATATTCGTAAGTGCCACCCCGACCCCAACGATGCAGTCATCTGCGTTCGAAAGCACGCTCCATCGCCTCTGTCGATTCAGTGCAAATGGTGATCTGCCATCGTTGCGATGACGAGCATGCACGCGTCTCTGCTCGAACCAACCGCTGACCAGAATTCTCTCTTAACGTCCCTCGATCCTGCACGCCATCCCGCGACCCACTTTATCGTTCTCGTAACGTCTCGGCACCTGCATCGCCTCGGTCATCGCACACACAGTGGGGCAAGCGCTTCATCCAGTGAGGTCTTTACCGAGGAGAAGCTTATTGCTGATTGCAAATTACCTATATTGCACGTCCTTGCTGTCTCTTTGATAGCCTGGCAATTTTTGGCACCCATCCTCTTGCCTCTTCCGCCATTCGTGCGCCGAATCGAAAGCGTCGCGAACTTCCGAGGCTCAAAGCGTCTTACAGTCTCGCTGCGCTGATCTGTGCTCGCGGATGGCTAGGGGGAGGCAGAGACCTTTCCATTCTGTCGATGTTTCTGTCGGCGTACTTTTCAATGTCATCGTCAGTCTTGATCATCTGTTCTTACGATCTGCAAGTCTGTGAAGCACGTGAAGTCAATCTACTGCCAGAGGCAGCTGTTGTGCCTGCCATGATTCGAGAGAATGGTGACGATGCTGTCGAGGGGCTCTTGTGGGGCCAGTGCGTGGGTTGTTGTGGTCAGACCACGATCGGTCTGGATGGAAAAGACGCTGCGAAACACGGTCACGGCCATCCAAACTCGAAATTCAAGTTCGAGACGAAGCCGAGACTGCCAAAATTGACTGGGCTCCATACAGCTCAAGGTCGCGCTGTGCAAGCCTGCCGCACAGACCCGGCTGCTCAGTGCAGTGACGCGTCGAGTATATATTCCAGCTGGCAAGCGCGGCCTTCCGAGTGACCCTCATACTTGTAAGTGACCTCTCCCCTCCCCCCCAAGCAGCCGTTCTGCCTTCACGAAAGCATCTCAGCACAGAGGACTTGTACACGCGAGCCATTTCTCTCGGTTCATGCCAACCTGCTGCTTGTTGCAAACATGCCGGTGGAATCTGGAGGATGGTGTCGTCTGTTGCAGTCGGCCTCTCGTGCTTGGAGCTATCGCGACTGGCACCTGGGCGATCACCATTTGCTCTTCGAAAGCAGTTGACTGACTGTCGCTCTGTTGTGCTCTTGCTCCATTCTTCTATCGCCTCGTCCAGACCTTGGCATTTCCACTCCCGCTCAAGCATGGGGGCTGGAGAGAGGGGGTCGGTGGGCTTGCACGGCCACCCGATTTGACCTACCGCCGACGCCCTCCCGCCTCTCTCCTCTGGGGGGAGGCTTGCCCAAATATATGGACCTGGATCGAGTTCTCTTCGGGGGATTCGATCCTCCTTTCTTTTGACCACGCCAGCTTACGTAATGCTGACCGATGATCGACCGTGCATCAATCCATTGCTTCCTTGGACCCTCGACGCGGGCCAAGATTGAGAGTCGGCCATTTCACATGAAACTCTTGCGGCCCCGCGCTGCCTTTTTGTGGGGAAGGTGCAGGCCTCGTGAGCTCGCGTCTTCTTCGAACGAGCTTTGATTGCTTGCTGTAGGAGCCTCTTTCCACCCAGACCGGAGCACTTCTTCTGATCACAGAGCCAATTTGCGTGCTGAAGTCTCTGCATCACTGACGCTGCGAGCGCAACTACTGTATATCAACGTGCCTTTTCGCGCTATCGTTGTGTCTACAGTATGGAGTTCGGAGCGTCGATCTCCCTTTCACGCCTCGCTTTGAGTGCCCACGCCGGACTTCGCTTGCTGTATGCGTGCCCTTTTGTGTCCCCGCCTGTGTATGTTGGCGCCGTGGCAAGGCAGGAGGAGGAGCATTGAAGCATTGAACGACGCAGACCAGCGAGAGGGGCGAGGTTGAAAGAAGCGAAATTTTGGGGACGTGCAGGTGAGCCGCACACAACAGCTCGCCCGGGGCTGAGAGCGAATCGTCGTCCGCTGGCCATGACGCGTGGTGGTGACTTTTTTTGGCGAAACAGTCGGGTCGACCCGAGGCGGGGGAAAAAAGGTACGTCGCAAAGCTCAGGGTGGAGGGCGTTCTGAGACAGCTGCGATGCTGAAGGGGCGGAATGCGAGGGGCAGCCGGCCCTGGTTCTTGCGGCCCGTCCGGCTACGATGTCGTCGGCTGCCACACGGGCCTGCCGATCCACGCAAAGGACGCTCTTTTGGCCCCGCATCCCCAGCACATGTCGGCCAGCACCTTGCATCATCGAAGCAACCACCTCCTTTTGATGCGACCCTCGAGGATCGTGTCCATCAACCACCACCCACCGCCGCCCTCGTTTCCGTGCTCGCGGCTCCTAGATCTCGCTTCACGCCGTCAAGGTTCAGCCGACGCCCCCGGCAAGGTCATCTCGGTAGCAAGCGCATCGCTGATACAGCTCGGAGACTGTTGCACCAGGCGTAAAACCAGATACCCAAGGCGCGCCGCAGTCACGCTCGCTCTGAGCGCAACAGCAACCATCGAATACCGGTGTCGACTAAGAGACTAGAAGACACCAGACGCGCTGTTTCCTAACCACGTCGCTCGCCATGCCGCCAGTCGCTCCAAACCCGTCCGGCGATCGTCGCAGCAACGACGCTGCACCGGAGAAAGCGGGCGCTCAAGGAGGCAGCGCGCCTGCATCCCGTAAATCTCCCGGCCTACGCCTGCCCATGATGACGAAGGTCAACCGCGATGCGGACGATGATTCCAGCGACGACTCCGCCGACGAGTTCGCCCGTTGGCAGGCCACCTCCGGGCCGACGACGCCCAACATCTCCGAGACCGCTGCACAGCTGCGACGCAACCTCAGTGTCACCGGGCTCCAGGATCTCGCGCATATGCCGCGAAGCCAGATCCGCAAGTCGGTCGGGAACAAGGTTTGGCGGCCGCAAGACGAAGAAGCGCGCATCCCCAGCGACTGGGAGAGGCTGGCGGTCCACGTCGTTCGCGGCGGTCTGCGCGCAGGCAACCTTGCGTTTGCCTTGCGTGCCACGCTCATGCTGGTCTTGGAGCTGATCAAGTCGCTCCGCACCAAGAAATTCAATCGCAATGCCTTCGGCATCGCGTTGTTGGGTCCTCGCAATTTCCGCTTCGCGGCACTGTTCGCCATCTGGGCCTCGCTTTACAAGGCGGTCCACAACGGCCTCCGCTTGATGACGCCGATGCCCGTCAAGAAAGCGCGCTCTCGCGCCGCGTCGGCGTCTGGTGCGGCGACACTTTCAATCGAAAAGGCTGGCGACAATGCCACGCTGGACGACGCGGGCGCGGGCAGCGGCACCGCGACGCCGCGCTCCGGCAGGTCCGCTTTGGAGGGCAAGTCGCCCGAGGAAAAGGCCAAGGAGAAAGCAAAGCAGAAGCGCCACGCTTTCATGCGCGACCCTCGTTCCAAGGTGTGGCACGCGTACGTGGCGGGCGCCGTCTCGGCCTTGGCCGTGCTCGTCGAAACTCCGGACAACCGCATTGCCCTGGCGCAGCAGCTCTTTGTGCGCGGCTTGGAGGGATCGTACAACGTCTCGCACGAACGCGGCCTGATCAACATCCCTTACGGTGCCGTGATCACCTTCGGTATTGCGTGCGGACAGATCATGTGGGCCTGGCTCGAGGCGCCCGAATCGCTGCCCAAGTCGTACAAGAACTGGATCACGAGAGCTTCGCAGGTCAGCCCGAGAGTCCCGGAGATCTACCGATCCATCAAGTTCGACCGCAAGGCCGATGCCGACTTTGCACTCAAGTGGTTCCCGGATGGCAAGGTGCCAGAGCCCCTGTCGCTCAGCCCTCTGCGCTACCCGGACGTGGCGCCCAACGCCATGAATCGCCGCGGCATCAAGGGCAAGAATGTGCGCAAGATCGTCGAGTGGATGGATCGAACGCGAAAGGGAGACTGCGGCGGCGTGGTCGACTGTGCCCTCGTACACCCCTGGGAGACGAGCCACTGGCGCGGTCCCATCGACCGATTCATCGAGGTCACCCGCTGGATCTTACCCGTCTACCTCACGCTTCACTTTGTGCCGGCCATCTTCCTTCGACCGGGCAAGTTCCTCAAGAACCCGGTCGATGCGACGATCCGTTCGCTCCGGGGCTCCTTGCGCTCCTCGTCGTTCTTGGGTGTCTTCGTGATCATCTTCCAGACGCTGTTCTGCGCGCAGCACTCGCTGTACAACTACATCCAGGCGAGCGAGAGGCTGCGACGCATCGTGCCGCAGTGGTTTTCTCGCATGCTGATCAGCTCGTGGATCAAGTGGGTCACCGGCTTCATGACCTGTCTCTCGCTCTTTGTCGACGACTCGCGACGCCGCGCCGAGCTTGCGGCCTACGTGCTGCCCAAGGGTATGGAGAGCGCGTGGTCGGTGCTGAGGAAGAAGTCGTACGTGCCGTTCGTGCCCGGTGGCGAGGTCTTGCTCACCTCGGCAGGCATGTCGCTCGTCATGGGAACGTACGCGCAGAACCCAGAGCATCTCTCGGGCCTCGTTCGCCGAATCGTGTATCAGGTAAGTGTGGTTTCGTCGCAGCTTTGGATCGATCAAGAGAGCATCATGTTCAACAAGCTGACTTTTTTTCGCCTCCGTGACCCTCGTTTTGTTCTCTCATCTTGCAGTTCGTCGGTCGCAACTAAAGTGATCAAAGTCGAACCTCGTTGCCTATGGTCATTTGTATCTAGATAGTCTAGTTCATGCATGGTCACCACCGCTTAGGACTGACACGATCGCATCGACTATGAGGCCATCGAATGCATGTTTGCCCGATCGATCCATCCGGTCACCGCCGATGCGGCTGTCAGGGCGGATCTACGAGGCTATGGATGCGGAGAGACCCGGCAAATGTTGCACAGGTGTCGTGTAACGAACGGCCGTCGGAACGAGACGGGGCCGCAGCGCAGAGAAAGGATCGACGAGGGTTACTCGACAATCACGTGCGTTCGAGCAGGCGAGCAAGAGAAGCGAAGAGCACCCAACCGGCAAGTTGAGAAGGGTCCGCTCGCTGTGAGAGGTCGCCAAGTGTGTTGGAGAAGTGGCTGTGAAAGGGGCGCAACGATGATGTTGAGACGCACCGGGCAGGCGCTAAGCGGGCTTGCATAGGCCGATGCGGGGTGCATGACCGGAAGAAATCGGGTGCGTCTGCATCGCAAGCGTTTCCGCTCCTGCACCTTGCCTCCTAGTGTTGGAACACTGCGCTTTCGCAATGATCGTGCGCCTGCATCGTCCTCAGGAGACCACTAAAGCCGAAGCCACCAAAACTGGGTGCCATCGTTCCCGAATGTGGGGAAGACGCTCGTGGGGCCAGCAAGATGTAGACCTGACAAGTAGTGCCGCCCAGGGTCCAGCCGTCCCCCTTGCCGCAGCATGCTCCGAGCGCACTTGCCACACCGCAAGACGCGATGAGTACCTGCAACTCTGCCGTCTCGCTCGTCTCTTTGGAACCGTATGCACCAACTTGAGCGGTCTGCCGTGGGACGGCGAGCAGCGTTGCGAACATCAGACGCCATGTCCTGGCGGAGGAGTTTTGTTAGATTGCTTTCTGCCCCCAGGTGCAGGTCCCTGCTCCTCCGTCTCAGGCTTTGAGGTTCTGGCAGCCCCTTTAGAGTCCAGACAGCTTCGAGGAAGCCACACAGAGAGCACATGCATGCGTCCGAGACCACTGAAAAGCCAAAAAAGCGGAGGGGATCCGAACGCCGCTCCTAAGCTGTACGTGGACTCATCCGCGTTGCTTAGGCCGAAAGGTCGAACCTCACAAGACCATTCTTTCGGCACGCACCGAACCATCTGGAAAGGTTGACTGCGATAATTGAATCGGCAGATCCGCCCTGCTACGCATTGCGGAGGCCACGGAGACATTCGCCCGAGCTGGCCGAATTGGCACCGATGTGGCGATGAATGTGGCCGATTTGCTTGGCTCGGCGTTCGTCACAGACGAGACTGCCGATGTTTCGCCGAGCATGGTTGAGATGGATGACGTGTTCGGACCGGTACAATTTGCAGCAGCCAGAGATGCTCTTGAGCGAACCCTGCATATGGGATGTGATATGGCCTTGGGCGAGCCAATCACGATTGCGGGAAATAAAGCTCGCAACGAAGAAGCTGTGTTTGTACGCACGACGTGCATTGGCCGGGCATGGGCTGCGAGGTCTGATCGATAAACGCTCGCTGTGGGCTTCACTCTGGTCTGGGCAAAGCAACGAGATCCCCGCTCCGGTGATGGGATGCTGAGCCGTTCGAGAAGGTCAGATATCGGATCTATGCCGGCGATGACTCTTCTTTTTCATTGGCGTCATCTTTCGACCAAAACCGGGCTGAGCAAAGCGCTTGCGGTGGTTGATTGCAATAGCTGAGCACTGTATCAGGATATGACGCTAGAGTACCACTCACGATATCAGCATCATCACACTGCTACGCGATGACGCACTCAGAGCAAGTGTCTACTGATACGGAGGGAGGGCAGTTGATAACGGGAGCAGGATACGCGACAGAATCCAGATCGGAAGATCAGCGAGCGGGTACGGACGAGCGACGAAAGAGAAAAAAAAGGGACAATGCCAAAACTGGGTGGGCTGGCCTTGTCCACGCGGGCAGTCGCATGAAGAGCGCGACGTCGAGTCAACCTGGGAACATGCGGCGTCAGAAGGGCAAAGCTAGGCGGTCTTCCCCAACACCTGGAGATTCTGGCACCTTTCAGATCGGTGGTTGGCAGGCGCGGTTGAAATGCAGCTGTTTTGGCATGAAGAGGTGCATTCATTCCCCTAGGCTTCCGACTCGCCGAGGTGCGGTCGTAGCAGGATGCGGATTTACCGCATTTTCGTTTTTGGATGTCCAAGAATCGTCCGTGCGTCGAGTCGAGCGAGGTGCATCGTGAGAGGTGCAGCAGCGGCTCAGGCGTCCGCCCGGCCAGGTCTGCCGGTTCACCCAACCGCGCCTCCACTCTCGCCCGCTCGCCCGCCTGCTTTTCCTTATCGACGCCTGGCTTGCTCGCATCCAGCCAGCCTGTCCCTTTGCAGTTGCCGATCGGTGCACCGACCCACGTCTCCGTGAAGTTGGTTGAGTTCATTCTAGAGTGTGGTCTGGGCGGGAAAGTGCCGTTGGGCCGGATGGCCCCACCTTTTCTTTTCAGCAGCAAGTCAACTTTCTGAGCCTCGTCGGCTTGGCTCCGCTGCGCCCGTTGGAGCGACGGAGAGGCACCGACGAAGCTGCGTCGACCGATCTGGCCGTTGGCCTCAGCGCATCTGGCCGCCTTTCAACCCCTCAACCCCCCGGTCGACAGCGTGCATGCCCATCGTCTCGCCCACTCTGCTCGCGATTCTCGCTCCCCTTCAACTCCATCACCATCGCGCCCCTTTCCTTCTTCCTCCGTCACGCTTTCCCTCCATCGCTCTCGATACCCCTGCATCCGTTTCCATCGTTCATCCACGGACGAATACAGGGTGTTGGGCTTCCTTCCGCGACTCTCGATATCGTATCTTTTCCTTCGAGCACGCATATCCCCCACAGGTCTACTGCACGTAGGCTCTGAATCTAGCTGATCGGGTCAGCTTCCCGACCGAACCCCACTTCCGCTTCACTCTTTTCTGCTCCCTCCGTCAAGATGCCCGTCGAGCCCGAGACGTCGCAGGCCCCCAAGGGCGCTCCCAAGAGCACCTTTGTCGACACCTTTGAGAGCCAGCCTGGCACTCCAGGTGAGAGGACCGGCCACCTCTTCCCCACCATCCAGCGCATCCGCAACAGCATGTCTGGCGAGGCTACCGGCCCCCTCAAGAAGCTCATGGTCGCCAACCGCGGCGAGATTGCCATCCGAATCTTCCGTACCGCCCACGAGCTCGCCATGACCACCGTCGCCCTCTACAGTTACGAGGACAGGATGAGCGCCCACCGCTACAAGGCCGACGAGGCCTACCAGGTCGGCGCTGGCCTCAACCCCGTCTCGGCTTACCTCGCCATCGACGACATCATCCGCGTCGCCCTCGAGCACAAGGTCGACATGATCCACCCAGGCTACGGTTTCCTCTCCGAGAACCCCAACTTTGCCAAGAAGGTCGAGGAGGCCGGCATCGCCTTTATCGGCCCTCGTCCCGAGACCATCGACGGTCTGGGTGACAAGACCAAGGCACGTGACCTCGCCCGCAAGGCCAACGTGCCCATCGTCCCCGGTACCCCTGGTCCTATCGCCAGCTACGAAGAGGCGAAGCCTTTCGTCGAGGAGGTCGGCTTCCCCGTCATCATCAAGGCCGCCATGGGCGGAGGCGGACGAGGCATGCGAGTCGTCCGAAAGATGGAGGACTTCAAGGAGTCGTTCGAGCGTGCTGTTTCCGAGGCCAGGTCCGCCTTCGGCGACCCCACCGTCTTCATCGAGCGCTTCCTCGACCGACCCCGTCACATTGAGGTACAGCTGCTCGCCGATGGCGAAGGCAACGTCGTCCACCTCTTCGAGCGAGACTGCTCCGTCCAGCGTCGTCACCAGAAGGTCGTCGAGGTCGCTCCTGCTCCTAACCTTCGCGACGACGTGCGCCAGGCCATCCTCAGCGATGCCGTGCGCCTCGCCAAGACCGCCAACTACCGCAACGCCGGTACTGCCGAGTTCCTCGTCGACCAGCAGAACCGCTACTACTTTATCGAGATCAACCCTCGTCTGCAGGTCGAGCACACCATCACCGAGGAGATCACCGGTATCGACATTGTCGGCGCCCAGATCCAGATCGCTGCTGGCGCCACCCTGGCCGACCTCGGTCTGAGCCAGGAGAGCATCCAGAAGCGCGGCTCCGCCATCCAGTGCCGTATCACCACGGAAGACCCGGCCGCCAACTTCCAGCCCGACACGGGCAGGATCGAGGTATACAGATCGGCCGGTGGTAACGGTGTGCGTCTCGACGCCGGCTCCGGCTTTGCAGGTGCCCAGATCACGCCGCACTACGATTCGCTCCTCGTCAAGGTCAGCTGCCGAGGTGCCACCTACGAGGTGGCACGAAGGAAGATGCTCCGATCCCTCGTCGAGTTCCGTATCCGCGGTGTCAAGACCAACATTCCCTTCCTCTTCCGTCTGCTGACCCACGAGGCCTTTGCCACGGCCAGCACGTGGACCACCATGATCGACGACACCCCCGAGCTCTTCAACCTCGTCCAGACCAAGAACCGTGCCCAGAAGCTGCTGGCCTACCTCGGTGACGTTGCCGTCAACGGAAGCTCCATCGCTGGTCAGGTGGGCGAGCCCGGTCTCAAGGACGAGATCCAGATCCCGACCTTCACGGACCCCAAGGACCCCACCAAGACGCTCGACACCACCAAGCCATGCTCCGAGGGCTGGAGGAACATTATTGTCAACGAGGGCCCCGAGGCCTTCGCCAAGGCTGTGCGTGCGTACAAGGGTACCCTCATCATGGACACGACCTGGCGAGATGCGCACCAGAGTCTCTTCGCCACTCGTCTGCGAACGATCGACATGGTCAACATTGCCAAGGAGACGAGCTACGTGCTCAAGAACGCCTTCTCGCTCGAGTGCTGGGGTGGTGCGACGTTCGACGTGGCCATGCGCTTCCTGTACGAGGACCCTTGGGAGCGTCTGCGCAAGATCCGCAAGCTCGTGCCCAACATCCCGCTCCAGGCGCTCGTGCGCGGTGCCAACGCCGTCGGCTACACCGCCTACCCAGACAACGCCATCTACGAGTTCAGCAAGAAGGCAGTCGAGTGCGGTCTGGACATCTTCCGTGTCTTTGACTCGCTCAACTCGCTCGACTCGCTCAAGCTCGGCATCGACGCCGCCAAGAAGGCGGGCGGTGTGGCCGAGGGCACCATCTGCTACACGGGTGACGTGGCCAACCCGAGCAAGCACCCCAAGTACACGCTCGAGTACTACCTCAACCTCACCGACGAGCTCGTAAAGACCGGCATCCACGTCCTCGGTATCAAGGACATGGCTGGTCTGCTCAAGCCCACCGCCGCCCGCATGCTCATCGGCGCCATCAGGGAGAGGTATCCGGACCTGCCCATCCACGTGCACTCGCACGACACCGCCGGTATCGCTCTCTCGAGCATGCTCGCCTGTGCCGAGGCCGGCGCCGATGTGGTGGACGTTGCCATCGACAGCATGAGCGGTCTCACCTCGCAGCCCTCGATGGGTGCACTCGTCAGTGCGCTCGAGCAGACCGGCCTCGGCGCCGGCATCCGCCACGAGGACATCCAGAACCTCAACCTCTACTGGAGCCAGGTTCGTCAGCTCTACCAGTGCTTCGAGGCCAACGTCAAGGCGTCCGACTCGTCCGTCTTCGACCACGAGATGCCCGGTGGCCAGTACACCAACCTCATGTTCCAGTCGCAGCAGCTCGGTCTCGGCACCCAGTGGAAGGAGATCAAGACCGCCTACATCCAGGCCAACAAGCTCTGCGGCGACATTGTCAAGGTGACTCCCTCGTCCAAGGTGGTCGGCGACTTTGCGCAGTTCATGGTGGCCAACAAGCTCAGCGCCAAGGATGTCGAGGAGCGCGCCGACAAGCTCGACTTCCCCAGCTCGGTCATCGAGTACTTCCAGGGCTACCTCGGCACGCCCCCCGGTGGCTTCCCCGAGGAGCTGCGCAGCAAGATCATCCGCGACAAGAAGCGCGTCGATGGCCGTCCCGGTGCGACCATGGAGCCGATCGACTTTGCCCAGGTCCGCAAGGACCTGACCGCCAAGTACGGCCGCTCGATGAGCGCGACGGACGCCATCAGCTACGTCATGTACCCCAAGGTCTTTGAGGAGTTCCAGTCGTTCCTGGACCAGTATGGCGACCTCAGCAACCTGCCCACTCGCTACTTCCTCGGCAAGGCGCACCCGGGCGAGGAGCTGCACGCCTACATCGACCGCGGAAAGCTGCTCATCGTCAAGCTGCTCGCCGTCGGTGCGCTCAACACCAACAACGGCACGCGCGAGGTCTTCTTTGAGCTCAACGCCGAGCCGCGTGCGCTCACCATCGAGGACCGCAGCGCCGCCGTCGAGACCGTCACGCGCCCCAAGGCCACCTCGGACCCTGGCAGCGTCGGCTCGCCGCTTGCCGGTGTCGTTGTCGAGATCCGCGCCAAGGAGGGCCATGCGGTCAAGGCCGGAGACCCGCTCTTCATCATGAGCGCCATGAAGATGGAGACCGTCGTCTCGGCGCCCGTCGGCGGTCACGTCAAGAAGGTCTACGTCGAAGGCAACGACTCGGTCTCGCAAGGCGACCTGCTTTGCGAACTCGAGCACTAGATCTCCGCCAGTTAAATCCGAACAAGATCCGCTCAGCTCCAAGATAAAAAGACTCAAATTTGGCTCCCGATGTAAAAGTGTCGTGGCGACCTCGTAAACACAGACCGATTTCCGTGCTTTTGTGCTGCGCAGAGTCAAAAATCAAGATTGAGAGATGGGTGTGATGAGGCGGGATGGTGAAGGGCCGTTTACGTTCGCGGAGCGCCGACGGGTTGAGCCGAGTTGGTGATCGCAGAAGGGCGGCTGGCAGCGCCTTCGCGTCGGAAAGCGGCGGCCGAGCGCGACTGCGCCTGGCTGCGATCCTCGACCGGGCGGGCAAAGCCACGCCAGTCGCCGGCCTTTTCCAGCTTGGCCTTGCCGTACAGATTCTCCCAGTTGTACACGTCATCATCTTCGTCCATGTCGTCGGGGCGGGGGCGCTTGTCGCCCTGCCTCGCGGCAGCCCCGACGGGAGGCGAGCGCGCATCGATGCCCCACGCCGTGGCCTTCCTAGCCGCGGGCGGCGCCGAGGCCGGGGGCGAATTGCGCTTGAGGGGCACGGCGGCCATGACGGGCAGCGAAGCCATCCTCTGCTCGAAGCTGCTGCGTCGCGATGCCGGCTGCGAGTCCGAAGGGGCAAGCAAGGGACGGCCTGCGGGCTGCTGGTGGGTGGGCGGAGGCGATTCAAGCTCATCCTTTTCGCTCGAAGAGCTGCCGTTGTCGTATGCGTGCGAATCCTTCAGAGGCAGGTTGACGCGCGTCGGTCTGCCGTCAGCAACGGGGCTGATCCGAGCCGAGCTGCCTCGCGGGGGCGACTCTCGCGCGTGGCCGTGACCGTTGTGTAGCACGCTCGGGCCCGGAGCAGCTGCATCAGCACCAAGGTTGCTCTGACGTGCGGCAGCCAGAATGGCCTCGGCACGGTGCAGGACCTCGTCGATGCGTTTGCGCTCGAAGAGAAGCTCGTCCCTCAGCCTCTCCACATCACTAATTTTGGTGGATCCGGCGGGCACGTGGGCAACGTGTCCGTTGACCGCAATGGGATGGTGATGATGGTGGTGGTGGCCATGGTGCGCAGAATGAGCGCTGTGAGTGGCGTGGTGGTGGTGATGATGGTGGTGATGGTGGGGTGCGGCCGAGGCTGTTCGACCGGCATCGGATACGCTAGTGCGTGCTGCCTGCTCGGATGCGCCGACGAAGTCGGCGCGACCTGCCTTGTCGGCCGAGGCGAGCTCGGCGGGCGAACGGCGTCGTGCTTGCGCGTCCGGATACGACGGAGACGGCGCGTTCGGGCCATCATGTTCGTCGTAAGCTTCCCTCGAAGCTAACGGGAGCGACTTGCGCGGCCTCTTGGCCGCGCGAGCTCCGTCGAGATGGGCCATGTGGGCCGCCTCGCCACCGCTTCTGGCAGAGGCGAGGTCGTTGTGCATCGAAGCTGAGCTCGACAGGCCTGCGTTGGACTGGTGGCGAGGGTCCTCACGCGAACGCGCGCCAGCGCCGACCTCCATCAAGAGCATCGCGGCTTCGCGGTCGCGAGCTTCGCGCAGCGCTTGTTCGGAGGCAGGCGCCGACTTCTTGGAAGCTCGCTTGGCCTCGGAGCCAGGAGTGGACTCGCCAGCACGGCCAGCGGCTGGTGCGATGATGGGTTGGCCATTCGAATTGACCTGGACCGGCGCGGCGTCGGTCTGATTCGCTGCCTGGGCGGTGGCGTTGGCAGGGATACGTTTTCGACGCTTGATGACGGTCTTCTTCATGCCGATGGGACGATGCGTGCCGTGGAGCTTGTGGTAGAGACCACAGGCGTTGCAAATGTTGTTGCCGTCTTCGTCGCGTCTCCACAGCGGTGTGGTGGTCGTCTGGCAGTTGGTGCAGCGGAGAGCTCCCACGCCGTTGCTCTTGTCGTCCTCTTTCTTCTCTTCGGGCGCAGCCGGGGCTCTCTCAGCATTGCTGCGAGCGGGCGAGAGCTCTTCGGCAGCTCGTGGTTCGCGCTTGCTGACCTTGAGGGCGTGTGAGAGGTTGTTGTTGTATGCGGGGCATCCGCTGCAGCTTGCTGTGCCGCCCGTGCCGTTGCAGAGGCCGTCTCCGGGGCAAGAGCCGGACTTGGGATCGTCGTCCCTGGAGCAACCCGAGGCAGGTGGAAGGGCCTTTGGATCTTGCGCAGGCGGACTGGCGTCGGTGGCAGATGCCCGACTTGAAGCTGCGCGATTTGTGCTGTGCGACTTCATGTAGAGACCGCAGGCGTTGCAGATGGTGCTGCCGTCGGGCGCGCGCCTCCACAAGGGAGTGGACGTGACTCCGCAGTTGGAGCATCGCAAGCCTGCATGATGCGCCGAAGGAGGCGAGCCAGAAGCCTCGTGCTCGTGCGAGTCCCGGGGCGTGTGCTGCGGGCTGGGGTTGCGGGACGGTTGTGTGTGCGCATGGGGCCTGGGATCTTCGCTGTAAGCATGGCGGCTGCCGTTCACGTGGTAAGGCAGCTCGTTGCTTCGGGACGAGCCAGGCTGTGCATCGCGGTAGTGTGCGGCGCGACTTTCGTGGTCGTAGCTGGGTCTCGGTGCCGGAGCGATGGCGCGAGGCTGGTCGTCGGCATATCGGTGCGTCTTGTGACGATCCTCGCCAGGGTACTCGTGGCGGTAGGCGGGGTGGTCGTGACGCATGGTGGCGGGACTGCCGGAGGAAGGGGCGGGGCTCGAGTCCCGGAAGGTGTTGCCCATGTGCAAGCGTGCTGCGGCGCGAGGCGACGTGTTGGGCGTGCGGCGGTGTGCCAGCGCGTCTGGATGGTCGGATACGAGCTCTTTGGAGAGCGACGAGATGGGAGGAAGATGAAGTCCACCGGCTTCGTTGGGATGGCGGAACGACGACGGATGTAAGAGGGGACTGTTGGGTTGCGACCTGGAAGGCCCAAGGTGGGAACGCTCGGAGCTCTGCGAGCGATTGCGGAAAGCAGCGATGGGCGACTGGGATCTTCCAGCTGGGTGGAAGGACCGAGGATCGCGGAAGAGGCTGCGAGCGGTGCTGCGGGTAGGGATCTGGGAGACGTCGTGGTGGGCCGAGGGGGATGGTGGTCGAGAAGTTCGAGGAAGGATGTGAGGCAGGCCTTCTTGGTCGTGAAGGGAGCCGGCTCGGGCGTGGTGCGAGTAGCGATCTGGGGAGCGATCCGCCGGTGCGATGGGACGAGCTGCGATTCGCTGAGGATGGGAAGAAGAAGAGGAGGAAGAAGAAGATGCCGCAGGCTGATGATGGGAAGGTGTCGGAGAGGCGGGTCGCGAAGCGATCTTGACGAGCGGGTGAGCCATGGCGGATAGGGCGGCTCGGCACGCGCAGGAGCTCAGTCAAAGTGAGGCGGGTGCAATCACGGCACGGATCGAAGTTGCGGCTGAGAAAAGGCGGTGCAGCTCGGGCGTACTAGCTCCGCAAACAACGATCAAGGCCAATAGATCGACACAATGTGCAAGCCGAGCTCGGATCCCTGGAATGCAGGCGCGTTCGGGCAGGCTGAGCCGATGCTAGCGATGCGGGGCTAGCTTGGATGTCGAGTGTTCGGCTGCCGTAAGACGTGATGAGGCGCGCCGAGAGTGATGAGCCGGACGCAGCTGTGGCAGCCGAGCAGCGTTGGATGAGCACGGGGGAGAAAGGACGTGTCGGTCGTGGGGAGGCGCGATAAGGACTCGATAGGGGGGTGGGAGATAAGGGGATGAACGAGGGGGGATCGTGATGGTGGATCTGAGATAGGGACGGGCGGCGATGTAGATAGGGATGGCCTGGAAGAAAACGCGTGAGGGAGAGGGGAGCGAGGCAGAGTGAGGGGAATTCTGGGCGTTGACGAGGTCAGCTGGTCACTCTGATGGGCACACACGTGTGGGGAGAGAGAGATGCCAAGGGCGCGCGAGAGAGGGACAGAGAGAGTGCCCACGCAGGCGGAAAAGATTATGGCTCAGTTCGACAGCCGCGCGATGATTACAGACTCTAAGAGGCTACTGATGAGATTACAGCGCAGCAGCCCAGCGGCGGCGCCGGCGACAGAGATAAGTGGGTAAGAGTGGGCCATCGCCCCGAGCCCTTTTTTCGCCTGGCGATTTTTCCGCAATCTCGACACTGCCGCCTAGTGCCGCGCTGCCCGCTAGCGCGTTTTGGCACGGCGTCGGAACGTCGGGCGAGCCGGCTTGGCTAGGGCTCGATCTGGTTCCAGCCGCGGCAAAAAACAGTCGGCCTCCCCCTGTCCTCCTCTCCCTGTCGAGCCTTTGCATCGCACTCGTCTCTGGATCCCGGCTTGCTTCGAGCACACGCCGGCAGCTGGTGCTAGTGGGCTATGCATACACAGCTCGACGACTGCAGCTTCTCCCTCGCGCAGTCTAAATTTACGATATTCGGCCAAGCCCGACTTGAAGACAGGTTCTGGCAGCGCAGGCTGTGGCTTCTTGCTCGATCCTTTGGTGCAACTTTGAGCCACAGTTCGGCATGCCGACCTCCCTGCCTGGATGTACAAGCCGACACGGGTCAAGGCGAGAACAGCGATCGTGCCGGGTGCGCCTCGGGAACCCTGACTCCACGTACATCGCCCTGAAATTTCGCGTATCTGATTGGTGACGCCAATGCGTTTCGATCAGCCCTGCAAAACTCGTGCCAGCCGTCAACCAATCATTTCCGCGCCATTTGCCCATCTCCCGCCCGAAGCACTTCGGATCAAACGGCCTCAGGCTATCAAGCCGGCAAATGTCAGACCCTCGCGCTGCCCCTCTACAAACTCCCACCAGCACCTCCCGAGCACAGCCCCGAAGGCTCGCTGCGCCGGAACATGCTTTTTTTTCCGAATCCCACCTTCTGCTTGCCCTCGACGAGATTACATAGCCGCTCTGTTTCCCACTCGCCTACATGCCTGCCTCCATTCGAAGCCGGGTCGGAGAATTTGCTGGAGCCATCGTCGCCTCCTCCGTTCGCCCTCGGCCTGCAGTCTTGGATGCCCGGCGAGTGATGACCGATTTCGGAAGCCTCGTCTCCGTGAAGGCTGCGGTCAGGCGGCGCCTTGTTTGCAAGCCGCACTCAAGCCCAAATCCGTGCTAGCGCCTTCTCGACCCTGCACTGCATCGTTCTCCGAAGTGTGCTCTATACTCTCGGCAAACCATCGCTGAGCTTTGCACGTCCTCGGCCCGCGATCGCTTGAGATGTGGGCCAAGTTGAGGTACTCCCATCATTGGCCATCTTGATTTTGATTTTACGAATTGTTCATCTCGGACGGCAATCAGCCGACAGCCAATCACAGCGCACCGATTAATTTCAGGCCAAACGAGTTGCCGCTTCTTTCGCCGCGCTTTCGTCTTGGCCTCGAGGCCGGATCGCACATCTCCGACGCTTCCATCGAGGTGGCACTTGCCGTCCGCAAAGAGTCATGCCTCGGCCAACATGTTCCTTTGGCACTCATGTACGAACCACGGCATGGCGACCTCGTGCTCGCTGGTGCATGGCAAGCCGGACTGCGCCAGTTTTGCCAGCCCAGGCTAGATGCGATGGCCTGGTTCTGCGGGTGTGGGCGTGCGTGTAGGTGAGAGGGCGCAGATCGCTTAACCAAGCGAGCACGCTTTGCCGCCGGAAGCGCTGGTCTGGAGCCGATGCCTTTTTGACGTGCGGTTTCTCGGGCGAGCCGCCCAGCCGCGTTGCCTTTTCGGCGGCACCCGATGGATTCTGCATCGGCAATGCCGATCCCAGTTTGTCTCTCCCGATCTTGCCAGAGTTCCCTCCAACGAGGCACACAGACCTTTTTTTGAGGGCTCGCACCCTCGATGGCAGCACTTGGTAGGCCCCAGTTGACAAGTTGCGAGGACTGAGGGTACAACAGGCTCGAGAGCAACATGGCACGTTCGCAAGACAACGCGACTGGAGGGACGATTGGCGCACTGACTTCGGCCTGCCACAAAGCAAGCGCCACAGCTGTGGAAGGCCAGCTGCGCCTCCAAATTGGGGCTGCATACATCCAGATGGGGGTGAGGATCCGAGATGAGCCACGGCCGTAAAATAAGAACAGATGTTAGACCGTTGCTTTCAACTTGATGATTTTCTTGCACATCGTAAAGACTCGCATGGTGTGCAGTTAAAGCATCGGTTAATCCAGAGGTTCTACCTTGGTCTTTCAACCACTCATCTTCAGCGTCCCCAGCTGCGGGGGTTGGCAAGGCGAGACTGGAGCTCGAATATATTTTCCCTGCCAAAATTTGGATTCCTCCAAATGCGGCTCAGGAGGCGCGTTTTTGACTGAGTTCTTCTGTAGACAGATCGCGATTGTGGGCTTGAGTAATTAATAAATTGGAAAAATGCAAAAAGTCACAATAATTTTGGTACCAAAAAGGACCAAGAAATGGCAGTAAATTACTTCGGTTCACAGGCGGGGGGGACTCAACTCAATTTCGGGGAATAAAGATCCTATTTTTCCGGTGAAACCCCCTCTTGCTCTGCTCTGACATTCTGAATTATTGCGGAGAAGCTCAGCTTCCTTTAAATGATATGCTGAGGCAGGGCTACAAATCCCAGCTTTCTTCCTTCAATGCTATAGTTCTACTAGGGCTTGGAGCCCTGCTCCCTGCAACGCTTTGAGTTGTTGGAAGCTCAGCTTGCTTTGACGCCATGTGCTGCTCTGGCGCTCCGCTTGCCTTGTTTTTCTCGTGTCACTTGCAAAGGCGGAAGCTGTGCTTCCCATGCTAGCAGTTTTGTACCAGATATTGAGCTGAGGAAATCTGTGAAGCTTTGTGTGCAACAGTGTCAGTGTATCGACACTTGAGTGTGACTCACAAGATCAGTGCACGCGTTGTTAGGCGCGGTCACTGCGGCACACAGATTGCGATCCTGTGTAACGTCGGTGAGATCTAGGTGGCCCTGATCAGTGAGATGCAGTTGTTATTCCAGCGTCTCAGTGGTCTGGAACAGCCACTCATGCCTGGGGCGGCAGAGGTTGGAAGCGTGAGCTCGAGTCGTTGTCGAAACAAAAGATTTGTGCATGCGTTGTCGTACAAGGCGGCGCATGTCACATTGAGGGTGCGGGGAGTGGGAGTCTTGCGTGAGCGTTTGTGAGCGGGGACTCGCACTGTTTGTACGGTGAGTAAGATAGTGATTCAATGATATTTTGTTGGGTGAGTGCCGGAACGCTTTTGCTTATATACATGATTGGTGTCTAGGGAGC